ATAATATAATATTATCTGACTGCTTATTATTACTGTATAATGATAAGACCATAAATTTCTCGTTCTCTTTCTTTTATCAAAATTGAAGTAAGAAGATATTTTAATACTCTTATGATTAATTTAAAATTAAAAATGCTCCGAATTTAAGCATTGTACACGAAAAATTGTACAATGCTTTGTAACAAATGCTAAGAGTAGCAAAATTTACAATAAACGATATAATTCGAATCAACATTATATCTTGAAGACTTATAGAACTGTTACTCATTAAAAAATGAGAACATCTGACTATTTGAACTTCTTACTTTATTTAATAAATAAATTAACTAATAAAGTAGTATTCGAAATTGCGAGAACCCTTCCCAAGTCATTAAACATCTGGCAAATCCAAGTTAGATTTCTGGAAAACCCAAGTCGTCAGACATGTGGAAATAGTCGTTACACCCAAAATTAAAATCTAACGATACACAATCGCATACACTGTTGTAAAATCTAGCAATACTGTCGTTTGCATAGTCAAAGCCCCTCTTAGCGGGGACGCTATGAGATAGACTGCTCTCTCTAATTGAAGAAGCCAAAGCTAGAGGCACTCTAAGTAGGGACACCAAATCCAAAGGCACTCTGATTGGAGAGGCCAAAGGCTGAGTGGGGACGCCGTGGTCAGAGGAGCGCTCTTAAGGGAGACGACCACAAGGCAGAAGAGCTCTCATACAAGAGCGCCGCGGAGGACGAACGGGCACTCACCAGTGGGTAGTCACAGATGGTACACGCAAGAACTTCACACTAAGTAGAGTTTCATACACAGTGCCCCGAGCACGAAGCTATTGCAGCCCTTTCTCATACTAGGTGCAATCGCACACACTCTCAGCAAAGCCACTACGAAAGGACTCTCTTATACTCTGTGCCAATTTCACTCTTTCAAGTGATTACTTCTACAAGTCAGAGTAAGCAACACCATTCGAGGCCATATCAAGGTATTGTGCCATTTTCTCACCCTTCCACACGACAAGACAACTTGGAGGAGACCAGCAATCAAGTTACCACCACGTGACACTACACGAAGAAGTATCAAGAAAATTACAACGTCTAACTTCGCAGTGTAATCTTTTACCGCCAAGTGCACTGCGTCAAAGGAATCCGGAGATTTATGACCTCCTACCTCTACAAGCAGTATTGTTTACAACCAGTACATGCTGACAAAATATCGTAAATTATGTGTACTGATAAACAACCATTCAACTTACATCATATTTATTTATGGAGTTATTTAAAATATTATTTTTAAACTAAAAAAAATATTTTTTGTAAATTATCCATTCTTAGTTGAAAATATTAAATGTAAATATCTACATTGTATTTTAAATTCATGTTATAATATTGATAATAATTATAATTATAATATTGATAATTATAATATTGATAATACTATTTGCATTTCCAAATGTAACAAAAAACTTTTATCATAATGAACAGATAATATTTTATAATGTTGTTCGAGATTGCGAAAAGTTTTCCCAGCTCATTAAACAGCTGGAAAACATCATCAAACATCCGCAAAACAAGTCGTTAGACTTCGGGAAAGCCCAGTTCATTAGGTATCTGGAAATAGTCGTTACACCCAAAAATTTTAAATCTAACGGTAAATTAGCAGCCACTGTTGTCAAATCTAGTAATGCTGCCGCTAGAGGCGCTTCAAAGGCGCTGCAAGGACGCTTCAGTCAGGAGCTCCGATTGGATACACAAAAAGAGTAGGGGTTCTTAAAGGAACGCCGTGGTCAGCGGAATGCATTTAAGGAAGATGACCATAAGACAAACTCACTCACTAACTCACAAGACTTAAGCTGTCACTAGTGAGTCGCCTAGGATGGAAGAAGTCCTCGCTCTGACGGGAGACGACACAGAAGACGCCGCAGAAGACGATCTGTCTTAACTGAAGCTATGGAAGAGGCGCTCTCTTCCAAGGTCCATATCAAGGTCTCGACGAATCAAGGCAACTAAGAAGGGTACACGCAAACCTTATACTAACAAACTCACACTACGCACTATTAAGCGCACACGCTGCAGATCCACTACTGCAGAATTGAACGAGAGACGTTCATGCCCCAAGCGCACGGAGCAGTAGCAGATTCACCACCACGTGGTACTACTCGAAGAAATGGTAACAGCTTTACAATCTCTCACTCTCAGGGTAAATCTACTACCAAGTGCACAACGTCACGATGATCTTACAATCTCCTACCTCTGCATGTAATGCATGCTAACGCCACGTGTCAACCGCCACGGAACTCCAAGAGTTTAACTATCGTCCTCACCAACAAGAATCATTTCTGTATTTGGAAATTAAATGGAACAAATAGCATAAAATACAGATGTGTTAAATATTGAATTAATGCACTATCTCTTCCACTTGTCCGCACATTTCTCCCACATATCACCTAGTGATATACCTTTAATTAATTATATTTATAAATATATAATAAAATATATCAAATATTATTTATATTAATATATACAAACCGAAAAAATTATGTCTTTATTATTAATGTATTATAATCAAAATTATATTTATTTGTATTACCTTACTTAAATTATTAATTATTTTTTAAGCTTACATGAAATGAAGTGTTTTCTTAATATTATAACAATTACCAATAATGTAAATATTTTAATAATAATCTAATTAGTTATGTGACTAAAATTTCATTCTTAAATTTAATTCTATAATTAATTTAATTCTATTTTTAATTCTTATATAATTAAAATGCATTGTAATAAAAAAGAAATTTTTGAAGAACAATATGTACAACTTAAATTGGATATAATAATAAGTATTTTTAAATTAATTTGTTAATTTTTATTTTCTTCTAAAATTTAGAACATTGCAAAATATTTTTTTTTACCCTGAATTTTTTATATCAAAATTTTTTAATCAAAATACTTAATTCTTACTTAATCAAAATTTACATAATCTAAATACATTTTATAAAAAGAATGCTAATGACCTAACTTTAAAAATTAATTTTATTGATTTTAATACAGATTTTTTACACGTTTATAATAAGAAATACTAATACATTTTTTATTTTCTTTCATCAATATAATAGCTAAATATAGATGTTTATAAAATTGAATTTATAAAATATAAAATAACATCTTATGTTAGCATATTATTACTGTTATCATTGTTATTTTATTGTTATATATTGATAAAATCATAAAACTTTTTGTATTATTTTTATTTAATATAATTGATTGTAATATATATAAATATATAATTAATTATTATCTTAATTACGTTAATTAAGCCATGCTGAATTTATTAATCTTTTAAAGACTAACTATGAAGAAACTATCTAGTGACTGTAGAAAAATAATTAACTTAAAACATTCTTACCAATTTCTTAATATAAATATTAATTTTTAGTAAAATTATTGAATCCTATAAGGATTTATAACTAATAATACAAAATTAGGTATAGGAAGCTTAAAATAAAATCCATAACTACAATTAAAAATTAACAAACATACAATTAATTAAAATTTCTTTTTCATTTACTACGATTTACTTTATTCAATTTTAGTCTATAATATTAATTTAAATATAAATTTCAATTAATAAAATCATATATTTTGTTAAATATAAAATCAATTAGAAATGTTGAATTTACTACATCTCGCATATGTAACGATAGAATTGTACATCAAATAAATAAATTTTAAATAATACAATAAATAATATTTTTACTTTTTAATCATTACTGTAAAAACTTTGTTATATGTAAAAATACAATTTAAAAAAATATGCAAAATATTTAAGATTAGAAAATAAATTTGAGGTTATTTATCTGCAATTTAGAATTTAGAATTTTTGTACCAATTTATATTAAAAATATTTTTTAAGTTTTAACTTTTTTATTTTAATTCATTACCTACATTAAAAAAAATATTTCTATTAAGTTTGAAATCAATATTTTTTAAATAGCACAATGAATTTCTATAGTGTAAATAAAATAAATTTTTCAAAAAATTTTACTTAACCCATTAGTAGATTTTTTCACTAATAAAATATTGAGTATTATTTTGTATTTCACACAAAAACTTAAGCACTACTCATATTGATAAAAATTAAAAAAATTTAGAAACATTAAGTAAAAAATAATTACATAAATGTAAATTTTATTATAAGAATTATTTATTACATGTAATCAATATAAAATTAAATAGATGGATGAAAGGATAAACCACAATTTATATTGAATGACTTAGATAATAAATTGTTTTCTATATGTGAATTAGAAAACAAGATCAACTTAATAAAGTACTTAAAAATATTAGTTTAGGAGTTTGTAAAAACTATAATATAATTGTAAATTTTATATTCTTAATACTAAATGAAATATTATATTAGAAAAATGAATCGAAAATGGATTTCTTAAAAAATATAAACAAACTCCAAAATAAAGTAAATGAACTAAGATACATGGATAATCTTTTGACGATTTTACAGTTAATTCAATTTCTAAGAGATATTGGATTTTGGATCAGACCACACAGCACCAAAATACCGAAATAAACCTCAGTTTAAATATCAATACAAACCATTTGCATTTTAATGTTTTAAATTATCAATATGATTTTTTGGATTTTTGCTAAAGATTTCAAATCTATATAAATATTTAACCCTTAATTATTGTTGAAAATATTAAAATTTTATTAATATAATATGAATATTTGTTAATATTCTTTCCAATCAAATTTTTTAAATTAAACAATCTGCTTCAGTAAGCTATGCATGCACTTGAAACAGTATATCAGCTGTAAGCCCTCGTTATTGTATTTTTTATTATTTATATATTTATATATTCAATGTACAAGTATAAAATTCTTGTGTATTATAAATTATATGCCAACTTTATATACAACACATATTTTAGATACACTAAAAATTTATGATTTTAAAACTGATTTAAGTGTACATACAGCTTAGTATTATCATAATCTTAAAAACAATTTTTTATCTTCAATAAAGTACAATGGATCAGAAATAAACTTCTGTTCAATATCAGGTGTATTTGAGAGCTCATGTAACGTCTGTTCGTTGTAAATGTCTACTAGTATGTTGCTGTCTTGATGGATCCTGTGAATATCCCATATTTGCCCGAAGAAATTCTGTGTGGCGAAACATATCGTGCTGTGACGATAAGGTTGGTAATGATGGAAGTGTCGGAAGTAAACAACTCAACATACTAGCACTATCAGATGAATATATTCCATTGTTAGGTGGAGCCATTGAGGAGGAAGGTGGACAAGAAACTGAAGGAATCAAATGTGCAGGATTGTTATTATGGCTATGTGTGTGAACATGACCATGATGATGTCCATGATCATTAGAACCCAAAGCACTAGATCCTGATAGCATAAAAGAACCTAGACATAATTAGATTATTAATTTTAAAATAAAATTTTAATAAAAGAGATGACTTTTTACCAAATCCACCAAATACTTTTTATAGCTTTTTTAATAAAAAGAATGTTTATAATTGAAAGAATTGTTTTAAAAAAAAGAAGTACAGAAGTATTATATAAATATTATGTAAAGTATTATATAAAAAGTAAATTATATAAAGCAATAAATATAGCACATTTCCTTATATTAATGATTACCTGGAATACTAAGATTAGATGTATTGGAACTAGCTGCTGAACTCAAATTTAAGGAAGGTATTGTAGAATAATCTGTAGCATCGGATTTTGAATTTACATTATCTTTTAATGGTAGTGAAACTCTAGAATATGTTGGTGATTTAGAAAATAAGCCCTTTTCAGGTTTATCTCTTTTAATTCGTATTCCTGATGAAGACTTACATCCAGAACCAATTCCAAAATGTAATAATTCCAAATGTCTTCTTAAGTTTCTAGACTGTCTTATTATTGCACCACATAATGGGCAAGTTGCTGGTTGATCTGACAAAGTTCTGGATTTAGAATTCCAATCTCCTGTAAGCAAAATATACGTAATCCACCTAAAGAAGATAAATTAATTTTTCAAAAAATATTGTTTAATCAAAATTAAAAAAGAACTCCTAATTTGTTGATAGCAAAAAACAATTTTATTCAGTTTTAAAAATTATATTCAATGTTTACGCTTTTATTTACAGTGTAAATTAAAGATAAATACAATTTGCAGGTTGTACTTATACATTAATTAAATAAATCGTTTACTTACTAATAAAATATCTTATTTTTAATCAAATAATTGCAGCTCTTTGTAAAATTTTAATTATAAGTAACAAATTATAAAATAGTAAAAAAATTGATAAATGTAAAATACATTTTCAAAGATGAGTAATGTAAATAAAAAATAATAATTTATGAAGGATATTTTTTAATTCATGGGATTTTATTTCCCATTTCTTATTACTTTTCTTACGTTCTAATTAATACATATTTAATGAATGTTCTTACAATTTCAACTGGAAGATTTATATACTTAAAGAAATGCTTCATCTTAATATTAGTTTCATTTTCTAAAAGATCAATTCAAATGTTTCAATTTATCATCTAGACTTAAGAAAGTATTTAAATAGGTCCTTGTTAAAATGATTATACAAACAAACCACTTAATCTTCACTTTCAAACTACTTGGAAATTAACTTTTCCAAAGTACCAGTCTCCATTTTTATCACAAATACATGGTATTTACGATATGAGCCATATAAAATTAAATATATATTTATAATATAAGGCATAAGTACTTAGCTACAAAAAAAAACCAAATTTATCAGTCTATGCTTTAATTGTTAAAAATTTATTTCATATATCAATGTCGAGATATAGTCATAATGTTATTGAATAATCATTGACTTTATCTTAAGTTTGGTTTTCTCCTTTTTTCATCTGGCTACTGTCGGCGACGATATATTGCTGTGGGGTGAAACGACATTTGAACCCTGAGGAGAAGGAGAAGGTAATGGGCTAGGATTGCACACAATTTGTTCACAACTACTTCCACCACTTTCTGTTCCACACACTGGTTGCCCTGGATAACCTGGTATATCGATTTCAGGTTTCACTTCAATGGACATTGAATCTGACATCATTTGATGACTTGGATTAGCAGTAAAACGATACTTGCAAGATGACAGTAAATGTCTACGTAAGTTTCTCGCTTGGCGTAATGTTGAACCACATAATGGACAAACACCTGGACAGTCAGAAGCTCCTCGTATCTTTATTGATTGCGTAGATGTTGTGGAATTATTTGAAACGATAACTTGAGCCGAACCACTAGCTCCTGAAGAATATGATACATTTTGTATAGATCCTGGAAACTGTGGTATGTGTAGTGGAGAGTAAGGTTGCATTGGCATCAAATTGTGTAAATGTGGTTCAGCATCAGGATCAGCAAGTAGGGCTGCTGGATTGTGTTCAACTACTGGATGTACTAGTTGATGTTGCGGCAAAGGTGAAGACAAATGATGGTTTGCATGTTCCGAACGTTCTTTCGCTGTTAACAGACACAAACACAATATTACCATGCTGAGGGCTGAACTGACCTTTATGTCAAAAGATTAGCCACGCCAATTTTGGTATCTCTACTAGTAAATCCAATGAATTTGCAGTTCAACCCATTCGATGGTTGTGCTTGTGTCCGTATTATATATAATTGCAATGAGAAATCCTACTTAAATATATTAAACTTTTTTACAGCGATTTATATAAAATATGACAAAATTGCGGACACAAAACACAATTTTCAATGGATAATCCTAATTTTTTAATTTATTCATGATATTCTTACCTTCATCATCAAGATGACTTCCATCATCTCCATCTTTATGACCAAAATCTACAGATCTATTTTCTTCTGAGTGTTCATCTAATGACCTAGTTTCAAGAGAGGAATGATAGCCTATTTTTGGCCATTTACCAGCTCCACTAGACAATTTTCTTTTCTTTTTTCTTCGACGTTGAGGAAGATAGGAATTCATTGTGTCCCTAGATATACTAGTTTCGTTACACCCTGGAATTGTAGAAACTGGAACCTCTTCTCCTTTCTATAAATTAATCATGTAATATTATTAATAAAATAAAAATTTTGTACTTAGATTTAAATTATTTTTCTTATTAAACCATTTTATTCTCATACAATTGCATAAAAGTAAAAATAAAAAAGATTTAATTGTTACAAATTTACATACCTTATGGCAACATATTTTATAATATTTAATTGTATTATATTATCAAATACTTATACTGAAGTAATCGTATATACTCTGAAAATTCTATATGATTACCTCAGTTAGAATAGTTGGTGGTGTCAAACCATGTATGCTGAGGCAGTGTGCTGCCTGTAGTAACGAAGGCAACTGTGAAGGCTCCACACTGACTTCTCCTCTATAAACAAATTCCAAAATTGACTCTAAATCATCTGCTCCAATACCTGCTAACATTACAACTGGATGCTGACATGGTGTGCTCTGTGAAATAACAAAAAAGTACATAAAAAAGTAAGTAAAAACGTAGGTCTAATTATTTTTAATTTACTATTAGAAATTTATTAATAAAATAATTATAATATAGTACAATGCCACCCAAATATGATTGTCTCATAATTAAAATATATACCTTTAACAAATCTAGAAGAAATGGACTTGCTGCAGAGAGAACAATTTTATGTGCTGAAAAACTACGACCTCCGGCTGCTAAAGTAACATCTACTAAATCACCGTGTCCTCGAAGCAGTTGCACTGCAGAAGCTAGTGACGAACCAAATTCGCCCCAGGACAGACTGTACAACTGACTAGTGCTACCCATCTAAAAAATATTTAAATGAAAAAAACATGTATGAATAAAATCATAATACTCTTCATCTAATATATGAGAAGAACTGTTAAGAACATTCATTTGTACAATTGAGAACTTTGAAAGATATGCATATTTCTACCCAATGATTATTTTCAACGTATGCTATTTAGCTGTAGGCCTTTACACTGTTTAAGGGTAATAACTCTAACAAATTTACATGAAAATATTGATAAAAGAGCAAACGAAAGAAAACGATAAAAACTGAATAAAAATTAAAATCTAAAACTTGTATTTACAGGAAAGAAATATGAAAGTGATAAAAAAGGAATATAGATACTTGTATATATAATGCCGTATTCTATAAAAAAAATCTATCTTTATAAAGTTAAAATCAACGGTGAAAAGAAATAGGAGAGAAAAGAGAAGAGTGCCGTTACAACGGAAGGTCAATTTTTTTGCATCGACACGAAGCTCAACAATCTATATCTATAGACACAATACATTCGTACTATAAACTTCTGGTTGCGTAGCGGCACTCTGTTGCCTCCTCCTTCACACCCAACCGCCATCCACACCAACTGACCACGCTAATTGATACTGCCACCAACCAGTCTGAAAATCGTTCGTGAGGCTTGCCTACTCTGTATACACGTATTTTAAGGTCTTTTTCGCGGGAGATGAGCAATTATTTTATATACTATGAATTCGATGTGTACATATTCTGAAATCGAATATGTAAGCTCATTCTTTCCATTGCTCTTACTTTATCACTCTCCCTCACTCTCTTGCCCCTGCCAAACGCACTCACTCGCACACACACACTCACACACTCTCTCTCTCTCTCTCTCTCTCTCTTCATAAATATATTTATATTTCTCGTAGGCCCCTCTTTCTCCGTAATGAGGCAACCATTGTGACAATCAAATGAGCGTCGCTTTATTTTTTACTGGACTAACCTAACAAAAAAACTTGTCTCGCGCTCTTCCTTCCACCTTACTGCGAAGGTCTTCTCTTTGTTTTATATTAACAGAAAAAACGGTAATACTGAAGGTGTATGAGCTGGACTTGAAGAAGCGTCGCCGAAGGCCAACAGCGGCACAAACAGAACAGCTCGTCGCTCGAAGAGCGCGCGAAACTATACGTTGACGACTGCAGTGGCGATCGTGTCGGCTGCGGTGGCAGCAGCGGCTGCGGCGCGCAATACGGTAGAAATTCTGAACGATTCCGTCCGAAAGGTCTGATTGAAAACTTTCTCCTTGTGTTCAACGCACACACAGCCGCATAATGCGACACTCACCTCTCAACGTTGTCACGGTATCGTCGTCTTCGTTATCGTCTCTCAAATAAAATTACTCGATGAATGTCTCTTCTAAAGTAGGGTAAATCACTTGGGCTGTCTACTTAATAAAAGACAGATTAATGAAAGACATCAGTTGGATTGGAGTAGTGCCCGCGACTGTATTGTTCCTCTGTCGGCTTCTCTCTACCTCTCTCCTACTCTCTTCGAGAGATTCTCATACACTCTTATTCTCTTCTTCCTCTAAACCCTCTACACCAAACCCCTCCGCGCTGCACCGCCGCGCACTACACCTCACCGCACCTTACCGCACCACACCTGACCTCACTTCACCTTACTTCACCTCACTTCACCACACCACACTCCACCACACCGCGCCAAGCGCTTCCCCACCCTTTCTCTCCACTCCACTCGTCTCAATTCCACCTCTCCTAACCCCGTCGTTCGTCGTAATCCTAATCTATTCTCCACTATATTTCTTTGCCCATCCTGCTTTCTTACCCTCTCTCTCTCTCTCTCTCTCTCTCTCTCTTTTACCGGGCATTATCCATATATTGTAAAGTAGCAGTATATTCCACAGCGCGCGCGAACTTAAAAACATACATAGAGGGGCTTTAGAATGTACGACGGGAATTTTTTTTACGCGGTTGGCGAAGGGGCACGAGGAAGACAGAACATAAGTTAATGCGCGCGCAAAGTAATACGATGGTGGTGGTACAAGGTAGAATCTATCTCGTACATATGACTTGTCAATGGAAAATCGAACATCTAGCTGCTTGTGAAAGTTGGAATTCGTAACGGGAGAAAAAACGGGATTAACGGGTACAGAGGCTCTCACTGAACTTAAGGCAAGAAGCGTTTCTTACCAGATAATACGAACGAAATGAGTCAACATATTAACTAAGTATATATATATATATATACCGGCTTATACTTTATTAATCACACATACATTATCACCAAAAAAATCATGAAGTTTACTTTCTTTCCTTTTACTACCTTCGAGAACCCCAACTCTCAAATACAACTCCGTTGCCATCTGCCGGAAAATTTTAGTTTTATATTTTTATATTATTTTGTCTTAAATGTTTATATAATTTTTAGATATGTAAATTTAATAGATGAACCATTTCCAATAATTAATTTATAAACACATAAATTTTAGAATTAAAAAGAAATAAGAAAGATACTTATGGAATACATCTATTATTATATTGTATAGTTAAAAACTGATATATAATTGTATTCATACGTACACATGTATCATTCGTATTACAAAGTTCACTTTTTATCAATACACCTATATAACAGATAAGATCTGCGTCCACGCTTACTTTTACTTATATATTGTTACTATCTAATAACAGATGCATGGTATTCCAATAATTTTTTTATTGTTTATATTGACAATATTGTTTAAAAATATTTAAAATATATTTTAAATAACCATATAACATACAAAATATATATTTAATTGAAAACGGTTTTTAATATTATCTCATTAAATAATAAATTGTGTATTTATTTATAATTAGTTTTGAATTTTAATATAAAATGAATATTTATGAATAATTTGAAATCTAATGATTATACTATGCATTTTTAAAAAATATCACTACCAATCGCATAATCCAATTACTTATTATTTTCAATACAATCGAATAATATACGATTGCAAAATAATAAAAAATAATATATATTTGTATATAATATTCAAAAATATATTCAATCTTAATATTAAATACAATAATTGAATTTTAATTTAATAATAATAAAAAAATATAACCAATTAAAGTTTTTCTGACAAACAAAATGATTAGAAAAACATTTTTTCCATGTTTTTGTTTTTGTTTTAATTTCTCTCGTTACAAGCTCTGTATTTCTTTCTCTCTTTTCCGTCTATCTCTTGCTCATCATTTGCTCATCTTTTTCTGTTTATATCTTTCTCGTCTTTCTATCATTTATCCTTTTTTCATTTTCTCTTTTTCTCTCCTTTATCTCTTTTATTTTATTTTTTTCACTCATTTTCTCGCCCAATCTCCATTCACTCCCCTTCTTGCACTTACTTCACGCACTTACTTCTATTTGTATTCGCTTTACCGCTCGTTCTTTTATTTTTCTTATAAAATACTTAAAAAATGTAGTTTGAACGAACTTTATTGAATCGATTTGATAACTTCTACAAGGATTATCAGTAAAAAAGCATATCGTTTCCCATATTAATGAATAATAGTTTTTAACAATTATATTCTAAAAACGCTCTTCTGAATCAATAACAAATCCCTAATGAAATTCCTGTAATATTTTAAATACATTGCTAAAACATGAAAAATAACTGTAATGGAAAATATATTTTTTTAATAATGCAATAAAAACTGCATAATTCTATGTTAGATGAACAAATTATTTAAATTTGATATTCTTTTTTAACGTCTCTGAATATCATAATTATTTTTCAAAATTTTATATGGTATATATTTTATTTGTATTTAGTAAATTATTTCATTTTTTGCTAATGCAAACAAAATTTATTTTACTCTTAAATATTAGTTTCAACTTTCACCTATATTTTCTCAAATAAACATAATTTTTCAAATTAAATCAAATGAATAAAAAAAATTTTAAAAGTAATTTTGTTTCATTTTATATCAAATGATCCATACAGCATTGATATAATGTTACATAAAATCAAAAGTGTTAGTTCTTATATTGAAATTTATAATATATTACTACAATAATATTAATATTTTTTTAAAATAACATAAAATTTTAAAAATTATTACATACTGAAAAACTGTGAAAATACATTAATTACTCATAAAATAAAATATTTAATTTCAAGAAACGTAACTTGCATTAGTTGTCTTCGTCGCTCAAATTTTCTAAACGTAAGAAAATATATAAATATGAATGGTCTTAAAAAATTGTGCCATTTTACTCATCATTACATGATTTCATCGATACATCTAATGTTTTAATCAATTTTTATCAGAAAAAATTTACTGCTCGATGCTTATTACACTAATTTTATAATTATTAATAATGCATCTTCATGTATCCTCAAGAAAAAATTGTATATGTTATAAGCTTTTAGGAACTAATATGTGCATTTAATTACAATCAATATTATTATGGATTAATTAAAAATATTTCATTTTAAAGGCAAACTTATTTTTCACTGTTATTAAAACTTAATAAATCATTAACATAAAAATTTATTAATAAGAGAGTATAATTAGAAAACAAATTAATCTAGATAAAGAATTTTTCAATATACATATTTGTTCAAGATGCAGAAAATCTTTCGAATGTTCTCGTTTCGGGGAAATGAGTCAACGGTCATTGGAGTTCGGAAAAGCCGTAATTAAACAAGTGCACAATCATCTCCATTGTTCTTCGCACCACAGTCGCACCCATTGTTTTTAGCGGAATGATAGGCCCTATGTTGTCAGTTAACAAAACTGTCACGTGGCTATTTCGAACAAGCGCACCACGACGCGCACCTGTAGACTTTCAGTCATTGGTGCAGTCAGTCATGCTATTCACGCAGGAAGAATGGTCGGTCAGCAAGCTACTCACTACGATAGAAGGACGCCGTATCAATTCTCCTGTGCTGCAATTAGAAGATGTTAACGCTCGCTCTCTACATATAATACAATTATAATACATTTATAATTTTATAATACAATTCATCCACACGGAACATCCGGGATCCACACGGAGCATTCGAGATAGAAAAACATTCATCTCAGAACGGGCCAAGACTACTATATCTCTGTGAATAAACCAAGTCTAAAAATAAATTATTGTTCATCCTTACATTGCTAATTCGTACCCACTCAGTTGTTGATTCTTAGAAAATCAACAAGGAGGATCCCATGTAGATAACTTATTCACCACAGGATCAGTTCGAAGCAACTGTAACGACGTGATTGAATATAGTGTATACCCTACCATGATATAATTTCAACGCATTAATAATGTAATTGTAAATAAACCTTAATAAACCATATTTATCGTAGAAGCACAAACTGTATTATACAGCCCTTCCACTTAACTCCTTTCCAAGCACCCTCTAGGGCGGGCGGCAAAGCTATCAAAACATTGGCAGTTCCGGCCAGGAAATAAAACAGTTTCGAACATTTGGTCCGTCGAAACAAACTATAGTGGTAGGTAGTGCATCTAACCAATGCCGTGAACACATTCAACTTTGAAAAATTAACAGTTACATTTTCATCGCTGCATACTATGCAACACGTGACACTACACTATGGAGCATCTGGAGATTTACGACCTCAAACTTCTACGTGTTCTAACTCACTATCTAAAACATCGCAAAAGGAGGCATCCAGAGATTTACGACCTTCCACATCTACGTAGTGCACGCCGATAACACCATGACAGCCAACTACAACATGGAAGAAAAAGACACGAGGAATCCTTGTGTTAAAACTACGCTGAGAAGTGCTGAACTAACACCCTTACCCTTTTAATACGAGAGAAAGGCAATAACTCAATGGTCGCGCATCTCATTAATGATGGAATTGACCGCGGAATTTAAGTCATTACAGGGCGACATCTCTCCAGCTGAAATTTCAGATGCTATTTCACACGTCGAGAAACTGTATAAGGCCTTCATTAAGGATCATGAGTACTTGGAGGCAACAGGGCTAGTTTCTAAACTCCTATGAAAGGGAATTTGCGTGATACAAAACGACGGTAAGAATTATTACTAAACTGCGCCAATTCTCCAGGAGAGAATCTAGTTTGAGTGACACTTCGTCACACAAGGTACAGGCACAAGGAGTCCAACTCCCAAATGTCAGTCTTCCCAAGTTTTCAAAAAATCGAGAGGATTGGCATGAGTTTCGTGATCTTTTTAAAGCATTGGTCCTGAATAACAATGAGATTAGCGAGGTTGAAAAAATGCATCACCTTCGCACCGTAGTGCAAGGCCCAGCAGTACAGATAATCTCTGGTTTCTCACCGGCAAACCAATCCCTTATACCAGCTTGGAAGTTGCTAACAGATCGTTAAAATAATAATTGGTTATTGGTCCAATTAAGTCTCACTACGCTTCTCTTCCTTTCAAATCAGATTAAGGGAGACGCAGCAACGTTTGGGAAACTCGCCAACGCTCCAATAAAGCAATAAAACAACTATTAACCTCTGAAAGCACCGAAAATTTATGGGAATACATGTTAGTACAGCATATCTTTCAACAATTCGACCGTACCTCAATGGAATTATGGGAGTCATCACCTGGCTCGTAGGTTTAGTCGAAATACCGGTTCATTCCACGACATCGTTACTTGCCACGGCCATGGCCGAAATACGGTCAAAAACTAATATCGTATAAATTTATCTTCTCATTAACAGAGACTCTGAACTTTAATTCATCATCGAAAAAATCTGCAGAAAACTCTACATTCTTAGAAAAAGTTCAATCCTTCACATTCATGGTATTGGCAGAGCTCATGTCACTCAGATACAAGCTGTTGTGTCACTCACTCACCGCTCAATCCACTCGAAGTCCATAGTCACCATTCAGGCTCACATTCTATTTTCACAATATTCACATATTCAGTAATACATTCAACACAGCGCTTCACTGCTTACAGAGCCTATTAAGGAAATTTTCGAGAATCCAGGAATACCAACAGCAGTATCAACAATTCATGAAGGAATATGAATGTTTCGTCTGGATGATTTGTATTACTATCCCGAATGCTCAGTGTGGATCCCGGATGTTCCCTGTGGATGAATTGTATTATAAGAGGGAGCGAGCCTCAACATCTTGTAATTGCAGCACAGAAGAATTGATACGTCGTCCTTCTATCGTGGTGAGTAGCTTGCTGACCGACCATTCTTCCTGCGTGAATAGCATGACTGACTGCACCAATGACTGAAAGTCTACAGGTGCGCGTCGTGGTGCGCTTGTTCGAAATAGCCACGTGACAGTTTTGTTAACTGACAACATAGGGCCTATCATTCCGCTAAAAACAATGGGTGCGACTGTGGTGCGAAGAACAATGGAGATGATTGTGCACTTGTTTAATTACGGATATACCAGCATTTCCGAGCCTCAAATGAACGTTCGAAAATTTTCTTAGAAATTATGAACGTTGAATCATTTCCCCGAAGATCACCGTTGGGGTTTTTCCTTGAAATAATAGCCGTTGGAATTTCTCCCCAAATGATAAAATTCGAGAGATTCTCTGAATGTCGAATAATATTATAGTCTTGATTGCAGATTATGAAGAAGAGCGATGAAGAAACAGAGAAAAAGATTGAATATACACGAAAAATCGTAAATGATGAAACGTGAATATAATTATAGGATATATTCACCATATATCACCAAGAATTCCACATATACTTATCATATATTTATATGTGTGTGTGTGTGTGTGTGTGTGTGTGTGTGTGTGTGTGTGTGTGTGTGTGTGTGCGCGCGCGCGCGCGCGTATGCGTTTATTTATTTATTTATAATGCAGTAAAAATATAAACTATTAAAAAGTTTTGAGTTTTTTATTTATATGAAAGTAAAATTGTTGAAATATGAAATAATTTATTTCAAAATTAAAATTAAAAATTTTAAAATTTAATATTTCTTCGTTTGGTTCAAAGAAGTAAATTCGTCTACATAAAACATTATTTCTTATATTTATATATTTTAATGTATTACATAATTTGATACAATTATGTTAAATATACATATCATATAAATTAAATATAAATATCATAATTTGATACAATTATGTTAAAAAATAATAATTAGAAAGAAATATGGTAGAATTCTAAACTAGAAGTTATAATTGAAAGCTATAAGCAAATAGTCCATTTATGGCGGCAACTGTTCAAACATTTATAATGATAAATTTTTCTTTATACGCTTTTAAAATATCTAATAATTTATTGTATAGTGTTTTAAATCAGTTTATATAATAATTAAACAGTTTTTAAATAATTAAAATTTAAAAATTATGTAAATTCGTAATTCCAATTAAATAAAGGTATTTTTGTCATATTTTATTCCATTTCTATCTGAATTGATTCAAATATTTTTTATAAAATATAAAAATTATATTAATATATCGAGTTTATTAATACAAATGAGTTAAAATAAAGTCTATGTAATAAGAAACTTTTGTATAAACACCAGGGATGCCACGTTCAGCACATCGGTAGCCTACCGATACTATACCAATGATATAATAGGTTGTAGCTTTTGGAAACATCAATGGTCCACCACTATCACCCTAAAAGTGAATAATACAATCATTCATAGTAATATTTTACGAAAGTTTATTTTTCAATATAGTAATATCTATTTATAATTTTTAATGTAATAGTTTTTAAAACTCCTTTTCAAACAAATATTCAGCAAACTAAAATTTTGAATAGAAGTAAAGTACTGCATCAATAGTATATAAATGGAAATGTTAAAAAAAAAGTAGCTTATGTAGAACATTTTTAGAACAAGTAATAAATATTAGATACAAGTAAAATTAGTAGAGTTATTTAAACAAAAAAGATTTTAATAAAAATATAATGTTGTGAAGCACCATTGTAAATTAGAAAAATTAACACAAAATTTACCTGGCATGCATCTCTTCCTCCTGCAGGTTCTCCCGCACATAAAACTTTGTCGTCAATACCGTGATCTAAATTAGCATAGGCGTTTCTACAATTTTCTTGTGATACAACCGGTAATTGAGTCTCTAGTAAAACGCTACTAGAAGGTCCACCTAAACAATTATATATATAATAAATACATCGATAATTATAAAAAATATATAAAGAAACATAATAAACGTATTGCTATTCTATAATAAACACATACGGAAGATTACTGCACCCCACCCAGCTACGAATGGATAATGTCGAATATAATCTCTGTTTTTAATTTCTGGTATTAGTGGTAGGCATATAGGATGAATGGCATCTATAACAAATCATGAAACTATAAATATTATAGTTATTTTTTTACATTTTCATGTGAGCAACAATTTAATATTTAGTGTCCTATAAGAATATATAACATTGGTTGTATTATTTGCAAAGAATAATAATTAAAATTTGATAAAAGTATTCAGTTGCCGATATACCTACCGGTAAATGAAACTTCATATTTGAGTCTTAGCACAGCAATGTCATTGGCAACGGTTTTCGAATTATACTGGGGATGAATAGTGCCTCTCTCTATGGGCACGTCGATCGGGTTTGCTCCATCTGTTTCACTTTTAAGATCATGCTCACCAAGCCGCGCAAGGTACAAATCATAACGATTATAAACACAGTGGCCAGCTGTAAGGATGTGACGACTCGAAATGAGACTGCCACCGCATAACCATTGAGGCTGATGCGACTTTTTATTTTTATATCCCAATGCCGCCATCCATGGCCAAGCTCCTAAAATAATAATATATTTTACTTGACCTTTAATATTTAAATGTACGCTTTATTCTCATAGTTACATAGGCCAAATATCCAACCCTTTCATTTTACAAGCATATTAAGTGAAATAGAAAAAATTCTTTTAACTATTTTATATAATAATAAGCATTGCAGATATAAATTATCATTGAAATTTTGTAAATAAAAAATTTCCTTTGATTTGGAATCTTTTACTTGCAATTTATAATATTATCCAAATACCAGAAATTAAAAAAATATATATGAAAATAATGTTTGTCTGGGATCAGATTGAAAAACCTCCCGGTGATGTTCGGTGGCGGGATTGCTGGCAAGTGGAAGAAGAAGGCGCATTAATTCAATATTAACACACAGCGTGCTGCAATCTGTGAAATCCTTTCAGTATTTTTCACGTGGCGATTGCATTCACTACCTGCAGCAGTAGTGCCACATGCTGGTGACGATCTAACATCTACCCCTTGTGGCCGTCGCAGAGCGTCCTTGTAATGTCTCTGCACTTATAGCCGTGGTGTATGTTTCAACTGTGGCCATTCGCGGGACCTTCGCAATCTACCTCTACATGTAGTGAGTGCATGCTGACACCATATGGTGAGCACTGCAGTACTGCAAGATCTCAATGATCCTCATCATCAACTTAGAATCATTATAGTATAGTTGTTCGGGTTTGAAGCAACTTCCAAGACCGTTGACTATCGGCATCGCTAGTCTCTCTAGCTCTCAAGTTTCTGTAAACACTTAGAACGAGAATTTTCGTATACTTGTTATGTTTTGGTTTTAAATGGCCTATAATGTTTATATAGTCTTCTCGCAGTAACATCGCTTGGAATTTTTCAAACTTCTTATACCTTGTTTTTTTCTTAAAATTCTTTAAACTTCTAGAGTTTTCTTTCTACAGACTACTAGACAAGTACGCGACGAGCCTTACTCTCTTGCAGTGAACCGACCACAGTGAAGCGATCTTGATGAAGAAGCAATGGCACGCATCACGGTCTGCCTCAACAGGACCGCCATGGAACAATCGGTATCTCTCAGCGGAGCCGCCACGGAACGATCAACCCTTCAGTTTTCATGTGCGTATCTGACAGGTTTATAGGCTCATTGTGTATCAGTCATTGAATTACGCTATTCAGCCATTGCTTTTTCTCCTACAACAGTCGTTCAGGTACATCACACAATGAAGCAATCCAAGGAATACACATTCGATTATCAAGTGCGCTACATTTACAAGCAGTCAATAATGCTGACTGCATTACGAGAAACTACACTGCTATAACAAGCATAGTCACGTGTCCGATACAGGCGTGTGCACATTTGAGGCCACATGTCCTACATAGGCATGTGTGCATACTACTGCTAATTCTGATAATACTAGCAAAAGCCACTTTATTGTATACACTTCAAGGCCATATGTTCTACATAGGACTGTGAGCATATTACTGCTAATCTTGGCGACATTAGCATTAGTCACATTATTGTATACACCTCAATGCCGCACAGCCTACACAAGAGTAGGAGTATATCTCTGCTAGTCCTTACAACACTAGCGGAGGTCACGACATCGTCACCATCAAGGAGCAACCTCATCATTGAGATGAGACAGAGTTTCCATTGTTCTATAAGAAGTGAATCCTGCTTATTATTAATGTAATTGTTAATAAACGATATGTTAACAAAGTTTGCATATACTACATATTTTTACAACCATTCCACTTGACTCCCAGCTAAGCATCTGCTAGAGCGGATGGCAAATTATTAAAGTATCGAAATACTGTCAGTTCGAGCCAGGAAATAATACTACTTTCGAACAGTAGTTGTAATTTAAACGCAATAAACTGCACAAAAAGTAGATGTATTAATATTGAATTGAAGCGCTACTCCTCCCACTTATTCCCACTTTTCTCCTACCAGTAAACTGGTGAACTTAATTTAATTCTAAACAAATAGGAATTATGAAAATTAATATTTTGTTATAAGTTTTTTCCAAAATTAAAAGTTGAAAGAAGTTGAAGCGAGTTTAAAGTAAACTATAATATAATGTATAATAAATAAAGTAAGGATAAATTAAAACAAATTTTGAAAGTAGAATATGCACCCAAGTCGGCCGGTACACCGCCAACAACTCTATTGTGCTGAGCATTGCTCGAGCCACATTGTGGTCCGTAAAGCGGACCATAGGTAGAATTTGGCGACGGCTCTATCGGCTTTGATGTTATCATCGGTTGCTGTAGTTCCGTTCTTGGCCTTGGACAGCATACGATTGGCTGGCTGTTCTCGTAGTAACAGAGGGTACTGCGTAGAAAGTTACCGGCAGTGGTTCCGTATTTACGAAGGATCGCCAAGTAAGGGTCACATAGTTTAATGTTGATGCACACACCCAGCGAATGGTTAGCCGCTTTGTCGCATGTTTCCTCTGAAATTTGAAAATTGTTGCGGTCAAAAATTGGAAAAAGATTTTATACCAGCCACCATATCTAGATTACTATAGATGTGTCAAGTGTAATTTTTTAAGTATTTCTGGATTGGCCATTTTACCAATTACTTCTAAAACAAGTATGAGGATATATTGAAAATTTAACAATATTGTAAAATATAATGTATGTCATAAGAAAATCGAAAAAAACCGAACAAAAATAAATCGGCTTTGAATAATTTATTCTGCAAGGTTACATATCAAACTTGTTACAGTTAAACGCAACCAAGTGCAGAAATAAATAAATTTTTGCATCCTGACTCTTAATAGAACCCTGCAAATCTCGGTTACCTATTCTAGTAGTTTGTCAGCAACTTACAGGAATTTCCAGCCCATCTGAATGAGTAAAAAAACCTGCAATGCGAATCTATTTATGGAATATTCCCGATACTCGGTTAACGTTATATTTATTATCCACTAATAAAATATTATATTTTTGTTTTTCTACAAAACAGTTTATATTAATATTTCAAATAAAAAGTTCCCAATTACACATTAACTTTTAATTCAATAAATAGAAAAAAATATTTTAAAATAAAATTCTTATAAACAAAACTAAAAACGAAAAGAAACATCGCTGAATAATTGGATATATTAAGAAAACACTACACAAAAGTCTAAAATATTTTTACGCTAACTTTCAATTTTACAAAATTTTATCATTGAAAGGCTAGTAAGAAATGATCATGAAATAGAAAAGTTAAAATATTTCATTATCATTCGGTTTATGTATCTATGATAATTATTGATATAAATAATAAATGTGTAAAAATATAAAATACTACAAATTAATATAAAATCTCAACTTCATATAAAATAAGAAATTACTAGACAAATATCTTTAATTAAAGAAATCAATATGCAGTTTATTTATAATTAATAATAAATTTTGAAGAAATCATGTCTAAATCTCCATAAATCAAATATTAATTGGAAGTGATAATAATATGGTAACCATTATTATAATTAACAGTCACTATGTAATTTATTTTTAAATAAATATATAAAATACTATCAAAATTTATTTTGAATAAACATAAAATTTAATTTCTTAAAAATACAACAACGAAATACATGCCATAAGTCTCTAAAAATGATCAATAAAAGACCGCTGATAACTGGCTTAAAATTCATATAATAAAGACACTTTTATTAAATATTTTATTATATTTATTACTGAATAAACCTTAAATGCTTCTCCAATATTGATATAAGTTAAAATAAACTTCCTTTTGAAAGAAATAACAATAAATAAAATAAACCACTACAATTTGTTTTAAACTATTATCCCAGTTATAATTGTGGAGAAAAATATTAATCATAATATTTCATATATATTTAAATATACATAAATATTCTATTCCAAAAATAAATAACCAATTACATGTCATATTTATTTTGCGGCGTTTGCTGTTACAGATTTTATTAATAAGTAAATAATTTATTAAACATATTATATACTACACATAATAGAAATTAAAATTTTAATTATAAATACATATCGAAAAACATGAAAATTAAAAATAACTTCGAAACTGTGTATATCTAAAAACTTTTTTGTGAAGTATAAACTATGTATTACTAATCATCTTTCGAATTATCATTTAAATAAGCTATATAATTTTCATATTACTTAAATAATAGAAAAATGTGACATTCTGTTTAATAATAACATTTCTAAATTAATTTGAATAAAACTGAATTCATTAAATAAATAGTTTTTTATATTTTAAAACTTTTTAAAATAAATAGTGTCACCATTATAGCCATAGTATTATATCAGATATTATTTATTATAATAACATAAATCAGTTAATTATTAAATATATTATAAAATTAAATGAATAATATAATTAATAAAATTTTACTAACAGTAAATATAAATGTTCTTTATTAACAATATACTAAGAATATGAATTATTTAAAATAGTTCAAATATATATTTTCTGTAATTTATAATTAATATTTTTATTGATTTAATATAAGGAAATAACATTATCTAATAACAGTTATACAAATATTTCATTATAAAGACTAGAAATTAATGTTAAAAATAAAGAAAGAAATTTTCTACTGTAGAAAAAATTATAAATTGAAAGATAAAAAAATAGTTTTTTATAAAATCTATATTTTTAATTCAATTTTATTTGTTACTTTTTAAAACTAGATTTAATATAAATTGAATAAAAAAACTTTTTTTTCGATAATCAAAGCATAATAACCTAAATGATTTATATCGAGCTTTAATGTTGTTACTTTCACTGGATATCTTCAATTTTATATCTTACAAGGTAAGATTTTTGAAAGTTTATAATTATTTTTAAATTATCGAGTATAAAAAAAATTAAAATTATTTCTTATTATAGGCATATTTCAATAATAATGTTGTAATTACGATAGTTTTGAAATTAATACAAATTTAAATTACAAAATTTAAATGAATTCATAATTAATATTTTGTAAAATTGATTATATATTTAGCTAATGGTATATAATTACAATTAAGGCATAAAAAATATATAATTGCATTCGTTAACATTTCTTTTCTATTACGTAATATTTATAAGAACTTTCTTCTATTGTTAGTTCAAATGAAAAAATATTTACTAGTATACAGTTTGTGATAATCTGCCGTAAAATTATACTCTAGATTTTTTTATTGTAATACTAAAACCTAATGAAGGTTTAGTATTGTATTTGTGTAAAAAAGGAGAAAAGATTATTTTGGTTGAATTATATGTTAATGCAACTATGCATAAAACAAGTAATCGAGGTCGGTATCGAACATGTAAAAATTCGGTCAAGGTTGTAACGATGTAAAACGATGTTAAGCCATAAGAAGGACTTTTATAGATTGCTATGATTCCATTTAAAAAAATTTTAAAAATATATGTAAATGCTACTTATAGTTTATAATTTTTAATTTAATTTGTAATGAAATTTCTACTAGTTATAAAAATATACTGCAATGTTCATTTCTTTTCTTTAATAATGTGAAGTAAATGTTTAAAGTATTAATATTTGTGACAAATAATCCTCATAATAAACTTGAATTATAAAAAAATTGTATTTGAGAATATTTGTATATTTATAAATAATTATTTGAGCACGTTTATACTAAAAATTTAATACCTCATAGTTTTTGCAATAAGATCAAGACATGTTAATTTTTAAATGCATTTTTAACAACATATTAAAGATCTAAAATAATATAAAAATTGTAAGAATATAATAAACATTCGTTACATAAAATTACTTACTGACCTAGTGATAAAACACGTTGACTGAAAATATGCAGTCCTAATAGTAAAATGATTAATATGTAGCTTTTATAAAATTCCATGATCTCTTTTCGTTATTCTGAAAAAATGAATGAAAAAGGTTAATTTACAATGAATGTTATTTTATAATTATAATATATGTAATGCGTAAACTTCAAAATAATCTTTGTTTAATATTTCGAAAAGTTTTTCATTTAAAATTTTTCTATAATAAGAATAACTTTAATACGCTTGCTATATTTAGAACAAGGATTTTACTTATTGTGTTAATATCAAATTTATAAAATTAATAGTATATTATGTATATCACTTTATTTGATTAATTGTTTTATAAACATATAAACAAGATTTAGTAACTTTTTCCAAACATTGGTATTTCCTAAAGGCCGTCATTGCATCAATTAAATGTGATTGATGAATCAACCAAAATCCGATTATGTTACAAAATAAGAATTGCTTCACAATATATAACATTATTTGTTTAGATGAAAAATACATAAAATGACAGGGAAACATATAGTTTTAATATTTATTGTGATATTTAACATCTTTTCTACATAAGTCACAAAACACACAACTAAAACTTATTAGCTAACATTATACTGGATTAATTGTTTTCTACTGCAATAAAAATTAATAAAACCGATATTATATCTTTAAAATATAAATAAAACATTTGTTATTAAAATAAAATTATTTTTTACAAAAATGAACAATTTGGATAACATATTTAAAAAAATCATTACTCATCTCATCGCTCATTATTTTAATTTTTTATTACTGATCTTAAAAGTATTTAACTATCATTGAAAGTCATTAAGCAATAATATAAATAATGAATTACATTTTTAAAGAATATAATTTATTAATAATTTCTCAAATTTTCATTAATTTTTTAAAATAGTTTAATTAAAGATAAATATTCATTACGATGCCACAATAAACTAATTTTTTATTAGACAATTATACTATATAATTGACCTTAATTCAGTTTTTTTTACTACATATATACGTATCTTTATAATTTCAATATTGCATTGAAGTTGATTAAATGTTTTATTGAAAAAAATAATATTATATAGCTTAAATTAGCTATTATAAGCTACAATAAAAATTAAAATAATTAAAATTATAATAAATAATATGTTTTCTAAATACGCAATTTTAATAGTGTTCAACCATTTTTATTGGTTTTGCTATTTCATTTAACTGATGATCCAGAGATCATGGAAGATCATCAGAGATCATCAGAACATCTATGCAGAATCAGTAAAAAATAATAATATAGCATATTTAATATTTCAATAGAAAAATAATCATAATTATCGAATCATTTAATATTAAAATTCAGATTAAATAAATAATATATTTATCTACTATAAATATTATCACATTTAATTAATCTTAATAAGTATCATTTAATTACATATTTATTTAAATTTTATTCAGCATTATTAATATAGAAATAAGATATATACACATATAATTGTATTTTTTAAATATAAAATTTTTGTAAATTTTTCGATAATTTTTATTTTAACAATTTAAATATACTCATTCGTATTCCAAATATTCTGCAAACTTAACAAATATTGATTTACTAAATTTAAGAAAACTATTTTATTGTTGTAACAGTTTAAAAGTTCCTTTATGTATAATTCATGTCACTTCTATCTTGACTATAAAATTAATATTGATATTATTAAACTACTTTTAGATTAGATATTCTTATAAATAAAATTACTCATATTATTATAATCATTAGATATATAATATTAAAACACATATATGAAACACATACATGCTTAGATATAGATGGAATTGGCATATATAAAATCATTAGAATAATTTTTGCATTTCAAAAGTATATAGAAATAAATCGAGTAGCTCTTGTAAATTTTTATGTTATAAATTTATATAAGAATTTTATATAAAATATATTGTTTATACTTCAATATTTTCAATTAACATCTTGCAATTTTAAAAAATATTTATTTTCATAAAATATCTAATCAAAGGAATCTTAAGTAAATTTATAAGAGATTTCAATACTCGAAATATATATTATTTAGATATCTAATATAATTAATTGATCTTAATTTATAATTTACATACATAATACATTCATTTCGTATATAATTAATTATTTAATATAATAAAATATTTATTGTAAACGTAAATAAATATATGTAAACAAAATATAATGATAAATCATAATCAATAATTAATGTGGTTTTTCTACCTCTGTCTCTATAAATTAAGTATTTAATTTATATAATAGTATATTTTTTTATGAATTAGTATATAAAAATAAAAGAAACAAAGTTTTAATTTCTAGTTTGATAAATTTACTAGTAGATTTTAATAATAATAAATAATTATGAAATTTAGTTAATGATATTAATTGAACAATTAATATTAATACATTTAATTTTATTGTAAAATTATTATTTAATTATATTACTAAATAAATTCCTACTATTATTTACGATAATAAAAATTGTATACCATAGATTGATCCTATTTCAATTAAATATGAGATTTCATTTTTATATTGTACGTGTTCACTTTTATAACATGTTTCCTCGGTACATTAAACTCTATGAATCTCGTATCGACTATTTCTAATCAGTATTTATAATCTAAGATGGATAATCATAAGGAATATTTAATACATATTAATGCAAACAAACTCTCCTTCTTTTAATTATGTGATCTGTGAAAATTGTTTAAAAATATATAACTATATATATTAGATCAAATAAATTTATTTTATAAACATTAAAAACATTAACTGCGATTAGATATTTATTTATTGTAAGGTAATAAATAATAAAAACACAATAAAGAAATATATTAGTTTGAAAAATTGAATTGCTTTGAAATGTACACCTGCATGTGCCTACACATATATAAAAAATAAAAATTTTAATTATAGATTATTGAATTGTTCATTTTTCTCATAAATTCTCATACATGAAAAATTTAATATATAGTGAACTAGATATATAGTGAACTAGATAGAATATCACATTTTCATATATCATAATTCTATAAGAAATAAATAACGTAGTATGAAATTAATAAAAGATATTTATGCTGATTCATTTTCCCATTTAGTTATGGATTTGATATTAAATAATTTTTTATATTTTGAGAAAATAATATTTTCTTTTTCTTAACGGAATTACATACTATCTGACAATTTCCATGTTATATGTTTCTATGTTTATAACAATTAAGAAAAAAAATCTCACGAACTGAATTTTTTATATTTTTATGTGTAATAGACTTAATATTAAGTAATTTTCATAATTATATGATATAACAGATTTCTGTTAAATTTTAGTTTTACATTTAGATGTCATTAAAACTATTTATTTCGTTGTCTAGATAAAACCGTTGTATTTTTAGATGAGGAAATATTACAGAATACTTGTTAAGAATAATAACATAACGATCAGAAATTTACAAAATATTATGACGTCCTCTGTACATTTTCCTTTTTCGTATCTGCTTGAAATAAATTTAATTATATAATTGAAACACTTTTATGATAGAATAAATAATAATCTAATCAAATATATTGAAAGTTTATGAATTTATTGTTCTTAAAATCTGTACAAATAACAATATTTATTAATTAATGTATTTAAAATAAACGAAAATCCCATATATTGTGATTTAACTTATATATCATATATACTTCAAGTTATATTATTAAATAGTTTCCTGATTTTTCAGAGCTACTGAATACGTTTTACTTTTATATGAACAATATAATTGCACGAAATTAAGTTCTAATATAATACAATAATAATAATAAATGTTCATAATAATGGATAACCGATTATAAGCATAAATAGTGCTATATTTAAAATTATATAATTAAAACTAATTTAATATCAACAAAATTAAATTACTCACAAATTGAAAAAGATTCAAAATAATGTAAATCACTCAACGGATTAAATGGCTTAAATCACATCTGAAAATGAGCACAAACACATACTCATTTACAAACAAATTGTATCTGTTCAGAAAAGTTCGTTATTAACACACTTGAAGTAGTGGTAAGACTGATGCTCGATCCTCAGAGACATTCTTTTTATGTCAATTCGCGTCGGGTATAGCCCACAGCTTCCGCGATGTTTCAACGAAAATGTTCGAAAGCAATTTAGATATGAAATAATACAGAATTCGTATTTCCTATTATACATAAAAATATAAACTAATACAATTTATTAAACTATATTAAATATAAATTATATGAAACTATATTAAACTAACTTATCATAATTATTTAAATTATATTAACTGTAAAACAGTTCGAATAATATGTTTATAATAAATAGAAAATTGAAGAATAATAAGTAAATTTAAGTTTATCTCTTTATTGTTATGTCTCAGGAATATTTATTTATAAAAATCTGATAATAATAAATTAATTAAGGCAATGAAAAAAAAATGTTTTAAAAATATGATACACTGTTCTTTTATAAATTCTTATAGTTTGAAGTGTTATTAAATACAAACTACAATTTTTAACTATAAAAAGGCCACTAATATGTTGAAAATCAAACAAATGTATCCTTTAATTGAAATTTAACATCTAGAATAAAAACATTTATGGAACATAATATAATCTTATTTATGTATTATGTATAGTTCTGCTGAGTATATATATATATATCCCGAGAATAATTAATATTGATTTTATATACCTTGCAGTTGTTTCCGTATTTCAATGATAATAAAAACGTTCTTACAGAAATGTAAAAATTATTATATTCACTTCAGACTAATATATAATCATTAAAAATAGAAAATTTTTATTATTTTTATAAAAAAATTATTAGTAATATAAATATTATTCTTTAATGTAAATTATTAACTTTTAACGATTAACTAACTTAAAAAAAGTATATTTTTATTGAATTATATTCTCTGTTAATATAGAATTTAAGATTTTTAATCATCTATCGTTTAATAAACTGTAGAAATATTTTCAATCGATGAGATACTAACTTGAAAAATAATTAAATTTTGACTATTACAATTCTAATGAAATCATTTGAAGTTACTGTATTTATCAATTTTTATTATTTTATTAATTATTTATCAATTTTAGACAGAAAACCATAAAAATAAAATACAACTTAATTTTATTTATAGGTATTTGAGTAACGAAAACTTACCACAAACACTACTTTTATTTTATTGATTTTTGGAACTTGAATATATGCAACAAATAAAAAAAAATATATTGTGAAAAATGAACAACAAAGTTTTAAAACCTTTAATCAATGAAATCTTATATTTATATTTCCTAATTTATAATTTTTATTGCTTTACTACTGTACTATATTTAATTATATTCATAAAATGTTACTCCATTTATATCTATATTGATTAAATCGAATATTTAAAAAAATAGTTTAATAGTCCATATAAAAATTACAGATATTGTATTGAATTTAAATAAATTTATAAAAAATATCAATAAATATTTTGAAAATATCACGTGATCTATTAAAGAAGTTGTTTAAAAACTATTATCATTTCTAAACAATTAGTATATTGATAGTATGTTTATTTTTATTGTATTAAATTTCAAACAATTAAATTTCTACAACTATATAATTTTAATTATTACGCTTGACTATTATAGCGTCTTAAATGAAATTTTAATGGAATAGAAAAATCATATCGCTTTATTAATTGCAAACTAGGTTTTCTGTCCAAAAATAAAATAATTCTAGCACACTTAAAAAATAGTAGGCTCAAAAATAAATACAATTGTTTTACATGATTTACTTCCGTATGTTCAAGATGTACAACTAGTGTAAAGACAACTCCATATAAAATTTATCCTTATATATGACTAATATTAAAAATAGCAATATAAAAATAAGCCCGAAATAAAATTTAAAATACGTCTTTTTATTAAAATAAAATATAACTAATTTAGAGGTAAATTTGTAACTTCAGTTTTAATTTTCAATAATTAATATTTAATTAAATAATTGATTTTATAGTCTGTATATTATATTATATATTATATATATATTATATATATATTATACTAATATATAACACCAGTGTTAGTAAGATAAACAATCACTATTGTTTTTTACATATATTGCTTTATAAACTTATAAATACAAAAATTTTATAATTTTCATATAATACTTTATGATAGATTTGTTTTCCAAAATCTTAGTAAATAAAGTAAAAAAACGATAATATTTGAATTATTATATTAGCATAAGAAGCAATCAAAGATTTTTCACTGAAATTAATAATAAAACAATCCTAATATACAGTAATAGTCACAGTTATTTCAATTAAAATGCAAGGAAAATTATTGATTTTCTCAATATTATCATTATATCAGAAAAGTTAAATTGTTAATTAAATAGGAATCATTTATCTTTTGACTTATCTTCGAAAACAATATTAGAGTATTGTATTTCTAAAATGATTGCAGTATTTCATACATCTTAAGATATACTGATTTTTTCTATATAAATTTTTTCAATCATCAGTCATATTACGCGATTTCTTAGTAAATTTATTTTATCACTTTTGATAAATTTTAATATATATGTCTGATAAAGCTCATTTTTACAAATAAATTTAATGAAACGCATTTATTGTCGTCATAAAAATAACGTCATCAATAATTTTACATAATTGTACATAAATTCGTATTTTTTCTTATAAATAATTAATAATATAAAGCGGAAAATTTGAATTCGAAAATTCTAAAAAAGAAAGAAATGAAGAAAATACCAATTCTAAATAATTAAATATAATAATTATTTACATTTAACTCTTTTGTAATTTAGGCATATTCAATATTTTTCATTAAATAAAATTTTTTATTATATATATATATATATATATATATATATATATATATTCTTTTCATAATAAATAAGTATATATACATACATATGCACATATACACATAATTTACAAAAAAATAATTTATAATTTTGAACGCATTAATATATTTAAAAAGCAAATTGATTTTATTTCTAAGGTAAACTTTTATTAGTTCTTCCTTTATCTTTTGTCTATCGCAATTTGACAGAATTCAGTAAAAAGTTTATATTATATTACAGAATTTTAATAAGAACTAAATTCAACAATTTTTTACATGTTTAAATAACCTTACAGTAAAATCAATTATTAAATATGGTTAATATTTTTCTATTTTTCGACCTTTTCCTTTTATATAATTTAAACATGACTACTAAGTTTAATTTAATGTCTATAATTAATATTATATTAATATACATATTTTTTATATCAGTGAATAGTTATCCAATTTTTAATTTTTATTAATTTAAAATAAATACAAAATATTTAATAAAATTTCATATTAAAATTATATATGCAACATTTTCTATTTGTAAATATTGTCCATCAAATATTATACAGTTTCTTGGCAAATATTACGTCAATATTAATGTTTAAAAACAATTTATTAATTACTGAATAAGTTCGAATTTTTATATTCATATAATATTTTAATAGTGCGAAATTGTATTAATTTCATAAAAAGTTAAATTCTTTATAAAACTTAATAAAAAGTTAGAACTATTTTTAAATACTCATTTTCTATTAAACATAGTGCTCTTTACGTAATAATCAAACGAATATTTATATTAAGTGTGAAATCCGTAATTTTTTAATATTTTAGTACTTGACGTTTATGCACACACTTTTACCGCATACGCTTTTCTAATTTTCTTGCAGTATATTTGTATTCTTGGTTTGATTGTTTTGAACGAGTAGTTTTGAAATTTTAATACACTTTAGCTAATGAAACTTACGCCGCATTTACTCAAATGTTCAAAACAAACGGATAGTATGCATAATTCTAAAATGTTTGAAACTATTTCAAATACTATTTGTATGGAAAAGATAATTATGACCTAAAATCGGAATAAAATAAAAAATCGGAATTCGACTCTTGATTAATATATATATTTTACTTTTACAAATTCAGAGATTACTAAATATTAAATATTATTAAAATAAAATATAATATGATAAAATAATATAAAATTATCAAGACAAAAACTATGCTTATACTCTAAATTTCTAAAACAAAATTAATCAATAAATAATAGATTGCATTATGCTTCATTAAATAAAGCTAAATAGAAGGATCTTTCTATAATAAAAAAATTATTTAAAAGTTTGCATCTTATATGTATGATTTTAATAATTTACTAAATACTATTACACACCAAAAATCAATTATCAAAAACAGTAATTAATTTTTAAATATTGAGAGGTAACAAATAAGAAGAAATATAGTTACTAATAGAAATTAACTTTACATCATAATTTTCGATATATTTATTAAAATATTCAGAACAATAATTGTTAATTGTTTTATTATTTTTTATATTTTTATTTATAGATATGTTTAGATGTAATTTACTAGATTGATACACATACACATACACAAAGGGTCAATTTCTAATATATTTTATACTCGAGAATAAAAAATATATATACAATTTTTATTCGATTTTTAATTTTGTTCTTTTAAAAATAAATAGCTATAATCAATTTAAATTAATTTAAACGAATAATAGTGTCATAATTTAAATATTTAAGAAAAACTATTAAAAATTTATTTATTCATCTCGAATTAAATTATGCTTGAGATTACTTATTTGTTGTAATTATAATTTAAAAAATCTTGTAATTACACTCACCCTATAAAATAAATTAATTTTAACATTTTATACGAATTATCTCAAAAATAAAAATATTAATTGAAATTAAATCTTTTTCATATGAAATGATTTAATATTAAAAAAAATATTTAATTTTAAAAATATATGATTATAGGCATAAAAATAAATATAGTATTTATTATTTTAATTATATTTATTTTTTAGTTTTATACAATCAGGTTTATATATAATTTTCATTCTTATCCACAAAATTAGAGATATAATTAAAGACAGCATTCATATCTCGTTTTCAAATTAATCGTCATAGTTTGGTATTAAAAAAACCTTCCTGCTTAAATCGATTAATTTTAAGCTCAGTTTTGGCAGAAAGAGGGGCGGGAAATAAATCAATTTACTACTCACAAAAAACCTTTTATCGAAAAAAAGGATTCTCTTTGTGATTATAAACGTTGCTATAAATAAATATTTTTGCTTTTAAAAAACTAACAATCATCTTCATAATAAAAAATGTGATATTCAATCAGAAGTTGCTCGGTTTTGATATAGTTAATAGCAGTAAAATTTAACATTCTTTTGGTAATAGTTTCTTAAGTATAGCATAACAATTTATCATATTGGTATAAACAGCGTAGAAAGTTTTAATACCAATAATTTAATGACTATTGCTTATCAATAAATTAATATCAAATTTTACCTTGTGTTTTTCTTAAATTGCTCATATAGAAATGAAAATGTGTAAAATAACTATAAAAATGAAATATTAAACTTATTAAGAGTGTTGATAAAATCCTATATTTGATAATTGATTTTTTTTTAAATTATCTTTATTATATTATTATTACGATGCTATACTTTATCTTTCATATTATAGGTAATTTAGATGTAAAGTTATCAGTTTCATGCTTTCATTATTTATTTCTTGTTCATTATGCTACAATGCTTAGTTTAGAAAAAATATTTATTATAAGTAGCTTAGCACAGCTCAGTTACCTAATAGAGCCAATAGTAATTTTTTTTAATTTGTGTAGCACCATATTTATTTATTCATTTGAAATAAAGTGCACTTGAAAAACTGCACAACCTTTTACCAGAAAGTTACATATAATTTATACTACATGTAATCAACTTAAAAAAATATGGATTTTGCATATAAATGATTTTAATGTTTTAAAACATATTTATCTTTTCTTTTTCAAAAAGCAATATGATAAAAATTTGCTTTTGTTTGTCTATTTTATTTTGATTTTTTTTTAATGTATTTAAAAAATATTTCAGTCATTCACAATTAACATATATAAACAAGTATATTTTTAAAATAATGTCATATAACTAAAATGAATTTTTAATAATTTAAAATTCATGTGAGAAGTGAAAGCTCTTTATCAACGTACGTTTCAATATCTACACGACAAATGGGGCAACAACTGTTAGTACACAACCATTGATCAACACAATCTATGTGGAATAAATGCATACATGGGAGCCTTCTGTAATGAAAAAATTAAGCTTCATTAGAAAATAATTTAATAATAAGGATATACAATTATTTACAATTTATGTAATTACTATAAAATACAATTTTATGAAACAAAATTTTGTAAATAAATTGAATTACGTTTAATTATGGTCATTATTTTTTATATTAAAATTGTTGATATCAAATTTTTTGGAAAATAATATATAATTAAAGTAACTATAATAAAGGAGTATTATCATTTATAAATAAGTAAAAAACTTATTTTCATTATTCATATATATTATATATTATATTATTTTCATTGTATATTAAACTAAAATACTCTTGTTAAAAAAAACTCTACTTTCATATATTTATATTTAATTGAAAATATAAAATAATAACACAATAAGTTACTTTCACAAGGATTTAAAATAATTATTAAATCTACCTTATTCATTAAATAGATATATTTTATTTTTATAAGATAAAAATTCAATTTTTATAACTTACCGAACATTTTCGTTTTCTTCAAATTCAGAAAGACATATAGTACATTTTTCAATAGCATCTTCTTTATTTTCTACATCTTTTACCTAACACAATTTATTTATTATTTATATATTTAATAATATTGTTGTGCAGATAAAATTTTATATATAAATACAACATAAAAAAATCATACTCTTTTATATTTGTGTGGGAATGTATGACTTTCAATTGAATCTTGTGTAGCTCCACCTCGTGCACACACTATGTGTCTAAAATCAGCAATGTGTATATATGTTTCAGAACGCGGGGAAAATAATTGATTTTGAGTTGCATGTGACATTGGATGATAAGAATAATAGGGAAACTCGTGTGGCGTTTGATTCGGCTACAATAAAAAAATTTATTTAATTAATAAAAAATTGAATCAATCTAATGATTAGGACTCTATTTTATATGGATATTATTGAAACATTAAATGTTTAATTATTTAATCCATTTGAATATAGGCGTTTATAAAATAAATAAACGAATTAAATTTTTATAATTAAATATTTATAAAACTTAATCGATTTTTTATATAAACCTAAAAGTTTATTTATATTAAAAATTAGTTTATTAAAAATCTCTTTTTTTGTTAAAAGATTATAAAATTAATTGTTTTTAATTAAAGTTAAGAACAAATATAATTCATTTATACCACAACAGGCGTTATTCCAAAATTAGGAGAATTCCTAGTAGATCCACTTTCTGGATGACTGTAAACCATTGGTTGTTGTGGTGGTGGCAGTATTGCAGTTGTTAATGCTGGATAAGGTAATCGAAAATAGGTATTATCTCTTCTTGCACATGCTGGGTTCAAATGATTGCAACAATTTATACTACAAGTAGAGTGACCAGTTTCACTGATATTTGTATTTGGTGGTATGAATCTGAAATGTTTATACAAGGTAATCTAAAATGTGAATCAAATTAAATTTCTTTATCAATAAATACGGCAAAAATTTATTATGTGTACATTATATATTAATTATTAAATATAAATTTAATAATTATGATATATTATATAGTATTTATTTATATATATTCATTTGAATTAATCTATGTAACCTTACTGATAATTTAATAATTCTGTATATTATCACATTATTTAAATTATAATAAATTTTTATTTTATTACATATATTTTATGGAGATTGATTTAATAATATTTAAATAATCGAATTATATTTTCAGTAAGAAAGAAATTATAATTTCAACAATTAAAAAACTTCAATCAAATAAATGGATTATCTATAAGTATTAACCATCTTCTATTAATGCTTAAAATGAAGTACTAATAAAACTTCGATCAAATTTTAATTTCAAAAAAAAATTTGTACATAAACATTTAATATGATTTAGCTATATAGTCAAATTATATGTACAGTTTAAAAAAAAAGTATTTTCTTACCTATGAGGTCCATACATTCTTCTTGAATATCGACTATCTTGACGCATATGCTGATATTGACGATGTTGCTCTTGTATTCGTTGTTGTATCATCCATAGCCTTTCCATTGTTGGAGGCATTCTATGCATTCTTGATACTAAAATTAATTAAATTAAGATTCTATGTTTTCAAAAATTTGCTTACAGAACATAATAGTTAAGGTTACTAATATCTAATCATTAAGATTTATTAAATAGTATATTGCATTATTTCTTATTTAATTATAATGTATTGTAAATTTTTATTTTACCAATATCCATCATGTAACTTGGATCATTTCGTAACCGATGCTGATGATCATGTCGAGAAGATGTCAAACTTGACATCCAATCATGATGTATACAATGCCTCCTAGTTCTAAATAAATTTATATTACACTATACCTTAATTATTTTTATTTTAAAATAATTATACAGTATATTATACCTAAGTCGAGCATTTGTAGGTGATGGATTTGATTCATGTACCGAATTGCTTTCAGTATGCTCATCATCTGATTCTGTTGTTAAATCTACTACAGCAACAGGTTGACTTTGTTCTACGTTCTGTACATCTTGAGTTGATGCATTTGACTAAGTACAAAAATGAATTAATAGTATAAATTTATTTATTTTTTATACTACCAGTGATGTTAAAACACATAATAACATGTAATAAAATAAATTATTTAATGTACCAAGGATTAAGCAAATCTTTTTAATGAAAATTATTAATATAAAAATACAAACATTTATCTTATCAGTACAATTGACTGTACCAACTACTTCAACCGAACTATCTTCATCTTCATTTTCACTACTATCACTAGAAGACCACTCAATATGAATATCTGAAGATGTTGGAGCTCCATCTGTTCCTATTAAATTTATAAAGAATTATTTAATAATTATATTAAACATTTGGAAATTTTATAAATACTTGATGTTTCATTAGGATGCATATCTTGAGAATTCATCATAGTTGATTGAGTAGGTGTAAACAATGCTGTTTTTGTAATTTTATTATTAGTAATGTTATGAATTTCTGAATTTGAAGAATCTTCATCAGGATTCTCTGATTCACTTATGCTGAAAATGCAAGAAATATATATTAATTAATAATTTGATACATTAAAAAGAAAATATTAATTAATTATGATATTGATATCTATACACAGTTATTATTTTATATTTTATTGATTATGCAAGTACTAAATATGTATTTAACTTACATAAATGAATGAAGTCATTCTAGTTCAAAATTTGGATACATGAAATTTTTATACTCTTAATTATCATTAATATTTTATAATATATAATATTAATTATTTTGTTTAATGTAATTATAAAAAGGGTATTTTATATATCTTCGATTTTTTTAATTAAACAACTTTTTTGAGGACTATTGTAAGTATTAAAAAAGTAAATAAATTTTTGTTGATTAATTGAAATTTTTAAAAAACTAAAATTTCCATAAATGAAATTCTAACCTATAACCAACAGGATGATCTATTAATCTAGATGGTCCTGCTATGCTGCAGCTATCAGCTGGTGATTCAGTAGATATTCTTGCACGTTTTAATTTTGCACATTTCCTTTCATATTTTGTATATGCGTCTAAACATAATGTCTGATGTCTATAACCATTTACATACACTCCTTCTTGTGTACTTTCAGTCTTTGAAACTGCAGAGGCCTTTTTTGTAGTTTTCTCTTGTCTACTTTGACACATATTACAATTTATTGATTCTGTCAAACCATAATTTGCAGAATTTACAATTGATGTAGGAACATAATGACTACACACATAATCATTTGCAGCTTGTAAGTGTCGATGAGAATGACAAGGATATGATACTGCAGTAGTTACGTCTGTTTCTTCAATATCACTATCAGCAAATAAATGCTCATAGTCCATTTCATTTCCTATATTTTTTACAAGAAGTTATAATTTTTCTATTAAAAATATTATTAATAAAAATCTTTCCAAAATCACTGTCAGCTAATTAAATTTTAAATGATTTTTAATAATGTTAAAAAAATATATTTAACATTATTTTTTATTTACATTATTTAAATAAAAAGTTTAAAAACATCAATTGAGCAATCCTAAGAAAAAGATTTATAATTTATATATATATATTATAAAATTATAAAATAATACAAGTATTTATAATTAGTATTCATATACCGTCTTGATTTCCAATTTATATAAATTATAAATAAAAATCCAATAAAAACTTCTGCTTAAAATTAAAATGTATTTACAAAATATACCACCTGAGGGATATCGAGAATGTGAAGCTGGATCAGCTGTTGATGTAAATGCAGTATCAAAGATATCTGCCAAAGATGTTACATTGACTACATCCAAAGAACCTGCTGTAGCTTCACCATTAAATAGATCGTTAGAAGATTCAACTTTTTCTTTTGACCATGTATTCTTTGATTTTTCTCCTTCATCCATTCTTATTCTATACAATAGAAAATTGGTAATATTTACTTATAATAAGTAAGGATATATACTGTTAATATTGTTTTATTAAAATAAAAAGAATATAAAAATTTGATGAGCATTTTTCCAATAATTGTAAGATAGTCAATAAGTGTTAAATATTAAAATAATTAAAATAGTTCAAATTAAAACAAAATCATTGAAACGTTTTTTGTACTATTTCTGTTTTAAAAGTCAGTTATTATTAATATATAAAAAAATTCATAATAAATCAACATTAAGCCAATTTTTATAAAATACCATACAAGATTTAAATTCTAAACTTCAACAAAATGAAAATTATTTACATTTGGTAAAAAATAAAAATAATAATTCTGCCAACTAGTGTATTTATAAAATTTATATTGCAGATTTGAGTATAATACTCTCATAAATATCAAATACAATAAAAATTAAGTCTATAAAGATTTGTACAAAATTCAAAATAAAATACATTATTAAATTATTCAAAGGCAACTTCAACGTACATAAAAATTATATACTGTGAATGAAATAATTTATAAAAATGATTGACTCACATGTATAGTTTGGTAAATTCAGCGTATTGAAAATACAAAATAGACACTAAATAAAATAATGACCATAGGAAACCAGCTGGAGCTATGAAAAAAAAACTACCTGAGCCCACAAAAGCAAAAATCTGTATACAGGCTACATTACAATAAAGAGCTCATTGAAATGCAATACAATTTAAATGTAATCGTAATACAAATTATCAAAACGAGCAAATTAAAATAAGGAAATAGTGCGCGCGCGCGCTTTACATTCTCTATTTCCCAAAATAAGGCAATGGTAATTTCTTCACCACGTCATTTTTTTCGGACTGCCGGGAATCAGTAGAAGTGAAGAGACACGAAAAAACAAGAAGGAAGAAAAGGTACATCCAACGTTTAGTATACGCTAAATGTAATGTTTGTGGTTGAAATTCTGATTTTCGAATCAAAGACGTCTCGTACTCTTGCAAAATTAATTTCTTTCTTTCTTTCTCTCTTTATCTCTCCCTCTACCTATCTTTTTCTTTTCTTCTTTTTATATATTTATCGGCGCAGCTGTCCGAACTTACAAAAAATATAACTATAGAGGTCTCCAAGAATATATGTGTAATTTTTTATATAGCTCGGTACACTATTTTTCGGCATATTCATAAAAAATGATGTAAGCGAATAAAAATAATTTAATTGTATTTGCCTAACGACAAAGAAAAGAAAATGATACCTAAAAAAAAACACTTAGATGCTTAGCTTAGATATAACGATACAGTATGATCACTATTACTGTCCCAAAGTTGAAATCAAACTCTTCGCTGTTTACTTAATTGGGTTGTCTAATTAGACGGAAAGATACGAAGTGACGGGAAAAGTTGAAATGCAGAACCAACATTATAAGCCTATATATGCAAATGGAGAAAGTAAAAGCCAGAACGTGAACGTAACAGAAAGAAAAGGTAATACTAAAGTGGAAGCAAAAGCAAATTATAATTCCAAAGAAATACAAAAAAATTACAAAAAATGATAAAAAAATATATTACAAACATAATACTTAGCTAAAATTTTAGAATATACTGCTTATATATATACGTCACTATTTAACTGGCATTCTTCATTCAGTTATTGTTTTTAATTTAAAAAAGAAACAATTTGTGTTCCTTAACATTTTTAAATGAAAATATGTAAATTATGTTTTATTATATATAAAATCTATAGATTATGTAAAACATAAAGATAATATAGGATTTTAATTAAATAATCATCTTTAGATTATAATATAAACATATTATAATCATTGAAGTTTATAATTAGTTGACCATGTTTACCTGAATTTTTACTATTTTTTTCTAAATATTATTCTATCTATCTAAATATTCTTAACTTTAATAATTAAAAATATTACTTTACAATTTTTTTATATTCCGTTAAAATTTTGAAAATTTTTTTAATATATTTTTAGATAGTATAAAATAAATAGTAATTGTTTTACCTAAATATATATATATATATATATACTTACGAAAATTGTGTATTATTGTAAATATTATTTAATGTTATTATTTATTATTAGAATAAAATTTTTTTGACTTTTTTAATGAATTTGTTTTTTAAATTAAATATAGAAGAATAAATTACATAAAATAAAAATAATTTGATGGATATGAAATTTATCCCATGAACGAATGAATTTAATGAAAAATTTTAACACTTTAGGAATTTGGTATGCAATATAACATAATAAATAATTAATTCTAATATTGAAGATTATGTACCATTAATTTATCGAACTAACCCAAAAAAATATTCATATTAGAAAAAATTTTAAATTAGATAAAATTAAATAAAACCATGATAGTCCTACAATAAAATTATCTTAAAACGATAATTAAAAATCCATTTTTTTAGTGTTAGTAGTTATTTAATTTTGAAATTTTAAATTTAGTAAAATTAAGTAAAACCATAATAGTGCTAAAATAAAATTATCTTAGAACGATACTTAAAATATCCGTTATATTAAATATTAGTGGTTAGTTAATTTTATTCGAAAATCATCTCATAATATCTTTTATTTAAATATATAATATGAATATTATTTCTAATAAGTTATAATATAAAAACAGAAATAATTTGAGTAGTAAATAGATTAGCTGTAATAGTAATTAGCTGTAGATTCAATTCTTAAAAATATTTTATGAATGAGAACAAAATAAATAAATACAAGTAATCAGAATATTTAGAACAGAATATTTAGAATAAATTGATTTTCGAAAAGCAACTATAAAAAGAAAAGATTTGATACATGTTTTAAAATTATACTTTTTACTTACATATAAATAAACAGTGCATAAAATTTTAATGTTTTCCTTAAAATTATACTTTCAAAGTCAGCGCCGAAAATGTCTCAAAAGCTATCTAGTGGATTAATCTAGAAATTTGCATGCTCTTTCATATTATAAATTTTGTTTTTAAAAAATAATGAATTTTCATTGTGAAATGGAAAATTATAATTTTGGTACTTATTATTATACCTAAATTACAAAAAAAATTAATTATTTTAAAAGTATTATTATTAAATCATTTATGTAAAGTATTGGTTCAAATAGAAAACTGGTTTCTTTTAGATTGCCTTTACATTATCGCCTGCAATTTTAAAAAATTATAATGTTATACCTAAAAATAACTCTGTCAATAAGTAGAATCTCTAAAAATAATTCTATATTTATTGTAAACTTTTTATATCTGCTGTTTTTTGCAAAGCTGAAAAATTAATACTTTCATGTTGACTATTATCAAATTAATTTAAAGATTTAACGTTATGTCAAATTTCCGTAGAGTATAGAACGCAGAATAATAGTTGTAAAATAATACATGATCCATAAAAACTTTATTTATAATACTATTATTTTATTGCATTTGTCAAAATTCTAAAATCAGTAATGCAATTAACAAAATTTAGTTATATTTACTGATTTTCTCAATTTAAAAACAATTACCTTCATCTATTATATTAAAATATATATGAATATACATACCATAATTCTACCTCTTTATAACTTAGTATAATCACTATTGATTCACCTTTAGTTTAGAGTTACAAACTATAAAATAAAAAATTTTTAAATTATTTGACTGACTAAATTAATTAGTAAGACCAATGTCAAAGTTAAAAAGGTGAATAAAAAGTTTATCATTAATTTATTTATTGTTTAATAATACACGAAGATTATGGACACATTCCACTGCATTAGAAATTAATAAATCTATACATTATCTTATAACAATTTTATAAATTTGTTATTGAATTTCATTATTGTCTTTATCATTCATTAAAAACCTGTATCCGACATCATTACTATTAAGATATTAGTCATCTATCCTATTCTATTTTTTATTTCATAAAATAAACCAGCTTGAATATTTAGAGAAAACGTAAACTCTCATAAAACAATTTTAATATATTTATGTTTCTTCTACAAGATATATGAAAAAACTAATTAAAATTTTTCTGTTAAATTCCAATCAAACTGAATTTCACTAACTGGCTTTACAATTTATTGATTTATTTCCGGAATTAACAGGCTTGATAGTGTCAAGCTTTTATTATTAAATTATCATCATTACATTATATATTATATATAAAAACTCAATGTAAGATACTACTTAATTAATTGTTTCTAAATGATACTTAATTAATTCTATATGGGAACTTAAAAATTTTCTATAAATTGTGTTATGAATAAAATTATGTTTATCATTCTTTGTGCACAGATTAAGACATCTGTCTTAATCAAAATTATATGTATAGAAAACATATATATTTTCGTGTAAAATTTATACACTTACCAAATTTTACGCGTAAAATACGTAAATGCTATACTAGGTATAGTTTTGTTAGAATATGAAAAAAACAATTGTACATTAAATTATTCGAATTTTCAAGTTAACATTTTCAAGTTACCTTTATTTACAGAAAAAAATAATTAAATTATAAAGTAAATTATATTGAGACAAGGTATAAAGAGGCGATTTTTTGAAAAATAGATAAGATTTCAGGATTCAACACATGCATTCAAGTCATCATAAATAAAACCTTTGATTTCGAATATTAATTTTTTGTTATTTTTGATGTGGATATTATTATACGACTAACTTTTTATGTTGTACAAATCACCTGTTATAAATATTTAAAAATCTTTGTATATCAAATAAATAGAAACACAGATAGAAATGCAAAAACCTTACAATTACCTTATAAACCTTACAAAATAATATCATTTATGTACCAAATAAAAAATATTATGAATTAAAAACGATCGTTATAGTTAATAATATTTTCATAATCATAACTAGTTGCATTATTAATTCTGTAAATATTTTTCAATGCATGTACGCAAGAAACTTTTTTGTAAACTTTATAGTAATGGACCTCGAATTTATATATGTATTATAATTAAATAAAAATGACTATTCATGTACTTAAAATTATATATAATAAATATATTATGAATTTCTATAAATAGTTATTATACCGAAATAAATTTAAAATTAATTAACATAAAAAAATATTGTATTTGTTTTAATAAGAGGAAAACATTATTACGATCATTTAATAAAATTTCGTAAAATATATATTTTCTACAAATGATTAATCTGTAATTGACTATGTTCATAAATTTTTATACTCAACCATTTAAGACTTTTGATAATTATTAATATATTATCATATTATTAATTAATTACATTAACAAGACATAAATTATTTACGAGCTTTGTATAGTATACAAAATAGTTTATATTTTGATTGTTATCTGAATATTCGTTCATTTGTTAAATTAATGTACCCGTGAAAACAGCAAAAACAAAAGTATCTATAATATTGTTTCAAAGGTAATGAAATTAATAAGATTTCAGACAATAATGAAGCAAATGACCGATCACAAAGTAACGTACTCGAAAAAGTTATGGACAATGGTCTTCAATTCCAGTTTCTTTAAGCCTCATAACTAATATTTAATATCTGCGAATGCATTCATTTATTCTCAATTTTTTACAAATTCCTTAATAAATCTATTTTTTATTATTAAATATTTTTATAAATTAAATATTTATATTTTTATATACCAGATATTTTGTGATCTAATCAAATAGTATTATAAACTGAAATACATTTCAAAATTTTCTAAATTTTCCAAATTGATTTAATTAGTGTTATTTTAACTTTGAATATTTGTGTATTAATGTATTGCATTAATATAATTTATTGTATTCTAAAACATTTCTTATGAATAACTCTACGAATTCAAACACTAAATATATATTTTTGCACTTAAAATTATAATAGAAATATTACTAAAATGTATATTTTAAAAATATTTGAAAACATTTTCATATAATCATAAAAATTCTTTATTTTGTAAATTCTGAAAATTCAGTTTTGTTAACACTTATGTATAATTCAAAATGATCATCGATTTAATGTTATTTGAATTAAATAATTTTTATTATTCAATATTATTTAAGAAATATTTTACTACAAATATTTTTTCTCTACTATTTTGATACTTGTTTTACTTATTCATTATTAATAAAGATATATATATATATATATATATATTATTCCTATTTATGTGCTTGATATATTTTATAATATATTTATCACTTAATTATTCATTTTTAATTTTTATTTTTTGGAAATCAATTGGAAATATTAAATCATTTTCAAATTAAATATTATAAAAATTAAAAATATTCAACTTTTCCCTATCATCATAAAATTTATAATTATTTTTTATTAAGGATTCTGTTCTTTAAATATTAATGTATATCGCCTTTAATTGTTATATAAAATCTCCATCTTTTAAATATATTACACCATGTAATACAACCAAAATCTTTTTTATTAATATAATTCTTGCCAATATAAGGAAAAATATTAATTGTTTTACCCAAAAGTTAAATTTGGATAGATAACTAACGATTTATAGAGATATAAGAATTTATATTTAATTCTTACTTTTATAGACTGGATGTGTTGCTTCAAATTAATTTTTGGTAAATCGAACCACTATTTAATTTGAATCTACATATTTCAAAATGAATTAACATTTCAAATATTCAGATGTTTCAATAGGTATTTAATATCTAAAAGCACTTTATACAAATATTATATCATTTTGATTAAAGAAATGCAGTATCATAAATAACTAATAATTGTGGGCAAATAAAGATTTATTATAGAATACAGAATACTGATTACAAAAGTAATTACTGATTGTTGTCACTATATTCACCTACATTACTTTTTTTTGATGGACCAAATAAAACTAAAATCACCGTCATCTTACATCATACACAAACTAAATAAACAAAGTTACTGATTATTCGTCAATTATTATTAGTCAATCATCTTTACTTATTAATAAGTCCGTATTTAGCAGCGAACAGAAGAAGGAGGACAAAAGAAGATAGAAATATTGAACAACTATATATACTTATGAAGTTAGGTGAAGGTCTTCGTCTGCTGCACTGCGATTGCATAAAACGTTATTATCTATGTTTCTTTAGACTTTTTAACATCTATTATCCGCTAGTTGATCTCGTGCATAGGTAGAAAATCTTCAACGGTTGCTCTTCATTAATTAATCATATTCTTTTCACTAGAAATAGATCTAACCAAATATCGCAACTCGACTATTTAAGTTTTTTTCCACTGAGCGAGTACGAGCAGTATTAAAAAATGGCTGTCGCTGCTAAGGTATTATCGAAATTTTCAAGTAAGTAGAAATACTTATTATTTTATTTTCTTTTATTCTGTCCCTAACTCAACAATGTATTATTTAACTTAATTTTTAATCAAATATAACTATACAGACTTTAAGTGATATATTTATAATTTTAAATTAAATTTTTATTATCATTCTATAAATATATTTATTTTTAACGTATTTGAGTATCTTTTATTTACATTTTTAATGCGTGTTTGTTATTTGTTTAATACTGAATGTTTGTATGATACAAGATATCTTTCTAGTTTTTGTTTATTTATAAAATATGAGAAACATTGAACTACTAAATATTTTACACAATAATTCCGGTTATTTTAAATATATCACATATCAATTTTACTGAATTTTATATATTTTTGAAAAAGATATAGAATACTTTTATAAATTATGGATAATTATTAATTTTGTGGTAGCATAATTACATCAGTCTGTTTACAAGTGATTCGTTTTGTCCCTAACCTTATTGGATGCTTTTCAATCAATAGACCTTGATCTCGAATTTAAATAAAAAATGTTCTCTTTTTGAATGTCGTATGTTAAGTCTATATCTTTTTATATTTATTTTCTACCTTTTTTTAATTTAATTTTCAATCTTATTATTTTTAGCTCACTGCATCATTGATGACATAGATGCTTTAGATGTTTTGTAGTGATAAAGGTCACTATTTTATGTTCTAGTTGGAGCTCGTGGTGGATTGTTGCGTTCTCAAATTAGATTTAATTATACAGAAACTAGAAAAAATCTAAAAATTGATTCTGAAACCAAAGTTATTTGTCAAGGTTTTACAGGTAAACAAGGAACTTTTCATTGTCAACAGGCCCTTGACTATGGTACAAAAGTTGTTGGTGGAATAAATCCAAAAAAAGCAGGAATTGAACATCTTGGTAAGCCTGTGTATAAAAATGTTCAAGAGGTAATTATAAATAAACCAATATGTAAATAATATCTGTAAATTATTAATAGAATATGATAAATTATATAACATATAGTATTCCATCATATATGGAAAATATGGATTTTCATAATAAATATTTTATATTTTGATATATTAAATTAAAATTAACAAAATAAGATATTTATATTTTTTATAAATACTTTTATTCAACAACACATTTACAAAATTATATTATATACAATGTATAAATAATCAGCTAATTTTTAAAAATCAGCTAAACATTTTTTTAAATATATTGTATTAGGCAAAAGCTGCAACTGGTGCTACTGCATCTGTAATTTATGTACCACCTCCAGCAGCTGCTGCAGCAATAATGGAAGCTCTAGATGCTGAAATGCCCTTGATTGTGTGTATTACAGAAGGAATTCCACAACATGACATGGTTAAAGTAAAGAGACGATTATTGGAACAAAATAAATCTCGTCTCATTGGTCCTAATTGTCCGGGAATCATTGCACCTGAACAAGTGAGTTCATTAAATTGAATTTGAAATGAAAAAATTTTACTGTTATAAATTTATTGATTTATTTTTAAATATAAAATAATTGAGTTTAATACTATTGTTTAAGGCCATTTTTTCATTTGAATAAGCTAAACATAGATTTTGTATGCCTTTTCGAAGTTTGTAAAATATATATATATCTTTATTTATTTAAAATGTTCTTTATAAATTAATATTTATATTTTTAATAAAAGAAACATTGATTTTATCTATTTAATGTATGAATAAAATAATTCATTATACAGCTTTAAAATCAATTTATTAATATATTTTTAATATAATGAAAATGATGTAAACAATATAGTTACGAAAATAGTAATATATTTGAACTATTAATGTAAAATTGTTATTCAAAGAAATAAAATATTAAATACTTGTTTTAGTGCAAAATTGGAATTATGCCAGGGCATATACATCTAAAAGGTAAAATTGGTATTGTTTCACGATCTGGAACGTTAACATATGAGGCTGTTAATCAAACTACTCTTGTGAGAATTAATATCATATTTTTATTATAAATACTTCTTACATATATATTTTTTAAGACATACATTATTTTTAGACTGGATTAGGTCAAACGTTATGTGTCGGTATTGGAGGTGATCCATTTAATGGTACAGATTTTATCGACTGTTTAGAAATATTTTTGCAAGATCCAGCCTGTCAAGGCATTATTATGATTGGTGAAATAGGTGGTAGTGCTGAAGAACTGGCAGCAGAATATCTTACTGAGCATAACTCTGTTAGTTGTTTTTTTTCTTAGTTACATCAAGAATTATTTTATATTTATATATTCAATTAATGTATATAAATTTAATTGATAAATTAGGGAGTGAAAGCTAAACCTGTTGTATCATTTATTGCTGGTATGACAGCTCCACCAGGTAGAAGAATGGGTCATGCTGGTGCCATCATATCTGGAGGAAAGGGTGGAGCTCAAGACAAGATTAATGCACTTGAAAGGGTAAGCATTAAATGCAAATAAAATAAGTACATCCAATAATATTTATTTGTTTATAGGCTGGCGTTATTGTAACAAGGAGTCCTGCTCAAATGGGGAATGTATTATTAAAAGAAATGACTCGTCGTGGTCTTGCTTGAATTACAAATGATTTATTTGTTTGATGGTAAAATAAATTATTGTAATTTATTTAAATATAATTGATTTCAACATTTTAAATAGAAATAATTTTTAATAAAATAATTAAAATATAAAAGATAAAAAAAGGTAAGAGAATAGTAATATTCTAATTATTACTCTAATTTTACAGCTGACTGACTTCTAATTTTGAAAGCTGTACAAAACTTATTTCACTTTTATAAATGTACAGTACTAGAATAATGAATGAAATGCTCCATTCTGTTTATAAAAATCGTTGATTAAATAAGTTATAGCTTATGACGATTTAAATAAAAAGCGATTAAACTACAAGATCTATCAAGACGTATCCAATCTTGAATGTAGTATTGCTGAAAGAGTTTACATATGAAAAATATAATTTTACTGTAAATTATGTTGGATAATAAAATGTATCTATTAACATAAAACGCTTGTGCGAACGCATACACTCACACAGATGCATGGGTACCCACTAGCATGTATTTCTTAATGTAATTATATTAAATTTGATTTTTATAAAAAAATTATATAAATATATTTGAATTAAATATTTTCATGTTATATTTATAAAATACGTTGTAATTCATTTTGTATTAAAATCAAACAAATAATTTTTTATAAATTTAAAATTGTAAATGTATGGGTACACATTACAAATTAGTGATACAATTTTTTTAGCATATTTATATATTAAAAATTAGAATATCCCATTATTTTATCTATTATACTTGCTATATCTTTACTTTTATCACCTGGATATGGTTTTAACTTAGATAGATTTACTATTTGAATAAGTTTCAATAATCCTTTACAATTAGAGTAATATAAATATCCTAATTTATAAAGCTGTTTAGCAAGTTCTAATTGATGATTACTCATAAGATGATCATTTATAATTATAATTAAAGGTTTCAATAACTCTAAAGCTTCTAGACAACTTCCTGCTCCAGCATGGCTAATAATTAAATCAGCCGATTTCATTACTTCATGTAAGGATGAATTTAAATGAAAAGCTTTAATATTATTAAATCCACATCTAGAAGAGCAGTTGGGTTGAAAATTCGTTTTTCCAATTTGTAATATCAATTCATTATATCCTTGATTATTAAGTTCCTGTTATAGAATACAAATATCTGTGCAGAAATATTATTTATAAATGATTTTTTTATCATAGTAAAAGTATATTCATTTACACATATTTACCTGTAACACTTCATTAGTGGTTATAGTATTAATAAGTTCATCAAATTTAGTTGTTCCAACAGTAACAAGTATTCTTTTGTTCATTTTTTTCTACAAAATTTATAATGTGTATTAAAAAAATCAATATATTAATTTTTATTGAAATTTATGTATAAATTAAAATAAATTTTATATACAATCAATAGTCACTTAATTACACAACTATTATGAATTATTTATATAGGCAAAAATTTACAAAGTCAAGAATTTATTATAAACTATAAACTCCACACGTATAAGTATTTTATAAAATTTTAATTTCTTATATAAATAAGTAATAAGTAATAATATTTATTAAAATTATCATATATATATTATATACACACAACATTAAAATTATAAAAGTCAATTTTTATCCATTAGTTTTACTTGCTAAAATAAAATATTTAAGTTTTATTAATAAATACAAGTACAAATAATTAAATAACTGATTTTAATTTGAATTTATAATTTAGCAAAAGATTAAATGAACTCAACTGTTTTAATTCAGTGATTCTTTTAAATATATAGTTATTTTTAATTACTTTATAGATGCAAATTGAAATTTTAACAAATATTACTTACAAACTCTAATACGTGAATTCAATTTTCTTGTTATTAGAAGAAAACATATTTTATGTACTTTACAAAATATACTCTACAAATTTATATTAATGTTAATCTTTTTATGGCTACTTAATCAGAGAGTTTTGTTTTATTAATATGAAAATATATCAACATAATGAAAATTTTACAATTGGTTAAAGTAAATTGAGTATATAAAAAAAATTAAATCATATTACAGAAGCCTGTTAATTTTTGCTATCTGAGTTTATATTATAGAAAGTGGTAAATTTAATTACATTCATATTTTATATTCTACTTTTCCAAATTATATCTATTTTTCTTCAATTATTTATATCCTTATGTTTCGTTTTACGTATATGATTAAATACTTCGTTAATATTTACCTTATTGGTCACTATTTAAACTTGACAAAACTGGTAATATCAATATTAAAAAATATTAAATATTAAAATATTAATATTGATATAAATTGATACTATAAATAATATTTTCAATAAAACGATGTCATTTCGTATTATTATTATGTTTAATATATTAATTTGCAAGACATAATTAACATCGGTTGCTTTTATTTCCCAAACACCGACAAATTTTATTTAAAAGAATAAGAAATATATATTATCTGAATAAGTGAAAGAAGGTATTAACTATACGGAAAAAAACATACAGCAATTTAGTACTTGCAGAGGCATCTATAGTATACATCTGTTTAGGGGTGAAGTATATTACAATTTATTAAGGCGACATTCCAACTCTTCAACTTAACCGAGTTCATGGTTTTGGTGCTACTGGTATTGGAGTTCAATGAAAATAGAAAACTTCGAGTAAGAAAAAGCGCGCACCGTTAACTAAAATATTCTAAGTTGCATACGGTTTCGTTGTTAAATTTGCAGCATTTTATTTCAGAATATAAGCAAGCTTACTGCTGAAAAAATAGTTAACTACATTTACTTCTAACCAAGAATAGGATTCAAAAAATTAACAGAATGGTTTCAGTGCGTTATACGCGAAATCTTTTCCTTAGGGGAATGTGTATTATCTATCTATTTGCGTTCCTCAGCTTCTACATTCAGATTCCCGGTAAGTGCTGCAGGTATGCCGTCTTTTCATTTTTAACTAATAATTTTCAAAAATTATACATGAATATAAAATAATACAATCCATTTAATATCAATGTTAACTTTTAAAATACAGCTTAGGAAAGTATGAATTCAGTATATAGCATCTTTTTTGAAGTTCGATATGACAAATTTTAGAAATAAATATTTATTTTTAAATTAAACTATTTATAAAGATCACAGGTCTATTGTAAAAATACCTCTCAATTACAATATTGTCAATATAATAAATTTTGCTTAAGATAATTATCCATTATTACAACAATGTATTCAAATAAGGTTAAAAATTATTAAAGTTTGTAAAAATTAAATAAAAATGCTTAAATTTAAAGAAAAATATTCCAAAAATTTATAATTTTGTATACATTTTTAATGAATACAATTAATTTTATAATATTTTTAAAACCAAAACTATTTTATAATAGATATCTTATTAAAAAATAAAGAAAAAATTCAAATAGACTTGTTATATTCTTTTAGTGTTATTGTAATTTAAAAATTTTTATTTTAGTTACAATATTTCCATCTAATTAATGTTAATCTAACATTAATATTAAAATTAATCAAGTTATTGGTTACATATATAAATTATAAAATAAATTTTGTATTCTACTCCATTGTCAAACATGATGAATATTTAATCTGTTTTAATAAATCTTGTTATTAACTATAATATATTTATAAAAACATTTTTTAAATATAATTAATATTATGTACAAACTTGATTATAATTATATAATAGAGATAATATAAAAATAGAATCTTTTTTAAATTTATAAATATATCCAATGATATTATATACAAATAGTTTTCGAATTAGTTTTTAACTGAATTTTGATTTTCAATAACCTAATTTTTTTTAAAAATAACAATAAATATCAAGTTTTTTTAACAAGAAATTTAGTAATAAAATAATTTTATGACAATAATTTAATAATAAAATTGTATAAAATGTATAATAAAATAAAATTCTTGGATACAGTCACTAATTTGATTTTATTTTCAATTTATTATATTTTGCATTTTATGCATATATGTATTTGCATGTATTTTATTTTTTATTTTATTAATAGTTTTCGAATTTTTTTATTCATTATATTAATAGTATTGACTTAATTTTTTTTCATATTAATTTAATTTTAATATAAAAAATTAGGTATATAAAACATAATATATTGCTAAATATATAACACAGCTATATTGGCAAAGTTAAAATATTTTTGTTTTTTCAAAAATAAGTTTAATTAAAAAAAAATTTATAATTTCAATTACAGTTTAAATATAATTTATGACTCAAAAATATTTTTGCTTATATAGGTTTATATGGTGATAATGGAATACTACCAGGAAAAACACAATTGGATCTAAAAGCTCAAATATCTCTTTTACAAAAATTTAAACAAAAACCAACTCTACTTTGGTTTGCTCCTTATCTTGGTTTAAATGTTGAATATATGCTTGATGTTTTGACATTAATTGGAATAATTATCTCTTTTTTGGGGTAATTAATTTTTGAGAAAGATTGCAAAAATATTAATTTTAAAGATTACAAAATTAAAAACATATTTTGTTTCATAGATTCATATCACAAAAATTCTGCTCTGCTCCAATATTTTCTATATTATGGTCGCTATACTATTCTATTTACCAAATAGGTCAAACATTTATGTGGTTCCAATGGTGAGAATAATATTAATCATAAATAACATGATTACTTTAATAAATAATACTATGGTCTATAAATAGATGAGCTAACAAATAGAAATTTGTAAAATGTTAAAAATTGATTTAAACATTTATAAATACTAAAAAGAAGAAATGGACAAAAAAATGTAATAGAAATAGGAATTTTTTATTTGAAAGTTCTACTTATATATTTAATTTAATTTAATCATATGACTTAATTGATAAAAGAGCAGCACCCCTAACAATTTTATAGAACAATAAAAAAATTATTAAATTTATAATCACCAACATATTTAAGATTTTTCATTTTTATAAATAAGTATTGGATATCTAATAAATTTAACTTTCATTTAATTTATATATATTTAAGTATGTTATCTGAATAAATTGAATATTTATAAGAAATTTATAATATCAAATTCAATATTATTTATAATATTTAATAAAATTTAATTTTTGTTAGTATTATATTAATATTTTATTTCAAAAAAGAAAATTATAGAATTAAAATATTAAAATTATATAAATTATTAATACTAATATTTTATTATTAAGGCAAATAGTTTTCTCTTTATTTTCTTAGAAAATTTAAGACCTTTACACTATTTTAATTTATTTTGTTTTATCGCTATCGCTTATTTTTTTTAATATTAATAAACTGTTATCAAAAAATTCTAGGGATAATCTTTTATTGGAAGCTGGCTTTCTATGTATAATTGTTGCTCCATTTTGGTATTCTAATCATATAAAAAAAAGTACTCCAAGCGATTCACTAACATTTTGGACTGTGCGTTGGCTTTTTTTCCGTCTGATTTTTTCTAATGGAGTAATTAAGCTTACTTCTGACTGCCCGCTTTGGTGGAAATTGGATGGTAATTATTCTATAATATACTTTCTATGAAATTATACTTTTTAAAAATAGTATGTATTTTTATTTATATCATTGATGGAATTTATATTATATTAATAATATTAAGTTTTTCCAAAATTGAATTTAAAAACTTTATGATGTACTGATTTAGTTTTAAATTAAAAATCTTTCAATAGTAAAAATTATAAGTTAAATACTGTGCAATGTTAATATAAAGATAATTAATAAAAAGTTTATTTCTCAGCCCTAAGTGTGTATTTTGAATCTCAATGTATTCCAACCCCTTTGGCTTGGTATGCTCATCATTTACCATCTTGGTATCTACGACTTAATACTGTTGGCGCCAATATACTGGAGCTTGTTATACCTTTTCTCTTCTTTTTTCCCATTAAGAAAGTTCGAGTTATAGCCTTTTATTTACAAGTAGGTATACATAAAGATTGCAAAAATTTATTTATATTAATTTTCTTTAATATAATATTTGTATTATTTAAAATATTTTATTCACTATATTATGTTTAAGATGGTATGAATGTTTTACAGCTTATTCTTCAAATTCATATAATTACAACAGGAAATTATAACTTCTTCAATTTATTAACAATTTGTTTAAGTATATCCTTATTAGATGATCATTTCTTTTATAGAAAGAAATCGAAAGCTGAAAAATCAAGAATTTTTTATTATTTGTCTACTATAATTTGTATTGTATTGTACACAGGAATTTTTTATAGTACTTATGTGTATTATAATCTTAAGTTTACTAAAGATTGGTCTATTTCATCTCAAATAGGTAAAATTTTTATTTTATTTGACTCAATATTAAATTCATTAAAATATGATGTACAAATAATATTTTTTACAGGATTTACAAAAGAACAATTTAATAACATTCTTTCTCGTTTTATTCCCATTTCTGTGTATGTAGCATTAATATCACTTAGTTTTACTGTAGCTAATGGAGTAACTAATTCAGTTATGAATGTTAAAGGGGTTAAGAGAAAAATTACTACAACACTTATAACATTGTTATATTCTACAATTGTTGCTTTTATTTTTGCTGTCAGTGTTGTAAGTAAATTATTAATATAAAAGCAATTAAAATATTAAATATTGTATTATAAACATTTTTAATTTGATAGGTACCATACACAGTTTCTTTGTACCCAAAATTAAATATGACTCTTCCAGTTCAATTAAAAGAAATTCACTCAAAAATAAATCATCTGCAATTGACAAATAGTTATGGAATATTTAGAAAAATAACTGGTGTTAATGGAAGACCAGAAATAATTATTGAAGGAAGTAATAATATTGAAGGACCATGGAAGGAATATCATTTTCTGTATAAGCCTGGTAATATTAATAATTCGTTACCATTTGTTGGTAAGTTTACTTTACTTATATTTTTATAAACTAAATTTTATATATAAATAAATTATTTGAATTTAATAATTTATTGATTAATTTTTAACTATATATATGTGTGTGTGTGTGTGTGTGTGTGCGTGTGTAGAGAGAGAGAGAGAGAGAGAGAGAGAGAAAGATTTATAAGATATAAAATTTAACAAAATTTTACATTTCGTTTGATGCAATATAAAATTGTCAATTGAATTCTTCCAAAATAATGAAATTTAATTTTTTTATTTTCATAATTTGTTCATTTATACATTACTTAAAACATTTTGAAATATTTAAACTTTCATTTTGTAAATATTTCTAATGCTACCTAATTTTATTAGAATATTTTTTTAAGATAAATTATGTTTCATATTTAAACTTTATAATTATACTGTAATAAATAATACTGAATAGTCAAAAAATGTATTAGATATAATGTATATTATTTTTTTATTTATAGCTCCATATCAACCACGTCTTGATTGGCAAATGTGGTTTGCTGCATTAGGCAATTATAGTCAAAATCCTTGGTTAATGTCTTTTGCCTACAGACTTTTATATGGACAATCGGAAGTTTTAAATTTAATGAATAATCTTGAAAACCCCTTTCGTGATAATCCACCAAAGTATATCAGAGCTAGTCTTTATCATTACCATTTTACACCATCAAATAAAAAGTAAGTACCAAAAAAATTAGAAGCATTAATATATATATAGTTAATATGAAATAATTTATATTACTGGTGGTAATTATTGAGTAAAAAAAGGATAAAAATGATTGTAGACTATACTTGATGTAATTTGTTATTATAATTTATTTAATTGTTACATATTTGGCTTCTTAAGGAATATTAAAAAAATCTTTTCACTTTAGAAAATAAACTTTTTAAATTAAGCTGAAAGTATGTCATCTGAATAAACAATTCAGAAATTTCGTTAAAAAATCTTAATGTGTATACATTACATATTTCAATATTAATTAAAAACATTTTAAATATTTAAAACATTTTTGTATACAATTAATCAAATATTTATTATTTTTCATTTACATTTTATTTTGATAAAATATAAGTAATTATATTGATAAAAAGTTTTAAATCAATTATTTTCTTTAGGGGTAATGTGCAATCTTGGTGGATAAGAGAAAGAATAAATGATTATTTTCCCATCTTCAGTCGTGATCATCCACCTCTAGTTGAATATTTATCAAAAAAAAAAATTATTCAAAATAAACCATACATTAAAGTGATGAATAATACTTTGAAAATAGTATTTGATTTTATTAGATCTCTGGTAAGCAAAGTTGAGGCAACTCTATTACTCTGGGGCATGTTCACAGCTGGATGTGCAATAATCATGACCGGTTAATAAATGAGTTATAATATGAATGGTGTCAAATATGAAATAGAATAAAAATTGATTTCCATGTAAAAAGAAGTGAGAAAAGACTTTTTATATTATTTGAAGTATATTTTATAACAAAGTTTATTATTATTAATATTAATTACAGTTCTGTAAATTAATAATTAAGCTTCATATTTTGTATTCAAACTTTTTAAAGATTTTTTCAATATTTTGCATAATATATGATTATGTTTGAGAACTATATTTAAAATATATTTGCAGACTTAATGTGTCATTATCTATTTATTATAACACATCGTTTAATAGTACTATAATACAATACTAATGCTCTTTTCAAATTATATTTTATTTATGATTAATATAAATTATAATTATAAACAAAGAGATATAAATAATTTTTATGCAAAATTGTATAAAATATTAATTAATAATACAATATTAATTTACAAATTGTATTTCTCTCGAGTCACCATATTTATTTACATTGTACTATAAATAGCACACTTCATTTATAATATATGGTTAAATCTTAACTAATATTTATTGAAGAAATGAAGTTAGATTAAAGTATAAACTAGTATTTTAGTTAAAAGATTGTTCAAACATTTTTGACAATTGTACTATGTTTAACTTTATGAAAGATTTCATTACTTTTTTGTACAATAATATTTAAAATAAATGTGTATCTTTCTGTAATGTATCATAAGGTAGTAAGCTGAAAAATCTTACATATTACATTTAGAATTATTTTGTTAAATGAAAAAAACAATAAATTTCTTTCCAGAAAAGTTATTTTATGTTATTGGTCCTATACTTATTTGTCTGAATTAATAATGTTAAGAAATGTTTTTATTTACTTTAAACAGATTACTTTATTTTAAAACAATGTAGGTTTTATTACCTTTTAGTACTATAAAGATATCATTTTTACATTTTAATAATAAATTTAAATATATCACTAAAATTATAAACAAGAAATATTAAACAATTTCTCATTTATTTTTATACTTTGTTTATAAAATCAATAGAAAGTCTAAAATGTACTTTATTAATTAGAATTAATATATTCAGTATTTATAATTTTAATTATTTTTTTTAAGCGCTTTCTTTTAACATTTTTTTTTTGCAATTTTTCTAGTGCTGGCAAAAATGCACTTTCATCGACAGTATCTGGTGGTATAATTCTTGATAATCCAGTAGGAACATGAAATAATTGTTCATAACGTTTTTTGAATAAATATAAAGCTTCACGACCTCTGGGAGTTAATTTATAATCTGAATTCATTTCACTTGACTCTGAAGGAAAAGTTCCAGATATAAGTAAAAGTTCTTGATAGGCCTGAAGCGTGGTTCTATTAGGTTCTATTATTGGAATAGAAATATTATCAGTTATCACTTTTTCTTTAAATGAATTTTTAGAAATCATTCTATTTGATTCCCAGTCATATTTTTTATTTTGTATAGCAATCGAAGATCTTCTAAATATATCCTAAAAATTTAAGATCATATTTGTTATTATATATATTTTTTATATTATTTATTATCAAATATATAATTTACAAATTATTTTCATAAATAAACAAAAATAGGAATGGAAGTTATAATAATTAAAATATTTTGTAATAAATTCCTTTTATAAACTAATTCACTTATATTTATATAACATATATATAAATAATAAAAAATTTATATTGATTTTATTTTTTAATAAATTTAATTAAAATTAAAAAAAGAGCTCCGTTTTTAACCACATTTTTAATATTTTAAAATTCATATAATTAGTAAAAAAGATTAATTACTTCTGAATTAATTTATTATATTAACTAAAATTATTTATATCTATAAATATTTCATAAAAGATATAATGTTCAATAAAGAAAGATCTTTATTAAAAATGTTATCCTTACAAATCAATTATCAATAGATTCATTAACTCAGATTCGAGTTATAAACTGAAACTATAATTCTCAATAACTAATTTATTTAAATATTATATTGAATAAAAAGTTAATTTCATACTGTGGAAATATACCTTTGCTCTGAAGTACTTTTATTTTATCAATAATGTATATTTATGTAAGTCTAAAAATATAATATATATAGCAACTTACACTTTTTGTTCAATTTATGAATTGACTAAAATATATATAGTATACTGGTTCTTTAATACATTCAATGAAAAACTATGAAATATTTTAATAAATAATTTTGCAAAAGATAAACTTACATTTTGATGATTATCAAATAAAATTGAATTAGCAAATGATTTACATTTTAATGAGTAAATCTTTTCTGGTTTTTGTGCATTAACTGTTATAGTTTTCTTTAATTTTTCAAATTGATTTTCCATGTCTTCTCCAAGATATTCTCTCACATACCTATTGGGTTCGAACATCATAATAAGTTCTGTTTGATGAAATTCTCTTATATCTAAATTAAAATTAATTGTATTAGAACTATTTCTTTTATGTTTTGGAAGACGAAAGTTGAATGGTAAAGCAGGTATAAATCGTTGTTTATCTTGTACTGGGTCTTGAGGACCAAACATTTGTAGCCTAATACGTTCAACATCTTTACTAAAATACGTTTTTCGTTTACGAACATAATATTGTAAAGATGCTAAGAGTTGTTGATTTAATTCACTTAATTCCATTTCATCAGTAATATAATCTGGTACATCTAAGTTAGCATTCAATTTTAATAATATGTTATAAAGTTTTTTCGTATGTTCTTTTAACTTTTCAGGGTGATACGATTTTCTTTGTAGCTCAAACTTTCTTCTAAGTATATTATCTTTTTTAAAAAAATTTATAAGTTGATCATCAATCTTTAAATATTTAATGAATATTTCTTTATTTTCCCGAGACCAAGGTGTATTAGTAGTGTATGTAACAGTGGTGTGAGTTGATATTGTATCTTCTGGATTTTCGTTTCGGTTGATTTGTTCCAAACGAACTCCTTTTTGCTGATATCTAATCAATAATGTATAACGTTGTCTAGCTTGAACTCTGGTAACATCTGGCATTTCTTTAGCAATTCTTACCCAGTTTGAACCATATTTTTTTTTAAGTTCAATAAGTAATGCATCTTCTTCTACTGTCCAAATCTTTTTAATTTTACAATTTCTTGCTGTTAAGGTTTGAAAATGTTCTTTTAACTGAATATTAGTCCTATTAGTCATTACCAAAGCAGATATTTTGCTAAAATTTGGCCCATACTTTGTTACTGCATCTATCAATTTTTGGTCTTCTTCTTTTGAAAATCTTCCTTTCTTTAAATGTGATGCTAAACTATATGTCCAACGAAAGTATACCTAATTTAAAAAATCTATATTTAAATGTTTTTAAATATTCAATTTTTATATATATACAATTATAAATTAAAAAATCTTTCACTAATCTTTTATATAAGTTTTATGTGTTTATATTAATAATATTAATAACAGTATTTGTACATTAAGTATAATTAAAAAGTAACTTTGATAGCATTTTTGAAACGAAATACTGAAATTAATTTAATTACATTAAATACCTGTTGTTTTGTCCAATTACTCATACAGCTAGCAATGTATCCCCATGGAATATAATCTCCAATCTTTAATTGAGTTACTAAATAAATAAGAGTATTATCATCAATTGGAGACCAAAATTGACCTTTCATGAGATTTTTCCAATTGTTTGTATTATATCGAACAAAGCACTGATAACCACTACGCTTTGTTTTTAAGGCTGTGGCAATATTATCCCAATCCTCAAATTCATATTCTTCTACTATGCGATTTAAATCTTTATCTTCTTTCTTAGTCCATTTTTGTTTATTAATGTCAGGATGTAGAAAAACATTCCACATAACTTCACATTCTTCTGCATTGTGCTTATTATCAGGAATGTTATTAGCTATTTTTAACCAATCAAATTTCATTGAACCTAAAGATCCAATAGCTTTTTTCACATCACTAGGGAGCTGACTTGTCTTAGTAATTGAATTATCAATATACACTTCATCAGGTTCATCTTTGTTTAATAAAGTTAGTGTTACTTCATGCCTTATAGCTTTTAATAAATTACTCTTATCCATTTGATTCCAACGATGAATGCGTTGAAGTTCCGTCAAGCGTAATTCACCATTTCGTATTTTAGTTATTGTATCCTCATTTTGCTTCGGTGTAAAATATTTTTGATCCTTAAAATAAGGCATACCAGCATTAAATGTAACTATTTTAGTATACCACGATGATGTATCTTTCGAAATTTGTTCCTCAATTAATTGCTGTCTTTTCAAACATTCTTCAAGAAGATTAATAACATTATCACGTGTTAATAAAAGAGATTCAATTAATTTCTTATTTAATTCTAATAAATCTTGTAAATCTTTGCAATCATAATTCTCATAAAAATCATCAATAACAAGATCACCTTCATCGACATAAATATTACTATGATTGTGTCCAAATTTTATTTCTAATTTTAAAGTATTTATATTTGAAATACCACTTGTTGAAGCAAATTCCTTATTGCTTAAAGTTCGTCTTTGATCTAATGCATCTTCTAAGGCCTGAATTTCATCTATTAAAGATTGATTATCTTCATCATCACTCATGATTATTATTTTTCTGAAAATTATATTAATGGTAGTATATTAGTCTATTAACTATTTTCAACATATTGTTTACAATTTTTTAAATAAAATAATATGAATGCTAAATATTTTATTTATTAATAAATAAAAATGTATGCATTATAAAACATAATAAATAACAAAGAAGCAAAGTTACATTTTTACTTGAATACATATATAAAAAATAATGGAAAAAATGTATTAAAACATAACCCTATTTGAATTTTAAAAAATAAATTTTTAAATAAATTTTTAAACAAAGTAATAATTTACCTATTCCTTTGGTAAAATAACAAAATACAACGAATAATATATAAGTTATACTACATTATTCTTTGATATTTTTCAAGAATATATAAAGATAAAATAAAGATTGTTATATTGTTACATAGATGGGTGAAGTAAGGTTAGATTGCAAACAATTTGAGCAAAAGAAATTTTTTAATACTATAATTATAGTGTACGACTAAAGCACTATAAAGCTAGAATAGGGCAATAAAATGAATTTTGAGAGTATAACGATTTTAGCATAGACCTGTCGTTATCGAATACTATAAAAATTTGTATGTAGAAAAACGTATAATTCTTAAAAAGTAGTTTAGTCAGATGTAGATATATATAAAAACCTAAAAGGTTAAATTCATGAGAATATTTCTATAACAATATATATATTTTTAATATATTATCTTCATGAAAATTAAAAAATGTTAAGGTACATATGAATTGACTATTCTAATTAGTGCTGTGGCTCTGATCATTCCGAACGATAATAGCAACACTTAGTCGACATAAGTTTTGAACAAACGGATCTTTAAGTTCCAAAAGGAATCTTTTTTTAATGTAAAATTCGATACTAATTATATTTTAAATAAATACATTATAATTAATTAAAATTTTTGAGTCCAAATTAATTTAAACTTGCATGAGGCGGCATCGAATGAATAAGAATATCGCGCGAAAAATCGTTATGCCGGCTTGATCCTATACACAGTGCTGATTTCTTATTCCTTAGTCTTATTGTGTGGAATAAACAATAACGAATCACTATTAAGTATTTTCTTGTAAATCGGGCTAAAAAGAAAATTCTTTTGTCGATACACACATGCCGTACATACCGTAAGTAGCATATAGTTAACTGATAAATAGGCATGCATGATTAACGCTAGTGTGTACGTAGTTTGTGTATCGTATAATTGCTTCTACTACTGTGTAGTGTGGTGTAGTTCTGTTGTGGCGCAGCTTGCTCAAAAAAGAAAAGTATCAACTGTTTGAGCCAGTTTTATAATCGTGAGTAGATACTGATTGAGCATCAATATAAAATAAAAACAAACCGGTATAATTAAGAAAAACTGATTACTGTATTGCATATTTGACTGTGTACATTGCTACATTTCATCGAAGACGATCATGTGCTAGAAAAATCATTGACCAAAAAGATGTATAAAGAACGGGTCTGCCCGTATAACACTACTAAAACACAGTATTGTCTTTAAAGGTTAACAGAGTGTATATTTTGCTTTTATTACTTATAATGCTTAATAACACGTATTTCGCTTCCCTTTTTTGGGTAATTAATATGTATATTTACTGCATCTGCGCATAAGTATCCTTACTGAATATGAACAAAAATACGAAAACGTATATTTCTTGTCTTCAACTTTTTGGGATATATAACTAATCACCAACAACTCATCATTGTACATAGTGATATCAATGTCTGTCGTTCGTAGTTAACGACAATAATATCAAGAAAATACGAACAATGTATTAAAAAACAGTAGAGAACGAAGGAGTATGCAAAAGAGATAACGATTCGAGCCCTATGTCAAGACAGTCGGCCGCTACTCGGCGTACGAGAGACGACGACGAGGAAGACGGCACGAGACAAACGAAGTCGACCGAGTCCAGCAGCAACGGCGGGCAAGAAGTCGAGACGAAGGCTGTAGCTGCATTAGCTGCTGCCAGTAGATTAACCACGCCAATATGAAGAAACTCTTTTCAAAAATTGACAATACAGCAAGTAAAGAGATCAACAACTACATAGGAAAAGTCTTCGTAGTCGGCCGGCATACGGTAACCGTCGAGGAAGTCTTAGCTGAAGGTGACGAACTATCCTTATCATATTACTTATATCTTTCTCTCTCTCTCTCTCTCTCTCTCCTTCCCCCGTCCCCTTCGCCGTTCCGTCTTACCCCCATATCACCACCCTTCAATCCTTCCCTCCCTCCCTGTCCTTCTTCCGTCTTTCCTTCCCTCACTCTTTCTTTCAGTCACTGTTCATCTATTTTATGTAATACGCGCGCGCACAACTACCTCATGACCTTCTTGTAGTTGAGTCGTCTGCTCTCTATTTCTACTCCTTCCGTTATGCTTTTATAATGACAATTATTCAAACGGCAGCAGTCCTATTGAAAATACGGTAAAACCAATATTCTTATCACAATACATTTTTCTTTGGTATCGATTGAAAAATAATAGATTCGACTAGTTGTTTAAAAAATTGCAATATACTTTCAGTTAATGAGCATCACTTTATATTTATGATGTTATAAGCCATTTAATTTCAATGAAATAAAATATTAAAAAGTATAATGTTTTACTTTTATATTGCTTAGTGTTTTATGAAATATTCTATTTATTTGATTTTACAACTTGAAATTGAACGTATTTTCAAGATAATTTTTTTCATTACCATAAATAAGTTTTATTACTTTAATACTGGTATTTCAATTGAACTTTTGTTTAAAAAATGTATGAAAATATTAAATACACAAAAGAAATATTAATTTAAAATATATTCTATTTTTGCAAAACATTTAATGATTATTGCTATATATCAAATATAAATATACTTATATTTAAATCTACTAAAGTAAATGTACCAAATTAAAATTTTTATAAATGTTATATATGGATTTATTCAAAGAAAATTATTAAAAAAAGAATTTAAATCAATATATTATTTAATAGTCTTGCATAATAAAATATATATTACTTTTATAAGCTTTAATTTATTTATACAAAGTTATATAAGAATGTAATTAAAATATTGATTCTTTATTGAAATTTTTATTTTTTATCTTGTTATCACCAATTACCATTAATTACCAACAATAATAGTTGTTAAAAAAATAAGTATATCAAAATAGTTTTAATATATTTCAAAATAATAAAAATTAATTTTTATCTTTCTTAGAATTAATTTTAAATTATTTTGTACCTAATAGATAGTTGTATATAGAAATGTCTTTTATAATTATTTATAAAATAATGATTTTTTAAACGATAATAATATCCGTTTTAATATTATCATAATGTTGCAAACAAAGATTACAAATTATAAATTTAAATAATATAAGTCAATTGTTTAATAAATAATATAAATAGTACCAAAATGATTTGAAATTAAATTTAATTTGAAATTCATAAAGATTATTGAAAATGTGTAAATATATTTTTAAATATATTTATCAAATAAATCAATTGAAATGTTTTATTGTATTATCAGATTGTATCCTATATATTAGAATTAAGAAAAGTATATTTTGATACATATTGTTTTTAAAATTATAGTTTTGTATATTATATATTGTTCATATTTTTCACTTCTTTAAATTAAAAAAAATTATTTAGTTTTTTTACTAGAGTTAAATATTAAACAACAAAATAAATATTTTAATCAATAATTTATTCTGATTGTAGGAGGATTTGCAATCGTATTCCTAGTTAAATATGCAGGAGGTCGTTATGCACTTAAACGCATGTATGTCAACAATGAATATGATTTGAATGTTTGTAAAAGAGAAATACAGATTGCGGTAAGGATTATAAAATTTTAAATAATCATAAAATAACTATAGAAATTAATGATTAAATAAATAATAAGATACTTTAAAATGATGTTATTATTATATGTACTAACTATAGATATTTATTATTAATTTGATGAATCATTTTTAAATTATAATTAGTATTACAATTCTACTATTATATAAAACTTATTTATTTTTTTTTAAATAAAATTTGATCTTTAATAAATATTTATTTCCGTCATTAAATATATATTTTAAATTCGCCTATCTAAACCATTTTTTAAAATATGTAAAGATAAATATGTATGAATATTTTATCTAATAAATATTTACTACATAAGTGCCTAATTAATTTTAATATGTTTATGTTATTAATAACTTATTCTTGAAACACTTTTATATATTTAATATACATCATATTTGCTATAAAAATAGATACTGTATCACTACAAATATTTTATTTTAGAGTAACCTCAGTGGACACAAAAATATTATAGGATATGTAGACAGTAGTATTACTCATGTAGGAAGAGGAGTTCATGAACTTCTTTTGTTGATGCCTTATTGTAAATCACAAGTTCTTCAAATGATGAACAACAGGTATTAGTAAATTAGTTTGAAACAAAATATATCTTTTTAATTTTAATTATGCTCTAAAATAATTCTGTTTTGTTATTATTAATAATTTGTAGGTTACAAACAGGTTTTACACAAGTGGAAATTCTTCAAATATTTTGTGACATTTGTGAATCTGTGTCTCGATTACATCATTGTCAAACTCCTATTATTCATAGAGATTTAAAGGTTTACAATTAATATTTATAATACATTTTACATTTTTAAATTAACATTCCTAAAATAGTAATTGTTATTAAATATAAATAAAATGGTATGTTTAAAGGTTGAAAATATTTTATTGGGCGATTCAGGGAACTATGTTTTATGCGACTTTGGTTCAGCAACAGGCAAAATTCTTAATCCAAGTATTCATGGAGTTTCGGTTATTGAAGAAGAAATTAAAAAATATACTACTCTTAGTTATAGAGCACCAGAAATGGTTGATATGTATTGTGGAAAACCGATTACAACAAAAGCAGATATTTGGGTAGTCACAATAAATAATAATGAAAATATGTTCTTAATGCATAAAGAGTTTAATAATATGTTGTTTCAGGCTCTTGGATGTTTGCTGTATAAGTTGTGTTTTTTTACTTTGCCTTTTGGTGAAAGTACTCTTGCTATTCAATCTGGAAATTTTAATATACCTGACAATTCAAAGTTAGTGTCATACTTGCATTTTATATAACTTTTCAATAATAAATTAAAATCTTTTTACAGATACAACAAAGTTCTACACTGTTTGATTCGTTATATGCTAGAACCTGATCCTGAAATTCGTCCTGATATTTATCAAGTATCAACTATTGCCTTTCAAATGATGGGAAAAGAAAATCCTGTTCAAAATTTACATGTTAGTAAAAGTAAATTATAAATTTTTATTTTAATTATTTTTATAAATATACAAAACTTTAATATTAAACTAGCAGTTGTTAATTGTACAAATCATATTTTATTTTTTAATTTATGACTAGTAAACATTGAACAATTATTTTATATAGTAATTATTAAATAATTCAAAACCTTTTGTAATCAACTTTGGGCTAGTTTATACATAATTAATATATTTAATGATATTTATTATGAAATCTATTCATAAGCAAGAATTTATAAGTAATTCAATTATTTAATTTGAATATTTTATGAATATTTATTAATAGACCAATCTTATAATTACTATATATTATTATACATTAGATTATTTTTAGAAAATGAAAATGTATTGTACAAACTTGAAGATAATGACTAGTCATTCATAAATTACGTCAAATGAATATTAAAAATGAATTGGAATTATTCAATTTAGCATTTAATGTATTCTAAAAGGAAATAATTTAAATGCAGAAAGTGTCTACACCTACAATAGACAGTTTACCATGTCCGCCAATGGAATCTGAATGCATAAAACGATCTTTATCTGTGAAAGTTTCGAAGAATTCTCCAATCACGACTGTCGAGGGTACGTCGGTCACACCTAGACAAAGACCCAAAGGACAAGGTGTTGGTACTGGACCTATAAGTTTAAGTGGTCAAATAGTCAGCGAAATATCAGGTCAAGGGAATCAAATACACCAACAAAGCCCAGCTGGAAATTCTATCTCGTATGTGCAAGTCAATCAACAAATTGCACCAATCAATACTCCTCAAGCATTTTTGCAGCCAATTCCTGTTCAACAAAACCTGCAGTCAAATTTCACAAAGGTGCCACCTCACATTCCTTCACCAAGTCAAGCTTCTACTTCCTTTGGACAATCACAAGGACAACCATTATTTAATCAGTCACAAAGTCCTATGTCAAATAATTCCCCTTTAACTCTTCAGTCACCTGTTACCGTTCCAGATATGAATCTTTATTATTTTGATTCAAAGCAACATAATCTAAAAACTTCTGTAAATCTAGAAAATGATGATAATTTAGAGGCATTATTTCCTTCATCTGGTAAGCATTATATTCTTTATAAAGTATTGTTAAAAACATTTATAATAAATATATAATTATTGATTATAGTAACAGAAATTTTTTGTACATTTACTTAATAAATATAAAGTCAATTGAATAAGTTTTCGTTTATGCTTTTAAGAAATATTAATTTTTAAAAAATGATTCAATCATTTATTCGTAGCGACATTTGATAATTAATTGTTAAGTTTACATAATTTGAATATTAAGTATATGTTCGTTTATAAATATTATATGAAATAGTTAATTCATTCTCTATTACTTTATTTCTAATTAAATTTTAAATAATTGTAATTATTTATATAGTAAATAAGTTTTAAAGTGTAGTTTTATACTGTTTGAATAAATTACTATAATAAAAAATATTTTATTATATTCTAAAATAAATATTTTAATTAAAATTACAAATGGATAATATCCATTGATTTATGAATTTAATCTTTTTAAGGTTATCCAGACCCCTTTAAAGACGATGGTCGATCTCTCTCTGATTCCGTACCTATTGCATCTCCTGGCTCTGGTAAAATGCCTCCTCCACTGGCTGCCAAACCAAATGTCTTAAAAGTATCACAAAAATTGATCACTTTGACAAGTGAAACTGTTTCACCAACAAAATTTCTACCTTCTATGCAGCTATCCAATAATTTGAGTCAAGCAGTCTTGGCTCTATCGGTGTTTCCAAAGCCCGCTAATAAAACGGAAAGTCTTAGTCAAAACATAAGTTCAAGTACATCTTCTCCGGAAAGTCCAACGTTGAATACTTCACGGCATAGGCGAAACGTTAGCGACACAAGCGCATTTAATAAGTGAGTTTGTTTTAATATTCTAAGCCAATAAACTATTAGAAAGTAATTTTTAATTTAAATGTTTATGATTTTTACACAATATTTTTTGTTTTTTAAATTACAAAAATACAAGATTTTAAACTTATTCCACTAAAACTATAAAGCATTCATAGTAACATATTCAATAATAAGATATACAACATATACAATGAAATAAATTGTTACGTTAATAAAAAGTGGAAATAAAATTAATATAGAAATTAATAAAACAACCATCTTCAATAATTATTTAGTAATAATAATGATAAATATATCATTGTGTACAGTTAAAATAATTTCAGAACAAATATATTACACAATTATTGTTTCAAAAGAAATTAACTGTTAAAAAAGAAGATTGGAAAAGAATTTTTTATATAGTATGGACTTATGAGTTAATATTTTTATTTCAGAATTTTATTAATTATTAAAATAAGTTTTATCTTAAGTTATTGAATACATCGTTTTATTTTAATTTAAATTTAACCATAACAGTTAAATTATTATTTAATTGAAAATAAAAAAATTAATGTCTGCAATAAATGTTGAAATAAACAAACTTTTATTATGTAGTTTTATAGTACATTTAAATTATCACTTCCTTTTTATTCTTTTCATTGCTTATCTCTTCTTGATTAATTTTTATTATTTTCAAATTAAAAATATGTATTAAAATATTATTTATATTCTTTACATTCATGTAATTACACTTTGACGATAGAACCGTCAATACTTTCAGGGTTTTTGCAAATGAGACGTCTCAATTTTTAGCCCCCTATAAAGCATCTGTTAAATCGCGTACTGAAGATATTTCGCTTCCAGAAGTACTCGCAGATATTAAACCTGTAATTGGTGCAAGCGCATCGCATGTACGTATTGTAAGTAGAATAGTGCACTTTTTCTTTTTATTCTTTGTATTCATTAAATGTTATTAAACTAATTCATGATATCAAGTAATGGTAACTGACATTATACGATTGTAGAATTTAAAAAAGCATAAAATATGAAAAAAAGAAATCACTAATAAATTAACAATATGAAAACTATCTTAGACAAATGATATAACTATTTTAATATAAATATTTTTAAAGAATATTACAATTATAAAAATATAAGAATATATTTTATTTGTGCTTCCTAATTTCTTAACTAAATACAAAATTGTATATTTTAATTTAATAATTAATAAATTTTAAGAAACCATTTATCGTTTATTTACATGGTATTCAGATTTCATTTTATCTTTATTTTGAATTCAAATTATTTTTTTTATGCACTGCATACAGATTTAATCTTAACAAAAATGGATTCCAACATATATGTTTTCTTATTATAATAAAGAAATAATAGCCTGCTTAATTAAAATATCTAAATAAAATGAATTTACTCACTGCGTATTTTTATTTTATTAATTTGAAATGAAATTTATTGGTAATATTGTAAATATATGCTAAGTCATAATGTAATTAATGTGGACCTTATTTCAATAGAAATATAATTATTTTGATTTGTTATTGAAATCAGGGACAATTATCAAATATATCTGGAGCAGAAATTAGATCACTGAGTGCAGATATAGCAGCTTGGAATCCATTTGAAGATGTTCAGCCTTTTAATCAACTTACAGAGGATCACATTTTTGGCGCTGAATTTGACAAGATAAGAAGGGGAAGTAAGAGCAGTATTAGCGGCGTGAAAAGTCGCGAAAGTTTAGTAATGAGTTATACGGAAATTCCAAAAGATCCATTCGAATCAGCTCCCTTCAGTTTACCAAGTAAGAATAGCTTCTAAAATATTAATTTCAAAATTATAATAAAAACTGTATATTTTATTTTTCATATAATTTTAGGAAACTTATTTCAATTTACTATTGAAAACTGAATAAATATATATTATACTATAATATTTAAATTTAAAACTAAAATAGTTTATAATATTTCATCGCAATTTAGTCTTTTTAAAATTGCTATAGTACAATTTGTAGTAAACATATATAGTAAACATTAAAACATCTTTTTTAAGCTAAAGTTAAAAGTATTAAATAAAATTTTCTTTAAATTATTTTTAAATTATTATATCCAATTATACTCTTGTTCATAATAAAATATTAAAATCTATAATTTATTTTAAAACATTATTTAAGCAATGGAAATTCAATAATAGTTATAATAATAACTTATATTTTTTAATATTAAGAATATTTACGAAACATTCTACTATTATAATTTTAGAAATACGTATTAATTCTATTTACTATTTGTTTAAAAAGAATGCTTTAAATATTTAACAAGATATAATGTAATTTTATTTTATTATAAATACTTTCATATATTTTCATATAAATTATCAATATTTAACTTTGATATATAAAAAATTCGATAATTATAATATTATTAAAAAATTTACTTAATTTTCGGTTTTGTAAGTATTATTTTATGTAAATTTTGTATAATTTCAGCAAGCAAAAAAAATAAAATTGGATCGAAAGCTGCAGCGATTGCTGGAGGTAATGCATAAGAAATTTAATTTTAATATTACTTTTATCATTTCTTTTCTTTTATTGATATAATAACTGAAGTATCTAAGAATTTTTGTTTTAAATAAATTTGTATATTTGTTAAGAAACACAGAGAAGTAGTCATTGCAAGTTTAAAAAAGTAAAGTTATTTTGTAAAAATATTTTGATTGTAAAATTTTATTTGATTTAATATTTTAGTTTACCTACACAAAACTACAGATAAAAGTATACCAGATTAAAACCAGTAAAATTGAAATGAATTTAAAAGTAAATACAAGTATTATAGAAACATTACAACGACAATTTTTCGTTTGAATCTTCAACGACATATCTTTAATTCAAATGCAAATTATTGAATATACGAAATTGAAAATATGATGAAATATTATACAATAATATATTTACAAATCATGTCATAAGTTATAAATTTAAAAATTTCTAGTCTATAGATTGTTAATTATATATGTATAATATACCTATTTGAATATTCAGGAGCTACTAATAATTTTACATTGCGTACTGTTTTAAAACTTCAGTAACGATTCAGAGACAAACCTCTGCTCACACTTTTAATATGAAAATCTTTACTTAACTTTAAGTTTTGAAGTAACCAATGGAGCCATTACATTTTTCAATACAGAGTCAAGTACAATTACTTTGTTGTTAGTTAATAAGAATTATTTTGGTTTTATTTTAACAAATTTATTATCTTATTATATTTATAATTGGTGAAAGATTTAATGTAAATTTGATAAAAATAATGAGAATATACAAATTCTACTTTTGTGTTTAAGAAAAGTCAGTAAATATATTTAACAAATGGACGTAATCAAAAGTCTGTAAAGCAAAATATTCTGTGATTTTATATTCATTTAACTACTATAATGCTCAGTTCTATGCATTGATTTGTTATCATTAAATTTCGTTAATTTTCTGATATTTACATAACTATAACATAATGTTGATTTATTGTGTCAATTATACGAATATAACATAACAATAATTTTATAAAATCACGCTTAAAAAGTAACATTAAAGCATAATATATTATAATGTAATAATAATAATAATAATAATAATAATAATGTAACAACAACAATAATAATAATAATAGTGATGATAATGATGATTATGATGAAAATAAAGAACAGTAATGGTAACTATAGTATGTAATAGTAACTGTAATGGTAAGCAAATTAATTTTAATGCATAAAAATGAAATGAATATTTTTATCACGTAACATAAAACTAACAAAAACAAACTGAGATTGCTAGATCGCTGTAAATAATATTGTCTTATAACGTTTGAGAACATTGATAAAGTACTGATGGAAGAGTTTACAATGATGTACAAGAGTAAGTTATTATTTGATTACGATAATTGCCAATAAAAAAAAATTATTACTTATATAATATATAAGTAACTATAATTAAAATGTTTCCATTAAATACATCATGTGGGAGTAGTATTTACTATTACTCTAGCGAAATCAACTATTACTATATAGCTTTAATGATTATATTATAAACACAATGGTTGAAATCTTTTGAAAAATCGTGACAGAGAACTTAAATCTAAATAAACACATATATGAACACACAGAAAGTACATTAGCATTTAATTTACGTAATACATATACAAATATTGAATTAATACAATAGTCTTTAATGATTTACTGAAATAAAATAGAACTATATTACATAATTTGTCAAAATTTAAATAACATTTTGCAGTTACATATCTCTTTGTGTTTTACGTGCTGGCACGAAACAAATATAAATTTTCCACTCTTGGCTATATGTACATATTTTTTATATGCTTTAATGAATTTAACGTTCAAAAATTGAAGTTATATTACATATATTTTCCATAAAAATAAAATGTAAAAAATGTGTGATATAGGCGAATGATTTAAGAAGATATTAACAGGTATAGTTATGCATAACGTGCGCGCGCGCGCGCGCGCGCACACACACACACACACACACACACACATACAGAGAGAGAGAGAGAGAGAGAGTAAGAATATGCGATAAATGTCTTATAGAATCTGAAGTATGTTTGTTTAGTAGTATTTAAAACAAAAATTTGTGAATCATAGAACACTTGCCCATTCATGTATGTTACTTTATTTTCTCACTCTCCTTTCATTTAACTATAGAAATACTGACAATATACGTATATATTTAATAACAGATATATTATTATTTACAACGTATTATAAAAATTAAGAAGGAAATTTATATATATATATATATATATATATATATATATATATATGCTTGTATATTAGTAAATTTGACACTTGCATTAGCTTATTTATGCTATATTAAGTGAGAACGGTGCTTTTAATAAACTGTTTTCTTTGTCCACTGTCTGGAATACCCTAATGAGTTTAGAAGATTTTTAATCTAACGCGCCTATCCGATTCGACGCGTTTAAATCAAATATAAGTAAATACACATTAAGAATAATTATCTTTCAATTATTTAAATACTATTTTTCTCGCGTAGGTATACTATAAATAATAAAAAATTTGAACTATTCAGCTTCTGTAATTTTAGTCATAAAATTTAGACTTAATCTTATATTTTAGTCTAAATATATTCAAGTTATTGTACATAATTATACATATAACTAATTATATGCAATTCGTATATTTTTTGTCATCGCGAATAATTTTTTTACTAATTTCTTGCACAAATACTTGTTTGATTCAAATATATCTTTCTATCTTAATTTACTGTTAATCGATTTATAGATTAATAATTCTGACTAACTTAATTTGAAGTAATAGAGTTAAAACTAAATTTCAATTATAATTATAAGCATATGCTCTTTATTCATATTGTTAAATAATTTTAAACAATTGAGAAAACAAAAATTTAAAAATGTGTGTGTGCGGGCGCGCACGTGCGTGGGCGTGCGTGCGTGCGTGCGTGCGTGTATGTAATATAAACGATGTTTATTACTCAGTGTATGTATATATATGTACATGAAATAATAATCATCATTTCGAATGTAAAATCAAAGAACATCGAATTGACCTGATAAATTTGGGACATTGCTGTATATTACGAAACTGATGTTAACAGCAATAAATAATATGTATATTAGCACATCAAGTTCTTTATTTATAAAATTATTATTATACGTACAAAACGCAGCAATGTAAATATTTATATACATATATATGTAAAAGTTATTACAAAAAAAAGAATAGTATATAATCATATATATTAATATAATCAAGTGTTTTACTTTTATACATATGTCGTTATCATTTTTTATACTTATCGTATAATATTTTTAATTACATAAGTTTAAAATTTTAAAACTTTAATACATATAAGAAATAGATTTTTACTATATATTTATATTGCTATATATTTTGATTAATAATATATATTTTATAGCAGACATTTCTGCGTTTTTTGACGATATTATCCCATACCCTTAAAATCTGATTAGGACTGTTCTATACGTAATGGTGGCACTACTAACGCACATCAGCTGTTTATTTTTCACGCTTATATATATATAATTTAATTTTTAATTTTAAAGAAAAGATATTTACTAATTTAAAAACCAGAAAAGTATAATATGTATTATAATAAATATAAAAATATTCTTACTCTTTTACACTACTATGATATATTGTATGGTCTCTGAAATGCACTATTTATAACAGACCTAATCAGACACCTCCTTTCTAATTCTTTTTCTTTTATTTTAAAATATAATACATAAAATAATAATAATAATTTTATTGCGATTATTCAGCAAATGGGTTCTTTTTGTTTGGTGAAAACACTTGGTATAGACAAGGTAGCTATCCAATGTTTTTTGGTTTTTGTTGTATCGGCAATAAATAATAAATATTGTAGGTAAGTATTTAGCTTGGTTTACTCGATCACTAACAAAGATATCTAATAAATGTTAACCGGTGCATTTATAATTTTTAATTTTATACTTAATTTTATCGTCCATCTCATAATTTATCACATAGCTATGTAATAAAAGAATATTGGAAAAACAGTTTTTATGTATATTTACAAATAATAATATATTGCTCGAACCTTTGTCAATAATTTATGATAATCTTGACTACATTTTGGATTTGTTAATTGACAAAATTTTAATCATATTTTAATTCTGTAAAATTACTGCCTGTTTAATATTTAAATGTGTCTTATAAAATATCCTGGTTATTTAATTTGAATAAACTATTATTATTAAAAGGAATATTATATAGTTAAAAAAAATGAAGTAAAGAGGAAATACTTCAGAAATAAAGATCTTTAATTTGAAATATAAGTAAATTTTTTCGATATATCCTTAATTCATATATTTATGTATTAACATTATAGAATATTCTTTAATTCATATAAAATCAAATTTCATATTTTATATATTTGAACTGTTTTCTTTAAAATGTTATTTTTAATGCATTTCATTACTTATAAAAGGTCTTAAATAAGGAAATATTAATTATATTCAAGATATATTTAGAATTTCTACGGACTTGTATTCATATATAAACTTTACAAATAATAATAATTAAAAATTTTCTTTTATTTTTTTATATTCATAATTTTTATGTATGTATAATTATATTCCAAATTAGAATTTGCATTTATACTAAAAGAGAAAAATATATTTATACTACGAATTATTCAGATTACTATTAAATAACAATCATTAGGATTAATATAATCTAATATACAATTAATCATTAAAAATTTAAATATTAAAGCACTAATTGTTATAATTTTGTCATGTATTTCAAAATAATGAATTGTATAAAAAACTTAGTTAAGGTTCTACGTATTAAAAGTTGTTTAAGAAAGTAATTAAAATGTAAAGTAATAAAGATAATTGTTTAATAATTAAAAAAATTAAAAATACACATTCGGAGATAGAGAATATAGTTAAAATAAGTAATTATCATAAATTTTGTTTATTAAAAAATAATTTTTTTATTGCGAATTTTGAATTTTACCTTAATGTTATGATATATTTTACTACCAATTAATACAATTTTTAAATTACAAATACAGAAAACCTAAAGTCTTAAATATTGATGATTTTTAAGATTTTCTTTAATTTGAAATATATATTAATAAAATGTACTTTCACATAAAATTGTTATAAATGAAAAATTATATAAAATTCTATGTTACGTAAATTAAATGCTAGTAATACGTTTATGATTTCGTTATAACTAGCAATGTATCTATTAGTTATCACAGCAACTAATATTTTTTAAAATATAAATACGTGTATTTATTATCAGTTTATACACGTATACGCATGCATGTATGTACATATAAAAATATCATAATTAAACATTAAATGATACAATGAAAAAGGTTAGTGCTAATGTTAAAATAAACTCTTAAACGTTGGTTAAATCAAATATGAATAATTCTAACATATATTGGATATAGAATTAATCAATAATGGTACGACTGGACTATATATATTTTTAATAAGTTATAAATTATTTTCAATTTACAAAGATATTTTAAATTTGTTTTTTTATTATACTGATTTCATGTAATTTATTAAATTCTAAAGAAATACATAAGGATTAGATTTTTATGATAATTTATTTGACATTTATATATTTTATGTATATATGAATATATGCATACACATATATAAAATTAATAAAAAGTATTGAACAGGTATTAAATTACTTATATGTAAGTTAGAAAATTTTTGTACAATAAAAAATGTATTTCTTTATTTTGCTTTATTAAATTTATTATGCGTCTATATAATTTTTTATAATTAAAATCTCTTTTATTTTTTAGAACAGCTTTATACTCACCTATCGATTATACAACTTTAGTATAAAAATGTTTACATAACGTACAGTAAAATTTGTTTTGGTTCTACTCTGTGCAGGTATCTTTCTTCTTCCAATTACAAAGACCTTGAAAAATTCACATCAAATGCAGCAAGAACAAATGCATTCAAAAGTTGTGCACGCAACAACGCTGTATTGGAATCCAGTGGATAACGTTAATAACAATAGAAATAATAACGTCAATAACTATAGAAATAATAACAATTACAATAGTAACAGTAAAATCAATATCAATGGTAACAGAAACATTGATGACGAAATGACCCTCCTCGCCTCTTCTCTCAGTACTATTTCAATACCCTTCATTCAAGACAGATCTAAGTACGAAAAGCTTGCTGTTATTGTCGCCGAAATTTCCAGTAATAGTGATGAGAATAAATCAATCCAGCGAAATGAAGAACGAGTAAAAAAAAAGCGAAAACGTGTGAAAGGGGTACTAAACCGTGCTCGCAAGAAGGTTATAGAAAAACATCAAAAGTATGATGGGCAAGTGCAGGAACATACAATAACCAATTCTTTAAATCCTGTACTTAAAAGTTATGAATCGGATGACTCCATTGGCTCGGCTAGTGATTTGAAGGCGATGAATGACGAGGACGGTCAAAACGATAATCATGGAGATGACGCTGACTATGACGGTTCAGTTGTCGAGGATGATCAGGACAAAATAGATGAAAGCATATCCGAAGGGATGCTCACCTGTGGCAGTTCGGTCTATCACGCCGAGTGCGAGTCCGTGTCTACTCGCGAAGAACTTGATCATATGCGGATACGCAGGCTTAAAAAATACCACAAATACCAATATCATTATCAGCAGCAGCAACATCAAACATTACCAGGGTGTGAGAACGATCCTGTGGTGGGTCACCAGTATGGTGAGAAACCCCTTCTTCTTGACGATGAATTAGATCCAGAATCAAAGTCCGAGCAAACTCACGGCGATCCTTTTGTTAAGCACCAGTACGAGCTCAAGTTTTTGTTACATGAGGGGAACAGTTCATCAGACGAACCAGAGAACCTTGAAATGCATTGCAACTTGAAAAACGGTCTGTGGAAAATAGAAGAAGATGTGTTCGCGTTAGCCCCTTTTCCAAGACTCAGTAGTTCTCGGAAAAGTAACTGCACAGTTCTCGGAAAAGTAGCTGCGCAACTCGAAGATAAGTACCGTTCGGCAAATGAAACGAAGAATTTATCTCCAATCCTAGAAAAAGTTGGAACTGAACCAGTGTCCATAACGAGTTCGCCCGTTATTTCAGGTACTCTTATCGACGTTACCGACAAAAGAAATTTTGAACCTTCGACTCAACAGCCACCAATCTATCTTTCCGGCGTATCTGCGGCTATCAAGAATGTTGTTACACCTTCAAAGAAAATAAATTTCGAAGTAGACGAATGTAAAGAAAAGGATCTTTTTGGCTCATCGCCTTTTGATTCAAGCGGATTCAATGATTCCTTCGACAACGTTTCCGTCTACGTAAAATCGGAGGTACCTGTAGACTCATTATCGATAGCCGTCTCGAATGAGCACTCGACATTGTTCGAGGCTTCACCTTACTTTTCGGAAATGTCGCCGACATCTACAACTGACTCCAAGTTTGTCGATGCTAATATGATAATATCAAGGAACGAAGAACCAAAGGATTTGTTCGGTTCCACTCCTTTTGACGAGATAACATCATTAGCACCCAACTGTATCGGTCAACACCAAAGGCCCACGTCCTTACCTTTAACACAATCGCCAACATTTGTCGATAAAGCATTAGAGACAATTTTGTTGAGTAGCTCTCAATCGACCCATTCAACCCAATTGTACAAAAATTTCGCTACTCAACCGATGAAAATGTCTGTTTCTCCAAATAAAAATGTACTTTCTGCCTCTCCAATGTCACCAGAACCATTAGTTATTCAAAATTCACCCAAACATAAACATCGTCTTTATCACCATGAAAAAATCTCTAAATATGAAAACAAATCCAAGTATCACCTAATCAATGAAAATAAGAATGATTGCATAAACGTCCTCCCCACAAAGATCTCACTATCCTCTCATAAAATTGGCAAATGTTCATTAAAAAAGACACCTAAGAGTAGCAAGAAAGCATCGACAACAGCTACTGTAGGTTTTAATAACATGAGTTTCGAGGATTTTCCTAGCGATGAAAATAATGAGAATGAAATAAAATACGTGGCTGGAAGTAGAACTGCCTATGAAGTTATCAGAGAGCCAGAGAAACGATTTGGCTCACTTAAAAGAAGAAGTAATCCTTTCACCTGATCGTCATGATATTTTATTGGAGCGCAGCTGTGAGTAGTTTCAGAATAGTTGTAAAGCTTTATGGACTAGTATATTAAATAATAAGTTAACGTGAATAACTAAATTCTTTAATATATTTCAATTCCAATCTTGCTTATGCTTTAAACGGCGAGCTTTCATTTTAAAGCTTTGCTTCTGATTGTAATTTATGGCTTGTTTTCATATAGAATTGTTGGAAAATTAAAAATAATTTTTTTCTTGTGAGTAATTTAAAATATACGAATAATAGCTTATTATCAATGAAATTTATATATTTTTTCTTGGGCATTTAAATTTTGAATTTTATATCGATAGTTAATTATAATTTAAAATATCAATTTTATATGTAATAAAATAACTTATTTATATTCGCTTGTATTTAATAGCTTCCTTTACATAAATTTATAACATGATTTTAATAAAATTCGGTTTGACATAAAGCACTACAGCTTATAAACAGTTTTTGAAACTGCTTACATACTTTCAGACATATTTTAATTGTGAGATACACAGTCGGGCAGTATATTTTGTCATTTTTACTTTCAATTTCTAAACCACATTATCACTTTATCCATTTTTTTTTTATTTTAAACCTGTTTTTAACCTTATGAATTATATATAAATATAAATTAAGTGTCATTATTAACTATTAGATTTTATAAATATTTATTTGGAAACCGATTAATTTATTTATCGAAAATCTACGCTTAAAAAATATTTCAGTTTCTGTTTCTAAAATCTTTTATTGTGATATATAATGCCTAAAAGGTTTTACTAATCACGATTTTCGATATAAAAAATTTTGTTATAAATACATACTTTTTCAATAGTTATTTAAATTTCATCTTTTATAATTAATTGTAAATATCAGAATAAACTTTGAAACTCAAAGCATCAACAAATATTACGTTTGTAATTAATTGATTGAAATTATTTAAATTTTTTAATATAATATATATGAAATTATTATGAATTCAAAAATACTTAGTCATTAATTTATTCTACTTAAATTTATTACTGTATAAGATATTGTTTAGAAGAACTTTCTTTCTTAAGCATAATGACACTTGAATTCTGGTGTTAGTTAAAAATTACCGAAAGTATTCTCTTGTTTGTTCCCAAAAGAAAAATTTAGTCTTTCTTCAACTTGCTTACATAATAATAGAATCAAATTATGTGTAACAAAGCAGCTCAATACCAAAAACAAAATGATTTGATTTCTAAAGCAAATATAATATTTGATAAAAACAAGTATATGTATCTCTTTTTGTAATTAAAAATTTTCATATTTTTACATATAAAAAATTAAAATTTATCAGCCAAAAAAATTGATTTAATGTTTATTATAAATGATAAAAAAATTAACTTTTATACACTGTACCATAGAAATAATTGAAATGTGAATTAGTACTGCAAGATAAAAACATACATATACATACTAAGAGTAAACATGTATGCATATCAATAAACAAATATATATAGAAGTTCAGATCTTTTGTGATTATCTTTCTATTCAATTTTATCATTGCGTAAAAGAAATGAAAATCAGTATATGTTCAATTCGTAGAGTATAATACATTATGGCATAAGTAGAGATACATAAGAATGATTGTATAGATTGATACCAGATTGTCTAAATATCGCCTTATCACAAAAGACTGAAGCACTTTAACAATTCTCGCTTTTTATCTTAAAGTTTATATTAACAAATGCTTCTTATTAGATCCCTTAAAACAAGAGCGGATATAGGTAGTTTTTTTTCTTATTTTTTATGTTGAAAATTATTGTATATATAATTTATTTTTGCTTTAACATAATTTATGTCATATTTTCGTTTAGCAAATAAGTAAAATTAAAATAATTATATCGAAATTTTTTCTTCATTCCTTATTAAATATCGACTTATAATTGATCTGATCATTTCTAGATTCCTATAGAACATTTTATAAATAATAATTTTAATATACGTGCTACACTTAAAAATTAATAAATTAATCTTCATATGTTTTATTTGTAATGAATTTAAAAATTTATTTAAAAAGTATTATAAATTAAAAATAATGATAATAGTTTAAATAATTTAAAATTACTTGCATTTAAGTATTCCAATTAAATAGTATGCAATTAAAGAAAAAAAATGGCCTTAGCCTAATGGAATTTTTCAATCGTTTATAAATTAATAATATATTTTTATGATAATTACATATGCTTATATTGGCTTAAATGTTATCGTTATGTTATTAATATGTAGGTGTTCTGAAAAAGAAAAAAAACAAGTTTGAAACAAGTTAAATGCGATCCTGCAACTACATACACAGTAAAAATTTTAATATTTTTAAATAGAAAAATTAAATATAATATATTTATTCGAAAATAAAACTTATGCGTTCAAAATAATTAAAAAATGTCTCGTTAATATAGATGTATGATGCGCAAAATATTGTATTTTAAAAAATAATTTATATATATTTTCGTATATGACCAAAATAATATTTATTTTAAATCAGGAAAATAATATAAATTTATACTGTGTACGTATGTAGATTTTCTTGTTATTAGTATGAAAAAGGTGCTAAGCTTATTTTTTGTATAAAACGCTTAAAATAAAAAGGACTCGGAAGTAGTTACACCGTTGTCAAGTAGCATTGTTTATCTTCTATACTTTATATTTTTTTTCATAAAAATTTTTAATACGTATAATATTTAAATAATGTATACATACAAATAAATTTCTTTGATCAGTCGCACCTTGAATATATTTTTTCTTTTTTTAGAAAGAAATAATGATGAAAAAGTTCAGACAATATTCAACAAGCTATATAGAAATATTTGTAATTCTTAGTAATTTATTTAATTTTTATTTGTAATATTCTGACTGTGTAAAAACAGGACAATGTAATAAGTGACTCGTACATAAAAATATAAATATAATTGTAAATATAAAGTGATTATTAATAATTGTATATGAAATTATTAAAACATGGTGCCTTATTTAATTATAAATTCAATTACCAAAAATTATTGATATACTTTAAATAATTAATATGCTTTGTTTCATAGAAGTATTCAACTTTTCCATAGAATCTGGTAAATAATTAAATTAGAATCATAATAATCGAAAACTATTTCCTGTGCCGATAGTGTACCATTTAAATAAATATTGATAACATATATAAATATCTAAACGGAAATTTTATTTTTTCTAATCTTTTAATGATCAAATAAGTACACATTTTATATTTATTTTATACCTATAATTCATACATTGATTTAAGATATTATTTTCAAATAAAAAAAAATACATATGATATATGTTGAAATATGACAGCTTTTAAATAAATATATTATAATATAAGAGAATGTAATGATCATGTATTGAAAGTCCAGATCTACTTTCAAAAGAAATAGATAATGTATTTACCATTTTTTATATATTAAATGTGCATAATAAACAAATTATTTACTTATAAATATGAAATAACAAAGAGGATAGTGGTTTTCTGTTGCTTAATTTTTATTTAAACAGAAAATACAATTAATCATATTTGTTAATTTTATAATATAATCATACGTTAATAAATACTTCAAGATTTTGTATAATGTTGACCAATTTAAAATAATGTATTATGTATAAAACTTATTCATCTTCATAATTATATTACTTTCACTAAATCTGTTTAAAAGTGCGAAATTCATAAAGAAAAAAATTGAGCATAAATTTGAAAAACAATTTTTATTCGTTTACAGTCGTGTATCCTTTTAGATTATATAAAATGAAAAGACTATATATAAAATCCGCCTTTGACAGTGATAATATACCAAAAACAATTAATAACTACAAGTGGATTATCGTTATTGTTGATCATTTTTTTCAAATATTTTGAAAATATTGAATTGCGAATACGTACATTCACAGAATATAGACATGAATGTAATAAATGAAGTATAAAAATGTAGTCATAAATTATTGGTTAATATTAATCATGTTATATAAAATTATATACTTAATTGAGAAAGGTTGTTAATTTAAAAACCATGTATTCAACGCAATTCTATATAATATTTAGGGACGGAAAATTCGAGATTATAAATTTTATTCTAAATTATGGTATACTATTTTATTTTAAAATTGAATTAGTTTTGTGATATAAAAATAATTTATAACAACTAAAAGAAATAAAATAATCTAGTCAGTCAATATTGTAATACTATTTTTACACTCTCTATCTATTACCAGTCATAGAACTTTTTAATTTTAATTTTAATTTACATATAGCTTTTTGAAATAGATAAGCGTAAATTAAAGTATCGATTGTTTTTTATTTAATACTAATTCTTCAATCATATATTATTTAAAAAATTAACTTTCCATTTTTTTTATTGAATTATTAAAGAAACCATTTTTTCTTTAATAAAAATCTTTTTACATATTTCAACTATTTCGAATGCAATTTACAATTTTCTTTAAAGTTATATAGAAATATTTCATTAATATTTTTATTATTTATTATATATGCTGTTGTATACAATATTATAATATTATAATAAATTTGTCAATGATAATAAATAATTGTTTGAATATTTAGATTTTGAACAAAAATTAAACTTGTACTAGAAACTTTTATTGTTAGGTTTTTAATTTTTAAAGTAAAATAAATATTACCAAAATTTATGACTTACATTTTGTATCCACTTCTGTGATTTATTACTACTTTTATGCTGTATAAAGATTTTTATAATTTTTTTATATAGTTTTTAAAATTCATAAATTACTAAAGTATAAAGGTTTAAGTTAAATGGATATCTATAAGATGTTTAACATAGTAAATCCTTATACTCTTACTATATCTTCCTTTCCTGTTGCTAATCAGATGAAAATGATATAATTAAAAAAATGTAAATATAGATATTATATAAAAAAATGAAATTATCTACCTTCAGTTTTTTTTTTAATGATGTACGAGAAAAATTTATAGAACTTTTTACAATTACAAAATATTATTTGATTTTATTTAAAATATATTTTATAAAATATAGATTAAATTATATTTAAAATATATAATTACGATTACGTATAATCAATTTAATGATGAATAATATGCAACATTTAACAGCCTAAAAATATAGTTTTTCGCTAATTCAAAACTACGTAAAGTTTAAAAATTAAAAATAAAATATCAGAACATTTCTGTTTTTAAAAGTAAAAATTGTGAGATATTCGATATTTAGATATTAATTGAAATGATTTTCTTTATAGCGCGTTATCCTATATATATTAAAAATCAGACATTTCATTAAAATTCTTGCATGATATTTTTACAATTCAACTTACAGCTACGTAAAATAACCTAAGTCCAATTAATTTATATATTTAACATTAGTATTACGATAAGAAAATTATTATTCCAACATATATGTAACATTATACGTATTAAATACAGTAATGATGCTAAATGATGCTTTAAATCTATAATAAAAATCGACAATTTATAATAAAAATCGAAAGACTAGAGTTAACTGTATTTCTGTAATGTAAGATAGGCCTGACATCTATAAAATTTAATGTTTGATCACTAAATTCGGAAAAAGATTTGCTAATGACTAAATATTCTATAAAATAATTCTTTATTCGATATGATTCGTAAATTATCTTTTTACTGATTTTTTAAAATGTAATATAAATTGATGTGGCAATATATCTAATAAGATTACAAAATTTAAACAACTGTTGTTATAGAGGCTTAATATTAACTTTACTATTTTATTTGAAAACATTACTTGATTAAATGTACCAATTAGCTCTATCAAAAATAAAAATAAAAACTATGAATTCTAAGAGATGAAGTGAGTACATATATATATATATATATATATATATGTTTATTTTCCAATTAATATTTTTTATTGAAGGTACGTTAATTTGAATATTTTTAATTTTTTTGTTGCTAAAGGCATTTTATATTTACATATTATTATATGAATTCCTTTTTTACCCCTTTTGATGTATTTAAAAAAATGATATATTAATTATTTTTATAATTTTGAAAGTTATAAATTTTTTTGATAAAGCAAAACTTTATTAGCATTAAAATTTGATAACTGTTATATTAATTAGCTATATTTTTATGTTTTGTATAAAAAAGATAATTTTAAAGGGTTGAAAAATCTATTGGGTACATATAAAAATTTTAAGATGACCAATTAAATAATTAAATAATTAAACCATTAATTAATTTAATTAAGATGACCAATTTAATTAGTAAATATATTATTTCTTATTTATTAACGTAATTATAAAACTTATGAAACTTATATAAATTACATTATTATATTATTATAATAATTAAAAAGTTAAACTAAGATAAGAATAAAAGATTAATATAAAATGCTACTTTAACAATTTTCTCAATTTATCTAAGAAGTTAAGAAATATAATATTCTCTTAATTACAATAATTTTTATTTTTTATGTATTTAGTTAAATTCTTAATAATTTATTATCATGTCAAAATATAATATCAATGTAATGTATTTTTGTATATTATATTATTTTATTAATTAATATATGATTGTTTTACAGCATACTATAAAACATTCAGCAATATTTAAATTCAAATATCTATTAGAGTTCTTTTTATAAATATAATAATAATAATAGCCGAATTTTGTACAGGAATTACGTTTATGCTAATCTGTATCAATTGTATATAAAACATCTACGTGATATTGTAAAACTTTATAAACTAATTACATAAGCAGTATAAAATTAGTTCCTATGATATGAAATATGATAAAGAAATATAATTCAATAAAATAAAGAAAATTTATAAAAACTATTAAATTAATAAAAAGCATTCACTTGCATATATGTATTTTTATTTATACGAATCTATAATTAGAAATTTATAATTAGAATTTATAATTGAAAGATATGATATTCATATTCTTTATAGCTGAAAAAAATACCAAAGAGTATCTAAAAATTATAACAAAATTAAAGAAAATTATTACAAATGTTATATGCTAAACTTGTTATCGAATTAAAGTAATATATGAAAGTGTAAATAAAAATTTTATTGGTTACACTTGGCCTCATGTGGAGAACCGTAAGTAACAAAGTTGATGCCCACTAAGATGTTTATTGTGGAATAGTTTTTTTGTATTAAAATTAAGTACAGTGAAAAAGAAAAATCCAAAATAATAAAGCAAAGTAACGACAACGATTGAAATTTTGACATACATTTATACAAAGAAAGATATAGAATGAAATACTAAAAAAGTAGTCTAAAATAGAAAATTTAGAAATTAGAAATAACCTTAAAAAATAATCCAAAGATGAATTTCAATAAGAATAAATAAAATTTCATACACAATCAAATTTATTGAAATATAAATAAATAGAATACAGGTACAAAACAAAACTTTGGACTTATATTAAATAGATTTTAAACCTCTGAAAATATTAACAAATGTTATTAATATTAAAGTAATGAATAAATCATGTATAATTACACGGATATAGATACATAATATATAGATTTTTAAATAGATACAAGGGTGAGTGAGTTCTCTATGATGAATTTTAACTGTTTCTAATTTATTCATTATTCCTTTTCAACAATAACATTACGAGTTAAATGCAAAGGTTATAATTGAAATTAAGTAAATAATTTATATTTTATTTACATTTTATTCAGAGTATTAAATACTCTCTGCAAGTAGATCAAATATTTCTTAATACTATTTGATGTTGTTTATTTTTAAGACATTTATCATATAATATTAAGTAAAGCCATCTACTACCTTTTCCAATCCTACCTTTCCATATCCTACTAACTTTTCCAATGTATGAATAATCACCCAAAAGACGAGGCCCTTTAACTAATAAAAAACATTTTATTTAAAAAATTTATATCAAAATGAAGGTTATTGTTAATGAATTGTTTTTATGTATAAAAATTCGGTATTATATTCAATTATCAATTGTTACATCTCTAAGTGTTAAAAAAAAATTCTAAAGCTTAAAATATTTTAATTTTTATAAATCAATATTTTTATTACGGGATATTATAAGGAAATATTAAATTATTTCATAAACTAACCGTTTTCTGTAAGAACAAAATACAAATAGAAATTAAATTTTAGTAATACATATAAGTATATGTATATTATTCTGCATTTATTTTAATGTAAACATTATTACATTTTATGGCATTTTCAAAATATGTATTCTATATTATCTACTATAAAAATAAATTTTTAATAATTCTAATGACTTACATTTATAATGTACAATATAAAAATGTATATAAAAGTAACTTAAATCTATTAGATGATAGTTTTCTTCAAAAACAGGTAATTTAATATTCTATAATTATTTTTTAATAATTCTGTAAAATAATAACGTAATAACTTTGAATCGACCCTGTAATAAAAATATCAACGTTATACTGTGAAAATGATATAAACTCACAACAGATTTTTCGGTCATTATGTGTCTGTTCACAAAGGTTTTAAAGCAGGGAAATATATAAGAAGTCGGTGAATAACTATTCTATTTGCGTATAAGTGAGACGATAATTGTAATCACTTTTTTCACTGTTATCAGTCTCTTACATGTATACATAAAAAAAGCGATTAAAATGATTACTATTACGATTGCACGAGTATTATTAATTTATAATTAAATATATATCGTGATATATGTAATTTTATACAATGGGAATATACTACTGTTATACTTTTAAACAATATTGTATTAATAATGTATAAAATGTAAAAAAACTAATTTATAATGAAATATACAAATTAGCGTAACTAAAAAATAAATGAGTTTACTATATGCACTCGTGCAAGCGTAGAATTTGATTTTTTGCCTAATTATTTTGTCTAACTGCTTTTACTGTATAAGTGCGAGGATACAATAAATTAATATTTTAATAGATTATATAAATTGTGCGCCTTTTCTGTATATAGAATCAATTTTATTGTACATTATATATAAAGTATAAAGCCTTGAAAAATAAACTGTTATAATTAAAATGCATTATTGTTCTTTTTGTACCTATTTTCTAGATTTTTAAATGTAAATTTTTATTTACTTAAGAAAAAGTTCATATAATGCAACATTGTTGATTCTTCATATCTTTAATTTACAATTAATGTAATTAATTTTTAAAATAAACAATTTAAAACAATTCTATGTAAATTATTCATCTGTATAGATCTTTTTTATTAAATATGGTAAGAATAAGTCTACAAAAAAGAATATGTATTAGAAGTTATCTTGAACTTGGAAAGAATTTTAATTGAATTAGTAAAAATACACTATATGCCAATGTTAATAAGTAGATAGCATATATACGTTTATGAAGGCACATCGTATAAAAATTTATTTTACTATAAATACCTTACCATTCCGAAACATAGGGTATACTATAGAATTAAATACTCAAATACTATAAAGATTAAAAAAGAATCAAATACTAAAGATAAAGTGTTAAGCAGCATTTTACGCGGTAAACAAAGTGGGAGAAGTAAAGACACCTGCTTAGGTCAAAATATTGCGCACCAAGTCGTAAACACGATTCTACGAAATCGGGAAATTTCAATATTCAAATAGTCGAAATTAAATTACAATTCCGACTAACAAGGGCCGACGAACTCTCCAAGGCTAGATTCTAGTGACGTCACTCTAACTATCAGCATGATAAGAGTAATCTAGAATTCACTGGAATCGCAAGTCTGTACTATAATATTTAAGGAGACGCGCTTGACGCTCTCGTCCTCTTACTAGTTCAATCAAGCAGTCATCAAGATCGGATTGTCGTCCCACAAGTCAACTCCACTTACACACAAATCGTCTCCAATTCATTCGTAAGCAAGCACATTCGGCTTACTACTACTACACGGATCGACCTCAATACACGTAAGTCATGTTATTACACATGTTCTTACGTACCATCAATGCACTGAGATCGACTCCACACGTAAGCTACGCTATTACACACGTTCTTATGAATTACTAATTACGGCTCCATCAATTAAGTAAGCAGCAATACGAATAAGTGGTATACGGTACGAGAAATATTCCCACCCGTCAAGCAGTGACGTGACACGGATATCCTCCCTCCACTAAATCGCTACAGCGTGCAAGTCGCTAGACAACGGCATCATTGCCCCTCATCAGTGACGTCACACAAGCGCCCTTACACAGGCCTCTACAGCTCCTGTCGGTAGTGGTAACGGCGGCACCATCGCTGCCCCTTATCAGCGCGTATCTCCCACTACCACTACGAGTCATAACTACGAGTAGGAGAATCACGCGCCACATGAAGAATACCCTTACAAGATTCTTGTCGCTCATATTAATTGAAGAAACTCTCATCTATTCATTGTATCATACATTCAATCCTACCTCAATAGACCACTGATTATATATTATATGATTATATACAATAAAGGAAAACCACCACATACAAAGGCAGTGTTGAATTATTGCATTGTCCATTCCACTTGCCAGCAAGCCTCCCTACAACATCTCAGGGAAGCTTTTAGTCTGATCCCAGACATAAAGATATGGCTTCATTATTTAGAATATAATATATTTATTAGTTTTCATTAATATTATATTAATGAAAATAAATTAATAAAACGTTCATTCATATAATATATAAATATATTTTATCAACATTCAGTAATGCATTTGTTTATAGCTATTTTATTACTGCTATTCTATTACTATTTTATTACTATTTTATAACAAGCTATTTTATTTACTTTTTATGCAATAAATATTTAAAAGATTTGACTGAATTGATGATTTCTCAATTATATTCACATTGGATTTTGTATAATATTTTGATTACAATTCTAAAATTTATTTTGGATAGTATTTTCCATGCATTTCTAAAATTAATTTTCCCAGAATTTATTATATTTGACTTAATTCTGTATTGACAAACATTTCTACACATTTTTTATAGAAAAGGTATACTTGAAAAGTTTATTAATTTTGATAAAAAATTATTAATATTTTATTTTATAATAAAGTAAGTAAAAATGATTATAGAAATATAAAAATAATTATTAAAAACCTACTGAAACCTAGCACATTATAAAATTAAACTATTAATTAACATTTTAACAATGGTTTTAACATCATATAAATATAAAATGAATATAATAATAAATTAAAATACATATCAAGTATAACAGTATTCTTCAATTATATAATGTTTCATTATTTAGTGAATTATATAATTAATAATATTATCAATAAGTTTATATAAAGTATGTTAAATAGTGAACGATTACAATTGTTAGTATAATTAATTATAACACATCTTTTCCTTCAAGCTCTTCAATCATTGTCTTGATATATTAATATTCACAAAAAAAATAAAAAACCAAGAAAAGAAGTTTATCCAAGACATAAAAATTGACAACTGAAGAGCCACAGCTGTATTGATTTGGTCACCACGGCGCCAGTTATTGGCATCTGGCTGAATGTAATCCATAAAATCCAGAATAGCACTGCATGCCAATCTATTGTGAATTGCCTGTAAGGTTATTCGATTTATGATTTATTACTTTAGTCATCGATAAAAAATTAATTAAATATATTAATAAGATTAACGAGCTTTAATCCTTAGTGAAATTATTGTTATCAAATTAGTTCATTACCAAAATAACACAATTTTATTAAATGTATATAAATACACAAAAATATGAATTTTGATTAATTCTCATTATATAATAAAATATACATCACCCTCTTTATATTTAATGATTTTTTTAATGTGTGTTACGGATTACACAGTTTTAAGCGGAATACAAAGTGGAAGAGGTATGAACGCGCGAAGCAGTGTTTGGTAAACATTGGCCAACGGACAAAAAGAATGCTTCTAGCCGAAAAACTCTAATATACGACTATAATTCCGAGAAGTAATAACAAATGAAACCGACAAAGCTATGCCCTATTGCCGTCATGACAAATACGGCATAGTAACAGCCACCGATGCGCTATCGGCGCAGCCAGTTTGTACAAGAATATGTAAGGAGCTGCACGTGTCGCGATTACTCCTTGCTAGTACTAATCATGCACTCTTCACAGCGGGATCGCTATCCAACCTTGCCATCGCCATTGGGAGGCCATGGCAAGCATCAAGCAACCTAAGGAACTAATAGCGATGCCACAACTGTACTGGCACCCACGCCTCCGTAAGCAACGCAGACGTTCGTTCTTACCATCTCATCACGCGGTTTCTGCCACCACGGGCAAGTAACGCCGACGTTCGTTCTTACCTTTACGTCATCATCGCGGGTACGCTCGCATCGAACACACGAACGTGCACCAATTCACCACTACCTTTGAGCTCACGGACACAAGTTGTGGCGTCACACGGACGTTCTCCCACCACTTCGTACACTATAGCTCACTCCTCGCCGGCTGCCAAGACGGCACAAACTCGTTGCCCCTACCAACACGAGTCTCCCACTACAACTACTCAATTCAAAGGGAGAAGGGGAATCACGCTCCAGCTATCAAGAATCCACGACAGACTTATCGCCACCAAATTAATGAAAAAACACTCATCTATTCACTCTATCACACATTCATTATGACATTCATTGATTATTAACTATTTATTATTTATTATATTTAATAAAAGCAAAGACTATAAACATTAAAGGCAGTATTGAATAATTGCATTGCTCCTTCCACTTGCCAGCAAGCCTCCACCCACATTCATAAGGAGGTTTTTTAGTCTGATCCCAGACAATGTGAAAATTGAATCTAACATATTTATGTATATGTACTTATAATTTACAATATTTTGGATGACAAAATTATGAAAAGGGTGTGAATGGTTATTCAAACTTATTCTAATTGTACATATAACTTATGAAATGTTTACCGATAAAGAAGAACAGATTAAAGATAAGCATTTCGGAATAAATGTTAATAAGCTTTATAGGGAGTGCTCTTTTAGAAACATTTAGAGATATCTAGTATCACATCAAGTTTTATTAATCGTGAAGAGTGTAACATGCTTCCGCGCTTCTTTTGTATTTCCTATTTCAACACTTATTCCGCACAATTGAGATTCCTTTGATGGTCGCCAAATTCTCGAAATCCAGTTCTAGGGACTTAAATGCATTATCAATCTATCAACTATATCTATGCATATATGCACACTATAAAACCTATCATTGTTTTTCAACGTTTTAATAAAATAAATAATTGCATGAAAAACGCTATATACCTTAATTTAATAATCTAAAATACTATGAATAAAAATATTTATCTAAATTAAATAAATAAAATTTTTCTTGAATTTTCTTCCTCAATGTTCAAAAAAAATTAAATTAATATCTGATGCAATAACCGTAAAGTAAATTTTAAGAAATCGAAAACTAAAAAATATTACTGTATTTTTATTGGCAATTGGAAAGGGATATATATACGTGGATAACTTGGAATGAGCACGTAAAAGGTAACCTGTAGTTCTTGTCCCCTGGATCCTAGCAGCCGAACCAAATTCCTACGGTATTGGTTGCAAGTTTTGTAGTAGCCATCAGTGAGTACAACAGCGTGTGCGAGAGAAAGACAACAAATAAGAACGTTTACGAACGCAACAATCATCCAGTGCTTGCAAGGCCCTCTTGGCGTCGGACCATCTACCATAATTCGTCCCTCCAAACTGTTTCTAAAAATTACCATCAATAGAGTTCATTACATTGAAATTCTTTAATTGTTTCTTTTACGTTTCTCTCCCTCCCTCTCTCTCTCTCTATCTCCCTCTCTCTCTCTCTCTATCTATCTATTACGTTTGCTTTTTTTATCATAATTTTTGCATTGTTCCATTTATTTGTTTAGTCAATTAATATAAAAAAAAACTAACGAATTTTCAATAGTATTCTTGTATATCTATCGTAATTTATGACACAATTTACAAAATTAATTTCAGAAATTTATACTTTTAATTAAGCAAAATGTTATCAAGAATTATTTGTAGGAAATACTTGAATGAAAAATTTAGTTTATGATTAATTTCATCGATGAAAATCTTCCTAATATCTTTATAAAAAAGCAATTATATACATTTAGTAGAACCTAATTTCCTAATTTATAAAAACATTTCTTTTACTCTACATTTATAGTTTTTACTTTATATGAAAGAAAACATGACATTGAATTTTTTAAATAATAAAGAAATTAATTTTAATTTAAATAATATCAATAAAATACAGTAAGAAAACATATCCATTTCTACTATTATTTATTATAAACATCATTGTATTAGTTATATTTATTATCTATTGTATCCAATAATATTACTTTAACATTGTTAAAATTATTCGTTTTTATTATGACATCTCATATCACGTATAAATAGTTTTAAAATAATAATAGTCATAATGTGGATAAAAGAATATTACCTAGTTTGATAATTTTTTATGGATGGTAAGGATCTTCGCTCCTCAAAATTCCGACTTATATAGCTATGATAACCATGATAAATAGCAAGACAGAGGCCGATTAGTATTATCGGAATCAGTCCAAAAGCACCAAAGTGGCAGAGATTCACGCCACCCCCCATAAAGGTACTGAAGGTGTTGATTCCATAGAGGATGCAGCTACAGTTAATATTAATGCAAACATCGAGAGTCCAAGCCCAATATTGCCAAGTGATCACCAAAGATATTACAGAGATTAAAGATGACATAACTGATAAACAATATAAAATTCCCAAGATCTTCTCTGCTTGCACTTTTTCCATTTTTCTTCTCTTTCTTTCATTTAGTTTTTAGAGCTGCTAAGATATGTAATTTATGATTTATAAATTATTTTTAATTAATAAAAAGATAAACATACTGCACGTCAAAATTATCAATTAACACAGGTAAATCTATTGTGCAAAAACGGTATACGTAAATGACTAAATAAAATTGTGAACCAAATCTCCTACGTGAAATTTTATTATATCAGTAGATAATCTCTTGGTAAATAAAGATATTTATTAGAAAATAGGTTCTATTGTACTATAGAAACTAAGAAATACTCTGCGACCACCGCGGTAAAGATGCAGAAGTGGATGATCTGTAAGTAAACTGTACTTAAAAATGATAAAAAATATGTTTTAAAATCATAGTGTCATGTACGTCTCTACATTTTGTGAAAACTCAATGATGGTTTGTCACATTTATCGTATGCGAACATAAGATAAGCAGTATTATCGTGTTATCAAGAAATGTGTTAACATATGAGTAACAGGTGCATTTAAAACGTTGGTTTGTCGCACAATTGATTTTCACATTTAAAAGACCAAGTTAAAACTATAAGTTTTTTATTCAATATATTTTTGGATTGTAATTTAATTAAATCATAAAATTGAAATTAATATTTCTTGAGGAATTTATTCTATATTTAAAATTTGAAATTTTCTTAGACTTTCTATGGAAAGATATTGCAAACTTAATTAACTCTTTGTCTATTTTTAAATCTTTTAGTATTCTAATTTATATTTTATAATATTTAATTTCAACTATAACAGTTAAATTATTTAATATTATTTTAATATTCATTATACACTTGAATGTAAAATTAATCATATTTTTCAGAAATAGAATGCTTTTATTCATTGAGTTGCTATTTCATGTTCTTTTATTAATATATCGTAAATTATAGAAATATCTTTGATTATTAATAATCTCTGTATTAGATTATTATTTCTATTTACAACATAAATCCTATGATAATTGAGAAACTCTAAAACATATATTATTATATATAATATAAAAAACTGTATCCTTTAAATAAATTGGTTTTTAAATCCTGTTGTTAATTGTAAAATATGTAGTTAAATGAAGAATATAATTGGTTAATTATTCGAATTTCATTAACTTATGTGTGCGGTAAGATAATAATAACAGTTTACAGATAAGTATAACTATATAAGTGTTAACAATAACTTTTCTGCGTATTTATAATAAAGCACTTAATAATATATGTTTATTTAATATAAAAATGTATTATATAAACATTCATAATAATGCATAAATTCTTTATTACGTAATTATTAATTTTAACACTTGCTTTTTCATATTACATTTAAAAAATTCATTTTTTTGATATGAACTTGATATAATTTTACATTAACAAAAATCAACGAATAATTTTGGTCTATAATTTGAATTGTATATGTAATATATTTTTATAGTATTATTAAAAAATTATTCGCTCTAGCATTGGTTTTAACACTCTTATCCCAAGTTCTAATATATCCATACAAACATATATTGTCAGAAAATACTTTTTACTTTAAAATGAAAAGGAAACTATAACTATTATCTGATTCATTTTATTGTCGCCTATGGCTTTTCAAATCTTCAATTCATGCAATCGTATATACACTTTCATGATTTTTCTGGACTTTCAATTTACGTACTCAAATTATTTGTTCTCTTATATGAAAATTAAATTTTTCAAAACTTTTGTTATTAAACCACGTTTCCAATAATACAGGAAATCTAATTATCTCCTTGATGAATGTCAACGACTACGGTTAATAATACAGGTAGAAAAACAAGTTTGAACAACAATTTAACTACATTTGTAATCCTTAAAGTAAATAGAAGAAAGGAGTTCAAAATGTGGAAAATCCTACTTTTTAGTGACACTTAATAAATTCGATATTAAATCTCATTAACGTATATAAAGATAAATATAATATTTTTATAATTTCTTACTTGATTAAATATTGATTATCTGAACAATATTGATTATCTTAATTGAAAAAACTTATCTCAAATTTTTTATTTTAAATTCCTGTATAAATTAAAATCTGTATTAAGAAATAAAATGGAACCATAATAATAATTTTTTTAGAAATTTATTTTGGATTTTAAAGTTAACTGTAACTAAAGAATAAATGTTTTTCAATTACTATAATATATCTGAATTACTCAAAAAACAAATTTTTACTGTATATTGGAAGAAAAAGGACATGGACTATTTTTTCATTAAAAACATGAAATAATATGACGTTGGCACGATTATAGCAGCGACTGAAAAATGTAGTCCTTTTGTTTAACTCTGCTTCTTTAAAAATTCTGTGATACGCATCTGAAGAAAATCACACGTCGCTATTACTGTACATGCGCATTTCAATTCATTCCACATACTAAATATTCAAGAGCCTAATAATCGTGTAATTTATGTTTATATTCCATAAAGGATTCATATTCTAATTGTATTCTATTTTATAAATACTTGTATCGAATCAAACATAACAATACAGATCTAATAATAATAAAAACAAATGATATTAAAGTGACCATAGTTTTAGATATATATTTTTGTTTAATAAATGAAGAAATATTTTCGAGTTAAATTTTAATACAAACAATTTCGATATTAATTACTAAAACTTTGAGATTAATGAAAGTTAAATGTTTAAAATTCTAGATAAAATAGTAAAATAACTTGAAAAATAAAACAAGTTATTTGATTAATAATATATTCATATCTTAATAAATAGCATCTAATATATTATTTAGTTTTTAATATACTAAAATTAATATTAAATTTAAGCAGTCTATTATTTGAATAGTAAAAATAAGTTTTAAGCAATTTGAAGCATTTATTAACTTTTTAAAATAAATTAATATTAATGATTGAAAATTGTGATATATAAATTCTAAAATATTTACCATACAATGAATTCAAGTAAAGAAATTTTTTTAAATTGTCCTAGTCAACTACTATTATGAAGTATTTCTTTAAAATATACAAATGTGAAAATAATTTAAAGATAACATTATAATATCTTCAAATTTTGCTTCAAAATTTTCCTGAATTATATATGCTTGATTATAATTTTAGAATAATAAATCTATTTGCGTAATAAATAAATTTCAATGCACTAGCATAAGCAATGTTTTCTATGGCTTACAATATAATTTATGGTCTTATACGTATTTAAAATGCATGTTTTTAAATGAATCATTTATCATATCAACGAGAAAATAAGAAACATGTACTTACTCAAGTCAAAGTTACGACAAAAAATATCATGTGAGTGCTAAGTCATTAACATCGTTTCTTTTTCAAATAAACGCAACAGTCTATTATTGTAAGCTATTTTAACTTTATGTAATAATATGTTTATGTTTCTTATATTATAATATAGTGATACAAGACCATTTAAAAGCCGATTAAACGATAAATTTGAATATTCATAGAAATTTATCCAATACCTTCGGAATATAAAAACTTAAAGCGTACTGAAATAATTTACTTACTTAAGCAAATTCCAATACATTTTTTATCAAAATATATATACAAAATTGTTTTTTTGTTAATTTAGATATATACGCTTAAATTTTATTAGAGCTTTGGAATATGTAGTTAAATAGATTAAAATATTTGAATACAAATTAACCTGACTACAAAACTTTTCGGAAGGCCAGAGGTGAGAAAGTTGCGACGGGGACGAGAAGTTGTGCACCGAAGTCGCAGGATTTTCAGACAAACGCAGCCACTGCAATGCTTTACTTCCCATGCTTAATAACATGCCCAATATTGATAAGATTATCAGGAAGATTTCTGATCTCTACTGCTGAGCTTATCTACTATATTCTATTGGTTCATCTTAATTCATCAAATTGCTTTAGAACTAGTCTCATCTCAACTATTTTATTAATATATTATTATATCGATAAGTATTATATCGCTAACTGCATAAAAATACTGTTCCTTAAGTTTTATTTATTGAAAAATTTTTTGTTGATTCTAAATATTGGCAAACCATAAAAAAGTAAATCTAATAATCGTTGTTCAAGATTGCTTAAAATACTAGTACCATAAATAAAAATTAAATCTGATGCAATAAAATTATGAAATAATATAAATTAATAAAATAAAATTTTTGAAAATCCATTATAAACTATTTAGCAATAGAATTATTAGCATTAATTAAATAAATAATCAAAAAATACTATTATAATCATTTCATAATTCATAACGTAAAATCAATATTAAGACAAAATCAAACTGAAAATATATTAGAAATCTGAAGTTAGTCATAAAGTTTCTATTAATTATTGATGAGAAGCGTGTTCTTTACATTATTGAATATGCCGAAGACTATTTAATAAAGTAAAATAAAATCATGTTAAACATTCATTCAAATATAGAAAACGTAGAAAACAAAATACTAGTTAAAATATGTTATGAATATAAAAGAATAAAAAGTAGCTATTAATTAATCGAATAATAAACAGATTGGCAGTCAACAAAAAAATACTATTAAAAGCAATACATACCAAACTTTATTGAATCAATTTCAATCTATCAGCAATATACATTTATACATTACGTATTAAAAATCAATGCAACTATAGGGCTTTTATCCAGCTTTATATAAATAATATAAAATTGAATTTTAGTTGAAAAAATAATGGATTGTTGCAAAATGGCAAACATAATTTCTGTGATCTATATATAATATCGATAATTCATACTCAATTTGAATATTTAATACAGATATTCAAATATATTAATTTAAAAAAGCTATCTTTACTTTAATTTGTTTAAGATCAATTAATTTGTAACTTTTAAATAGTTATGAATCGACATGACCTTTGATTTAATATTCTAGAATTAATAACTCCAAATTAAACTAATAACAATTTTAAGTTTACAAGAAATTGAACGATTAGTATTTAAAACTAATAAAACGTAATTATAAAGTTCAATATAGAAATAATATTTCACGTATCGCTTTACAGATAAATATTTAAATAAAATAAAAATAAAATCTCTTCATTTATAATATTATTTATAAACAAATTATCAATATTTTATCAAAAAAAGTTAAAATTTACTAGTTTACATTTTGTTTATTTACAATTTTATACAATTATTACAATTTTATTAATATTATTAATTACAAGTTTATTTTAAATCCAAGCCAACTCTCATATACTTTAAAATATTAACTTTAAAAAATTTAAACTCGATATTAATAAAATAATATTTTGCAGCAACTATTCAGTATATATGCAATTCATCAAGTTCTGATGAATTATTAAAGATCATAGTATCTTGAAAAAATAACATTAAAGATATTAAATGACTCGTCCTGATCATAATAATATTTAAAAACTCAACAAAAAATATAATTATTTATGAACTAAACTTATATCTTGTAAAATTGTAATATATTATTATATATTACAAAATCAAAGAAATTAAATTTTATACTAAAATGATTATTTTATAACATATATACATTGAACCTTAGCGCAGTATGTTCCACAAAATTAATTTTAAATTAAAAACTTTGGATTTAGTAATATAACTGATCAAACTAACAAATTTATAAATTATTAATTTTTATTATTCTAGAATTTAGATATCATAAACATTATTTTCAAGTAAAAAACGTAATTAAATAATTTTTATATAACTCAAAAAATTTTTTAAATACATTCGTATAGTTTTAAATGCTTTCCTATTTTTAATTAATTTATACATTTTTTACAAAACTTCATATTTACATTTTATAGAAGTTGTTATAAAATCTTTTTTATAAACTTTCTTCATAAAATAAGTTGTACATATGCATATTACGCTATTCGTGACATATAAATTCTAAAAGTATTTATCACATCTAAAATGAATATTTTTAATTTTTTTAATTAAAACCTATCTTTTAAAAGTATATTCAACATATTCAAAAATTACAAAACAAACTCAAATATATTTTTTATCAAATAAATAAAAAATTAAATATTTAGAAATTATATCAATGAAATCGTTGATTTATATATTTCAGTTACCCGTTTTTTTTTATTTTATATTCATTCAAATGATGCCATATTATATCTTCCTTGCCAATTATCGATGACATTTTATAATACGCATTTTCAAAATCTCGCATATCATTAATTTTCAGCTTAATATTATTTTTTTTTACTTTACTGATTTGACAATAGAATGTGTTATTAAAAATGTATAGATCCACCCATTTGTTCTATTTTTAAGAATTTACATTTATCAAATACTAGAATAACGATTGTAATATTAATTTACAAAATTCTTAGAAAATATTTTTCGATTGATTAAAAATAATTGGAACTCTATTTAAAAATACTTAAGTAATACTAATAAGACAAAAATGAAATTGAATTAAAAAATCTTTAATATTTTAACTAAACATGTTATATTTTATAATGAAATATATTTGTTATTTACTTTTAATTTAGTTTTGAATATTTAAAAAAGTATTTAATATATTTTAAGAACGATTATCATCATATTTTGTAAATCTGACTAACTCCCACGTAGTAATTTACAAAGTTTTTAATATTTTATAAATGCATTTCTTATTAGATCTAAAGCAGTAAGTTGTATTAAAATATGTTTTTAATTAATTATGCGAATTTAAGATTCAAATTATTAAATATCATTAGTGTATGTATGGAAGTAATACATCAAAATTAACACCAAGAATCATTTATTTATTCATTTTCAAGCATAAGTTATTTTACTAATTAAAAGGCAGTACTCAATTATACAAAATTCATACTTTTTAAATAACTTCCTATGATATTTAAGAAAGCCCAATTATAAATCTGTTTGAAATATAAATTTATTATACATATTGTGTTATATTATACATATTGTGATTAATATCTGATTAATATGAATATTAATTTTGATGCATTTTATTTTTTTTCGTTTTGGAGAATTGTTTAGATTCACATTAATTCATTTAATAAATTTATTAAAGATATACATGATATGTAAAATAATGATATCAAATTAAAAATAATTTAACGATTCGTTTCTTTCCCATAATTATTTACAATATATTCGTTTTTTCGTTTATCAGTCATCTACAATCATTTTTATTAAATAACTAATCTCTGTACTAAAGCAACTTCGCAGGCGACATCTAATTGTCAATTTCAGTAACTATAAAATGTGAAGGGATACATCGATGCTAGTAATTAGATGTAGTTGTTGAATTGTTAGATAGATCTGTAATTTAAAGAATGAAATTGTTTAATGATATGGATTTAATTTATAAAAAATTAAAATTTTTTTGAGTATTTAATTTTAATTTGTAAATTACTTTTAGATAGTTATAAAATATAACAAATTATAATTTAATAGTTTTTTAATCTTTCTTGTATGACTATTATTATTTAATTGGAAATTTTTCTGTCATTGAATTAGAGCCAAACTTTTTATAATGAATATCACTAAACCGTTTTTTACTTGAGAATAAAAAGAAAAGAAACTGTCTAGAATGCAAAGTACATTACTTACATAAATAGTTTAATTTTCATTTCATAACATCAATAAAACTTTCAACAAAAAGAACTTACAAGCGTGAATTTAAAATTAAACACCAGTTAATTTTCATTTATTAACTCATTTCTATTTGTAATTATTAATAAAAAAATGAAAGAAAATATTTTATATAAGTAGTTCATTTTTCTTAAATTATTTATTTGTATATCAATTTTTATATTTTATTTTATTACGGAATTTGTATTTTACTGAATAAATTATTTCTCAATTAAAATTGTTTACAACTGCTCATACTCCAAATTTATATTTTAAAAGTAATTTTGTTCTTTTAATACCAAATATTTATCAAATTAGTATCAGCTTCATATCATTATATAAAATATTAACGACTGTAAACTTTTATATGAGACTTCTTAATATTAATTTGGCATTTATTTTTATATATATTATAAAGAAAGTATATATAATTTTATTATTAATGTAAACAATTTTGGTTTTCTGTATAGAGTAAAAACAATTGTAATAAATAGGATTGGCTAAGGAAGACTGCCACACACTATCAGCCTTATGCTGGATTCATGCCATGATGCCTAATTTCAGAAAATGTATTCCTACTATTCCACAAGCAAACCAGAGCTGCAATTCCAAAACCAATACCGCCTCCAACTGCGCATTTCTTTAGACCAGCTAAAAAATTATAATCAACTGTAAAAATTTATATATATTGCTAAATGTAGATTTGTTCTACAAATTTAAATTGTAAAATTTTTAAGTTTTGATATATGATTTTATTTTAAGAAAATATTATTACCTGTAGATTTAAAAAGCATGCCTGTTGCAGTGGCAGCAACCAAAGTATTTAAGGAATCATCAGTCCCTCTAGCATAAGAAAATAGTACACCAAATCCACTATACATTACAGACACAACGCCAAATGTATTTGCTATTGATGAACCATGTTTCATTACATGATTAATTAGTCTGAAAATAGAAATAAATCAAAAGTAAAGAAAATTCGTGAATACAAAAAATAAATTAATAATTTCTTTGTTACATGTAAAGTATTTATAAATTCAACAAATCATATTTCATATATATTAATCTTCAAAAATATTTAAAGTTGATTAATTTTCTTTTACATTTTAATTTTAAAAAATTATACTCTCTTTAGATGCAGTTTCTATCCACTTATTATATCAATTTTTAGAATACATATCGACTACATCCTTCTAATAATATTTGTACTGTCAAACTTTTATAAAGTAATTGTGTAATCTAAAATATTTTTTATGGAATTAATAATTTGTCAATTTAACTCATTGAATAATTAAGAAACATTGACTTAAATATAAATTATTATTTAATTACATGTAATAAAGATTTGTAAAATAATGATCTTAACGATAACCTAAACTTATTAACTAAATGAAATAAAAAAATATTTTTTTTCATAATATATATATATATATATTTATGTTTATTATTAACCAAATTCTAATTAACTTATCTATAAATTACGATTAATTTTTTCATTAACACAATTTTTACCTATTATTTTAATATTTTAATATCTTGGTATTTATTTTTAGCAAAATATGGTTAAAATTCAAAATAATAATTTAAAGTCTTTAATAAGCATACTGTGTTCTACGTAATTTTCCAGTTTGCCCTGCTATTGTTGTTACTTTCAATCCTTTATAAAATCCTGTGATGCCTCCAATTCCACCTCCAATTATACATGCTGCCCCAATTTGACTGAAAGCTAATTCAAATCTACCCCTTTGTTTTACAGCTCCTTCTGGGAATATAAATTCTGGTTGACTAGGAGGGAAATACACTGGATCATAATTTAAATATGGACTCAATGAAGATATACTGGGTTGATTTATAACTGTAAATATAGTATTATATTATAAACAAACATCATTACTGTAATTAATTTTTTTTAAATTTATAAAGATAAGAGAATGAATCAGTATACTTTTTATAACAGTGATTACTTTTTAATTATCGTACTATATTACTAATAAATTATATAGTATTATATATATCTATAATATATAATCTTAGCAAAAACATTTATATCTATCTGATATTGATCTAGGTTATAGGGAATTTATCAGTTTTCATTCTAATTTAATGCAATATTGTGGCATGTATGCATCCACACACAACACAAGCACATGTTATTTTTTATAATTAATAAATAAATATAATGGTATAAATTCCAGTATATATTATAAATATTAGTATACAAATGTTTTTGAATGTTTAAATGCATTTACGTTATACGATGAAACGTGACATCATAGTATTTCAAGTTTGATAGTATTCAAGTTTTTTAATATATCAAACCTAGATTAATCATTAATTTTTAAAGAATATTTTATAAAATATAATAGTTATATAAGTTGCAATACAATCATATTAAAATTTAAAAAATAAGAACACATTTTCATTATTTAGAGGTTATAAAAAATAATATTTTATTTTAGGATTTTAAAATTAAAAATTAAATTTTTATTTACCTGAACTGTTTTTATTGTGTATTCGAGGATTATCCGTATTTTCATTACGTAAATCTATCATTTTGAAAGAAATTAATTTATTATATACCGACTGATAATGTTAATCGAACGCAACTATGACAAAAAGTTTCAAGTACTCGATTAAAGTAAAGGTTAACCAACATGACGGAAAAAAACTTCTAAACATATTTATTTTTAGATTTTTCTTGAAGAAATGTATAAAATATAAATATCTAATTCAAATTATTATAAAATTCAAATCGTTTTATTTAAGAAAATCAAGTTTATAAATGCATTCTATTCAAACTATAATTTTATATTACTATATAGTAAAATAATACTTAATTATTATGAAATACATATACAAATATTTCTAATGTTTTAAAAAAGAAGTTTTTAGACACAATTATTATCAAATATTTGTTAATATTTTTAATTAATAGAATCATTGTTATAAAATGTATTATATTATATTTATTATATTATATTATATTATATTATTTAAGTAATATTTATATAAAATGTAAAATATTTTAATTAGCTTCAGTATTAAACAGTTTGTAATCCTTTAGCATCTCTCTTTTATCTTCAAAATAATTTCTATACCATGCAATGTGCTCAATTTTTTCATTAACACTCATATATGGATTCTTCGATAATCCTATACATACTAATTCCATAAAATGTCTTAGTGGGCCTTTCTCTGGACACCAATGTTTCAAATTATGTTCCAAAAAAATATGTTCAGAAAAGTGTATTTTTTCTTCTTCTTCCATATCTATAAAATAAAAATATTTGTAAAATATTTTAAATCATCTTTAATGCTTGCCTAGTACCTTGTTCATTGTTGATTGGAAATTTCCAAATCATTCCTTTTTCAGTCCATTCGATCATTTCTTGAAATATGTTTTGTGGAGTATTAATTACTAGCAATTTAAGCTCTCTGGATTGTAGTACTTTCCACATTGCTAAATCGACGTTTCTTGACTCTTTTATAGGTAAATCTTTTAAGAATTGAAAATATTCTTCAACACAAAAGTTTAAATTTATTTTTGAAAGATTACTAAAATAATATAATGTATTTATTGTCATAAATTTTTAATTATATTGTAACATAATTATAGAAAATAAAAATAAAATTTTATGTGAAACCTTTGATAAAATGAAACTCTATTTATTGATCTTGATATAGTTTTATTTTTATTAAAATATTTTGATTTTCTTTGCTTAATAACTTTCATATTTGTTAATATATCACTATAAAAACAATTGATAATAAATTATATAAATTCATAATTATTATAATATAAAATTAAAAATTATATAAGTAATAAGACACATATTTACCTAAGATTACTAGTTGCTTCCTGTGTCAAAAATGTTTCTTTATATTCATTATTACTTCTTTGGTTTTGAGTATCTATTTTATTTAATAATTCTGATTCTATTTTATTACTATTATCACCAATAACTGTTGCTATACTCTTTACTGCATCTTTTAATTGTTTATCTACAGAAGATTGTGAAATAAAACATAAGTAAATTTTAAAATATAATAATGTGTGTCACAAACCAAATGAATCATCAATATTGTTTTGTTCTGTCTTTGGATTTTTAAATTGAACTTTTTTTGTCATATATGTAATTTTAGATGCATTGCAATTAGTATTGCTCATTTTCTAAACAAATATAAAAACAATTAACATTTAAAATAAAATTATAATACCTATAATAAAAATCATTACATTTGAAAATAAATTTAATAATCTATTAAGATTTTCAGTTGTATTATTCAAATTTTCATTGTGGTTACTTTTTTTTGTTTCTATATGCATATTCCTTTTCACTTCACTATCAGAATCAGATTCTGAAGAATCTGAAAAATTTGTAGAATCTGACGAGGATGAAAAATCATTGAAATGAAATATTTTAACAGATTTGTACATCCATCTTGATAATTTTTTAAAATTATATATTCTTCTGAAATTAATAAAAACAACTTTTAACTAAATATACAAATTATTTATAAATAAAACTATAACTAAAATATTAATAAAATCATATGTTTGTCATAAATTATTAAAGTTTATTAAATATTTGTAGTTACCTATGATCACAATGTATTAACAGCATTTTATTTATTTGATATTCTATAACAAAGATTTTTATAACACGTAAAAGCTGTTTATTTAAGCATTTGCATTAATATTTAAAAAATAAAAATAGATTTCTAAATTATAAATTATAGAAATTAACGATTTGATCTAATTTATTTTAAGCCTTAATAATCCTTTTACATTATAACTTAATGATTTCAAAAACCCAATAAATTTATATATTTGAATCGCAATATCTAATATCTCTAATTATAATTGAGATATAAATTTAATCTAAAAAAAAATATATATATAATCCAATCAATTCGAAATAAAATATAGTAAATACATTTAAATAATGTTAGGTTATTAAATAATATTGCCCCATGATACTTAACCCTTGAAATTCTAACAGTTTCTATTCACCATTGCAGACATTACATAAAATGTATGCTTCATAATATAAGTAGATAGGAGATTAAATTTTTAATTTAATTTAGTAGATAAAAATTATTTAAATTAATAAATTAAATAGTTATATTTTACTTAATGATTTAATTAGATTTATTTAATTAAATAATTTTCCAGTTTTTATTTCATTTATATTTCATTAATTAATTTTCTGAAAATTTGTTGAATATTTTATATTTACAACACATTTTATATATTTACAATTACTTGAATAAAATAATAAAAACAGTAGATTTTTTGCACAGTCAAAAATATTTTGAACTTTTGTTAGTAAAAATTCATAACAAAACTAATTAATGATCAATATAATGCTTAAGACAATTTAAACTAAAAATTATATACTGTAAATATAAAAAAATATATATATAAATAAATTATTTAGAATTTTATTACTAAAAAACCAAATTATTAATTAATTAAGTACTAATTAATTAATGATATTAACATTTTACATGTTTTATTTACACTTTTGAAATGCAAGTCAATCATAGAATATCTGTAAAAATAAGAGCTCATTAAAGTTTTAAAAGGTAAAATTTGAGAATAATCATATAAAACCTTAAATTTACTAGATAATATTATAAACAAAAAAATAATAAAAAAATGAGTACGATACTGATTGGTAATTATTGAATTCGAACTCTAAATCGGATTGGTTATTGCATTGAAGAGCATAAATTAAAATTGAAAATTCCAGATATTTAAAATTTTGAAAAATCACTAATTGAATATAATACAAATTTATTGTAATTAAACTCATTAAGACTGATAATTATCACGAACTAAATCTCATGGTTTCATTAAATGTTATACATTACTATTAAAAGTTTATATAGTGAATAGTTATATATGAAGCATTTAAAATTAATATAACACTCAAATACGTATTAAAAATATTTTCCAAACATAAAACTTCACAACTGTCTGTCTTCATATTTTTATATTTATATATTGAGTATGTATAAAGCGCAAATATTTAAAATTATTAAGTCAGAAAATTGTTGAAATAATGAAATACTTAAAAATAGTTTTAAAAATATAAACTATAGAGATTATATACAAAACTTATATATGACATAAGTACTATTCACATACGTCAGCTGATTAATTTCTAACGTAATTATTTTTTTATAAAAGTGTATTTAATATTTAATAAGTTTTTTCCTTTAAAAACAATTAAATTACGTGGTATATAAAAAATGGGTTATAATTAATTACATGATTGTTTTGTAAAATAAAAAATATATTTATTACTTATGATCAATTTCTAGATAATTTAAAATAATAATTAATAATTGAAACTTCTAAATTATTTTATTATATAACAAAATGTCACCGGAACCAACACAAGAACCAATAGATAATGTAAATAATTCTAATATAAATGTTAATATTATTACTGGACTTGAACTTAATAACGATAATCAAGATGCTGCACTGGCTGGATATATGCCTCTTTCTGATAATCTAGTTGAAAGAGAAACGTTAGAAGAAGATGATAGTGAAGAAGTATATATTTCAAATTTAAATATAGAAATTTAATTGGAATAATTATTAGAATTTACTTTGATAACTAATTCTATAATATTCATCTAAAATTTATTTGACATATTTGTAACAATTGAATTTCATTAGGAATTTGAATGGGATTTAATATCTTCACAATCTCAACAAACCATGAATAATGAAGAAGAATCATTAATTAGATCAGAAACATTAGAAGTTTGGTCTTCTCAATCAAATACATCAAACATTGATTTAGATGCAGATAAAATTAATCAAGTCAAAACAGCAATGGCTTCCTTCATATTACCAAATACAGCAATACCACAATGGGCAAATTATATATCAGAGGATCAATGGAAAGAACAACTTATACTACGTATAAAGGAGATACAGAAAAAATAAACAGTAAAAGTAAATAGTTATTAACTATGAGATAATTTTGCTTTCTAATGTATTATAGTATGCCTCTCTATTATGACTTTACTATTAAAATATTGATAAATATATTATTATATAAATACATACATAATATTGAAAAATAACTTAAATTTTTATTAAAACCCAGGTAATTAATTTTTAAATTCCACATAAACCATAAGACAATTTCTTATGTAAATAAATATTTGAAATATAAACTTAAATACATAGTTTGATAGAAAAGTGTAAATTATGTATTCGAATTTAACTATTCAATTTTTAATTAATTATAATAAATCTTATTTTATTCAACATCAATAGGAAATAGGAAATACTAAAATCAATGTATGATACAATAAATATTGGATATTTCATATTCATAATTAAATTTTTTTATTCAATTTATAATGCTACAAGCACAATCACTTTATAATTTTTATAAATAGATGAAACATAGTTGAATGCAAAATATAATTATTAATTAAATACCTTATTACGTCAGTTGTATTTTTTTTAACTTCGTTTATTTATTAAACTAATTTTGATCATAAAATTTTATAGATTTGATGAAGCAAGGATAAAAAATTTAAAATATTTGTGATGTAATTTATTTATTATTGAATAGTCTTTTCTATAAATGTATAATTATTACTTATTTCTTATTTTTATATTAAACTTATATTTCACAATTAATAATATACTGCTTAAAAATAATTTAAATATTGATTTTGCTTTCAGGATGTCCAATAACATATTTGTACATATTTATCAAATCTAAAATATTGATATGAATATTTGCATTTATCATAACCATAATATTTTAACAATTTTATCTTCAAAAGATATTATGTTCTATAATTTAGAAACTTTATGAGAACCATATTTATTTTATAAATGCAAGATATAGTAATTGTTTAAACAGTTGTATTTATTAAAGAAATCTTAAAGATTAAATTCAGATTTAATTTCAGCAGCTTTTCTAGGATTCAATTTCATTCTAAGAGTTGCAATATTATCATCTATCCTTATCAGTTTCTTGAATTTCTAAAAACAAATATAAAATTTAAAAACTCAGAATATAGGATATATTAAAATATAATAAATTTAAAATATATAAATTGGAATTTTTTTATAACTAGTCATCTTTTAGTAACAAATATAATGTTTTTTATTGTAATTGGTAGTATTTCTTATTAAAAAAATATTTAAATAAATTAACTGATTCAGTATTAAATGAATTCAAGAAAAAATATTTATTTATTCTTATAATTCAAAGTTAATCTAGGAAAACACTTAAACTATGTTTTAATATTCAGAGTTCATAGCAAAATATGTACTATCTTTTATCGGTTGATTAATATAATTCCTTATATATATGTGAACTATCATTAGTAAAATTGTATTTAAATACTTTAATTAAATGAAAGTTTTATTTAATAATATATTATAACACAATAAAATTATAATTGTAAATAACAATTTTAAAAAATGGATTGTTTTGACAATGTATATTTTTAAGGATTCTGCAATATATGTATTTTTAATAATTGTAACGATAATGTAAGAAATTTAATGCATACAAGTATCTATATATTTTTACATTTAATTTTAATTATTCTTTATATTTTATTATTTTATATCTATAGCTCGATCAAAAGATACTATTAAAAGTAATATCTACCTCTGAAGTAGTTCCAGGCGTAATACACCAAATATAAATCATATAACCAGGTATACAAAGCATCGATGAAAGTCCACTAAGCCATCCTAATACATGGCTCCACCAAGGATATTCGTAATCAAGATATTTAACCGGAACAAATTTAATAATATTAAACGTGAATACACCCTTAAAAAGATTTTAAAAATTGAAAAATTCATTAATACTTAACGAGAAAAGTTGTACATAAAATAAACTTTTAGTTATTAAGTATTATACACAATACTAAAACTGAGTAAAATAGCAATAAATAATTTATTCTTATTATTTTTATATTATTTCATTACTTTATAAATAATTTTTTCTTTTTTCTCAATTCCTAAATATCAGCAAGATCTTGATATAGATGACTAATAATAAGACAAAATTTTCATTTGGTCAAAAAAAAAAATGTTACATTTGACGTACAATGCATATTGCTGGAGTTGTAACAGTCCAACAAATTTTCCACCAGAAACAAGGATAATAGCCAATCATATCTCGTATGCCATCATAAAAACGATTGACTCCAAAAGCCCACGATACAGAAATGCATTCGAAAAACATAAGAAAGAGTAAAACGAATCCACTCACGGAATATGAGTCAAGTAATTGGAAAACATACATGCCACCCTTAAAATCAGTAACATTGTTATTTTACAACATACAATAAATTAAAATATTTAATAAAAAAAATGTATAATATTACTTTTAATTAATATAATTCTTTATTTCTTCTGTTCTTATAATGCTTTAAATAAACTTTTTTATTATTATTATTAAAAACAAAAATTTTTCATACAAATATTAGTCTTATATTAATCTTACAAATGATAGTTATTATAAAATATATATTATAATTATATTTACCTGTGTAACGCAAGAAAGACCAATGAAGTATGAAAAAAAACAAACAATGGCAATAAAAATTTCCTTTCTTTTTCTCAATAAATGTGGCCACTCATCAACTGCTGCAGTAATAAAACCTTCTACTGTACAAAACTTGAAAATAATACGATTATTAACTATTAAAAGTGTATATTTCCCATACGTTTAATTAATTTACTACTGTAGATTCTTCAAAATATTAGTTTAGATAAATTATATTTATTTACAAAATGATGTACAGGTACAAAAACATTTAGATATTTAAAAAAAATTTGATATTTTGCATATAACAAAATATAATATTCTCATTTAAATAAAATATTTGATATATCTATATATAGAAACGTGCGCATATTCACAAGTATAGTTTTCGAATATACGTATTCAAATTTATAATAATTGATATTTATGTTTATCTGAGTATATATAATTGAATAAGATTTATATCGACCTAATATAAATTAAAACAGAATATAATTTCAATGCACCAAAATAATGTCAACTTTTATAAAAGTGTATAAAGTAATGATATTTAATTTTAAAAATAAATAATATAAGTAGTTTATAACTTATAAAATTAAACGATATATTCAAATTAAATTATTTATAATTAAAGAAAAAATAATATTCAATTCTAAATATTAAATATTTTATGATTCAAGAAAATTGTAAATATAAAATACTTGTTTACCTGACTATCAAGGCCAATTAAAAGAAGCATGAAGAAAAAAAGACAGGACCAAACAGAAGCACCAGGCAATTGTAGTACTGCTGACGGGTAAACTAAAAACGCTAATCCAGGACCTAAATATTGATTATTTTTCGTGGCATTAATTTCTTCTTTTATTATTCGTTTTAAGTTAAAACTAAGAGATAAAGCACTATTTACCTGAAGCAGCAACATCAGCTACAGGTTTTTGCTGCTCGTGTGCCATGAAACCCACAACCGAGAAAATAACGACTCCACTTAACATACTTGTGCAGGAATTCACGGTACATACGATAAGTGCATCCCTTATCAAAATAAGGAAATGTAATCATTTTTTTTACTTTAAAAATAGTCTAAAACGTTTAAATATGTTATTTTTAAAATAATATTTAAAATAACTTACTTATAAACATTGTTGTTGAATTTATTGTAACTTCCTAAAGCTACTAGAGCACCAAGGCCTAATGCATACGAAAAAAAAATTTGAGTTACAGCATCAATCCATACCTGGAATTTTTAACAGGTCAATTGAAATATGCAAAAAGTTTTCATATAATTTTTAAATATATTTCTTAAAAAAGAATTGGATTATTATTTATACGTTGTTTATAAGAATAATTATTTATATCTATGTCTGAGCATAGAATCTACTTAAATTATTTCATATCTGCTACTGGTAAACTATAAAAATATAAAAATATTATAATAAAATACTTAAAGGTATTTTAACAGAAAAAAAACATTACATTTAAATTAAGAAACTAATTGTTGACAAAGAACATTTATTACTCTCATGTTTAAATTAAATTTAATATTTTTGATTTTACAACTGAAATCAAATAGTTTAATACTTAGTATCTGAAATAATAAAATTATATTTTCAAATGTATAGATTTTAATACACAAGTATAATTTTTCACATTTGAATAAATTTAAACAATAAGATTGTTCTAAATTTTTTTTAATAATTCGAATTTAAGTTTTTTAACTCATTTTTATTTATAAATAAGTTCGGATTTGGTAGAAATAATAAAATACGATCTTATACCTCGGGTTCACCCAATTTTGAAAGATTTGGAGTTGCATAGTATTTAAGGCCTTCCATAGCTCCTGGAAGCGTAAGACCACGCACCAAAAGAACAGCGAGAAGACAGTACGGAAATAGGGCCGTAAAATATACAACCTAAAATATTAATTTCGTTATATATATAATAATAATAATAGTTCATTTATGATTTCATTTTTTTCTTATTTTAATTATTTTCTTAAATAGTAATGATTATATATTGCATTTGTTTTATTATTGTGAAAATTTAACTAAAATACATGTTGTTCATTCAATTAATTAATTTTAATACATATAAAAGTTTCAAGAAAGTAATTAATAGCTTAGGAAAAATTCGTATATAAATATAAAAAAAATATTAAAAATAATTAGTAATTTTTATTGTTATTAATTACTTTTCCTGTCCATTTAACTCCTTTCCAAATACAAAAGTAGCACATTATCCAAACAATAGCTAAAGTTCCTGCCAACTCCCATCGCAGGCTGCCTACTTCTTCAATTCCATCAGAAATTTGTAATGTTCGCCTTCTAAAAATAGCACGTTGTAATTCTGAATAATAAGTAATTTGTAATTTATTTTATGAATCAGTATTATAATAATTTTCCTGTGTATTACATGTATTCAAAATTAAAATCACAACTAATCTATTAGAAGAAAATACGGCAAAAGTAAGAGATATTTTCTGTAATTAAGTTGAATAAATTAACAATTTACTTTTATAAATAATTAAAATCAGCTTAAATGTCAATTGCAAATTCAGTATTTCTTATGAAGTGCATAAGTAATATTAAGAAATAAAAAGGTTTGTATCAGTATAAATTTTATAATTTTTAAATTATAGAATAAAAGTTTTTCTTTGACAAATAAGCCTGTTTACTCCATATAATTTTTAAGAGATGCATTCCTATCTAATGATATTTGTTTTTTAAAATAAAAATAATTAAACAAAAAGATTAAATTTTAAAAGAATATGAAAAGAATTATTTTTACTGTACATTTACTATATAAATTTAAATAAAGATCCATGGTATATATTATTTATTTTCGCATACTATTTTACATTTGTAATCACTTTCTTTGTAATGAAGTTAATAATAATTAAAAATGTTATATAAAGTTTTTGTTATCTACCTATTATGACAATATGTTTATATTCGTTACATTTACGTGAATTTATGCTGGGTAGTAATTGATGCGGTCCTATCAACGCACAATAAGCAATTGTCTACGATATAATTTCGCTTACAAAAAAAAAATACTTTTGTCATTTTGTTTTCTATTTCTGTTGGTAATAAAAATTCAAACAAAGCATGTAGAACATAAAAATACTAAAAAATTCAGTACGTATCTTTTCATCTAATCATGCATAAAAATTGTTTGGATCCGTTCAACTATTTTATAAAAACATATTTAATCATTTTCTTTATCTTTAACTGGATTAAAAAAGTAACTGATATCGATTAAAAAATTTGAGGTATAATTGTTAACAAATGTTTGAATTAAGTAAATTATTTAGATCTATTAAATATTTAAATTCGTCTAAAATTAATACATTGCTTCTTTCGTGAAAATAATATACTAGATACTGTTTAAATTTTTACACGCTGTCCTTTTGTTATTATTAATTATTTAATAATATCTATAAAAATTCTTAAATAAAAAAAACATTTAACGATGATTATTGATTTATTACAGTAACAATAATAAACAATATATTATCGTAATTATGATTATAGTAATAGTACTAAAAGTTAATTATAAGTGCATTGTATAATATTTACTCCCAAAATTCTTTTACAGGATCTTTGAGTAGGTTGTGACTTAAGTTGCCAATAGAGATAGAACATATCGTGTCTTCAAAATTTGTCCAACATGGAGTGTTTAAACGTTCTAATGGAGTTATGCAGAATTTTGTGTTCCATGCATTTTCACATGTTCTCCAAGGAACATCTATGGATTATATAAAGAATTCTGAATTAACCATTTGTTTCTTTTATTGTTACTACATTTATTAATAATAAGGATTTATAACAGAATAATTAACAGTACCGTAATACAGAACAAGTATCTTTCATTGAGAATAGGGGGGACTAAATTGAGAATAGAGGGTAAATTTGCTAAATATATAAATAATAATTTATCATTTTTATAATTTTAAAATTTCCTTGGATAATAATAAATCAATAAAATGTATCGATGGATGGTTACTAAAATCATCGAAACATACAACGCGATTGTTATTACCAATCGATATATTTGGAAAAATTACAATTCAGTGTACTGAATAAATTGTGTTTCATATAACAATTTAGTTTTTATAAGGATTACACGAAAATAGTAACTTATTAATATGTATATTAAGGTTTTGTGACTATTTTAATTTATCTATATTGTATTAAATTATTTCAAAAGAAAATTAAAATACAAAAAATTTTATCTCTGATTGTAACTTACCAGAACGAAGAGACACTAAAAAATAGAAAAGAGCCCATGCTAAAATAATAATATAGTAGATATTTGTCCAACAGGATAGTACGCATGTTGCATATCCAATTCCTGAAAATTATACGTCATTGTATATTTTTTTAATTTCATTCATTATTATTTTTTATTATTTAATTATTTAATTATTCATTATTATTTAATAGATTACTTAATATACTGTTGTTTTAACAATGAAGAAAATTCACTACTTAAGAGTAATTTAAAGATAAGTAAAAAATAAAAATTAGAATAATACTAATTTTTATTTAAATAATTTTTAATATATAAATGAAATTTGATGTACTTTCTTTTATGCAGAAATGTATATTTATTACATTACCTTGTATTATGGGTTAAAACATTAAACTGTTGCAAGGAGCTTATTATCATAGAAAATATATAGTTTTCTGATTATTATTATGTCATTTAGATACAATGGTAGTATAAAAACAGTTTACCACCTTATGAAATCGATTTTAATACTCAATTAACATTTTTAAAAGCTTATTATTATTTAAATATATAACAATTAATGTTATAGTATCTATTTTTTTATTTGTAATTAAAAGTCTTCTGCATTTACATTATTTTTTTTATTAAATAATTCTTCAATGACCTATATAAAATTAGTTTGAAAAATTAATTTGAGAATAGGACTAAACAAGTACAGAGAAATGGCTAAAGTTTTTACCTTTAAAAATAGGAGCTATTTTAAATACGCCCAAGCCTCCAATGGTCATCATCTGTCCTAAAGCCAATTCCATTAAAAACATTGGCACCCCAGCAAGTGCCAGGGCTATAAAATACGGAACCATAAACGCTCCCCCACCATTCTTGTAGCATAGATATGGAAATCTCCATAGATTTCCTAGACCAATCGCCAATCCCACCACCGAAAGGATGAACTCAATCTTTAATATAATTAGATTAATTTTAATTTTCGATTTAAAACATTATGTTATATTATATATTTATGTCAAATGTAAGTTATTTTTAGTTAAAATTTCGAACCCATAAAATTTTTAAAAGAACTTTTCTTTTTGTAATATACCATAAAAACTTAAAAATTACAATAGAACATAGCATTGGTAAGAATATTATTCACAAACTTAGGAATTATACTGTTAATTTTATTTTAGAAGCTGTTAATTTATTTTACAAAATAATTTAAAAAATTTTTTTTTGAGGTGACGTACAATATTTCAAATTGTTATTTTTCAGCTTTCTTATATTTTCTTAATCGTATTTGAGAAGATAAAATATTTATTATGTATAATCAAATATTTCAAAAGGTAATTAAAATTTTCATGTTTATTTTAAAATAATAAGAATTAGAAAATAAATGAAAACATAAAAGTTTAAAGAAAAAGTTATGAGCACTTATGGGTATTGCAGACCAAACGTATCTTATCAATAGTATTGTATTTGATCTGTAATAAATAGAATAAATTTAAAAAATGGATATTGAAATGAAAATAATCAAAAGCAATTGTCGGTATAAAAAAATTATTTATGTTATAATCGAAAAGTATTTTTAGCAAATACTTAAATTCAAGAAAATTTTTTTAAAACGTTATATAAATATACTAGTTTTTAAAATTGAGTAATTTCTACGAGAATTTGTACCGACATGTAAGATTATTTGCTTTATCAAGTTATGTATTCCTGATGCTTAAAACTTAATCAATAATTATTAATTAATAAGCATAATTGGTTTCTAATTATGTACTGAATGTAGTAAGCGTACATTAATAATTATAAGGACAATAACCTAAAGATATACCTTGCTGCCCCATGATCCTCTCTCGGGTATACTGGACTTATCGAACTTCTGTTCTGTTGCGAGACTCTGTATAGCCTCTTGTCGGGAGTCAGAGTTAAAAGATTGTTTCCGGGATGAAACTACCGAGAATCCGCTGGATTCGGCAAAGAGGGCCTTTAGCTCCTGGACAGGGCTGGTCGATGACTTATGTGGCAAGGGACTCGTCGACCTGTCTACTCGCTGCTGCTGCTGATTCTGCATACTCTCTATCAACGGCATCGCAGCTTTCCACACTCGCAACGCAATACGCACCAATTTACCTCATCCTCATTAGTTCGTGCTGCGAGGAGAACCTGTACCTACAACGGGAAAAAAGCACATCTTGTACAACATGTAAGCTGGATTTATAGATAAGTATCTAAGTACGCGTGCGCGTCTGTATATATATATATATATTTTTTTTTTTTAATTGACAGTATGTATATATAAGATGTATCGGATTATTGTGAATTAGAGCGATCACGCACAGATCGGTATAAATCGATGCAACAGTTAAGCGACAATGTGATAATGGGCAAACCCTTATATCCGCTTCATCATTATCGCATTTTGTCATTTTGCACGATACAGATTATAATTTTTTCTATCGATTTAGTTTATTAATTATTTTCTCTAATTATCTTCCCTTTATTATTATTCCAACTTCATTTTTTATTCTTTTAATGCTTACCTAATAATAATGCTAAATGATTCTTCAAATTATTACTTCTATATTCAAACAGTTTTCTTATATATATATATATATATCAACAATTATTTTTTATCAATTTTTGTTGATAAGTAAAGATATACGTATCGATGTATGCAAACTACAAATTTAATAATATATTTTTATTTGTTTACAGTTCAACAATAATTTAGTATATTTATGTTGTTTTTGCATATTTTATTTAATCTTTTATTAAGTTATTATACATCAAAAATGTAAATAGTCTTGTCTTCTATATTACCAATATATTGCGAAGTAGTAATATTATTATTAAATTTCATTTATATTTTAGCCCGTATACAGTATAGTTTAAAATTTTTTTTAAATTGCAATCTTTTTAGGTTTCGTAGAATCAAAAACGAACACGGCACGTGTGACTTCTTTTATTAGTTTATCAAATGGAAATTGCGTTTGCTTTCACGTACGTGGCGATTCGCTCTCAACCGACCAGTCTTATGATGAGTAACAGTATTACTATACTAATGATGATGGACAACGTGCAATAAGCGATTTCCGGGGAAGAACACGGACTTAGCGTAGCTTTCTCTCTCTCTTTCTCTCTCGTTCTCGTTCTTTCTCTCAATTTCGTTATTTTTATTCCTATAAACTAATGAACCAATATCCTATATAGTACTATGCTATATAGGCAATAATGTTCCTTGCCTAAAAAAGACATAACTTATTAAGTATCTAGTATATAATCTAATATATACTTTATGCATAGATGACTCTCAAATGCTGAAATTTCGGTAACTTATTCCAGTTACACCTTATATAGAAGTATATAATTTTTGTCAAGGAGTACTTTGATATATTATATATTTATAACATCCTGTCGGTTACGAAAATCTGAACATTAAAAACAAGCGGAGATAAACTCAGTATTATATATCAGTTTTTAAATTACTCACAGAATTCAAGCTGTCCTTTATTTTACATATTTAAATACTTTATTTTATATATATAAAATTTATTTAAATGCACATTTTTTATTTTATTATTTATATATATTCAATATATTTCAGTAATACGATTACATTTTCTAGATATTTTAACTAATTGTCAGAAAAATGGAATTCTGTATTAAAAATAGTACATACATTTTAAGTTAATATTAATACACGAAGTAAACATATTTATTATTTAAATTTTATCAATAATTTATTTGGTAAAAAAACAAGTATTACATACCACTATAAACATTTTCATCAATGTTTATATATGTTTAAATGTTGGTAATATATGTCAACATTTTTTTGTTTATATATGGGTGTGTTCGTATGTATATTGTCTCATATACTTTATTGTCTTTAACAATGATAACTGAACAGATACGAATAAAATATTTTAAATGCAAAGGATATAATTAAATTAAACAAAAGTAAAATAATATTCAATATAAATATATACAAGTAGTATAATTTTAATAATTTTTTCGTATATATATTATATATAAATATATGTATCTGAATCATAATTTAAATGTTACAATTTTAATTATACAATAAGTATATTATTTTATAATTACAGTAATATAATTACTTTAAAGAACCTTTAAATTTCCGTATAAAAATTATTTTTCTATTTTTTAAGCAAGAATTAAATAATTGGAATATGTATAAAAGAAATTTTATAATTATACTTGATTTTAACAATTAATATTGTAAAATTTTAACAATTAATATTTGTAATTTTAGACCTCTTTCATAATTTAAATAATTAATTAGTTTATTTTACATACAACAAATACGGTAAATAAATTGTGTATAATTAACGAAAGTAAACACAAATACAAATTATATAGTTAACATAATTTACTCTAAAATAAAATCTTTAGAAAAAAATATATAAATTCTTTCGGAAAACTATTAAAATACATTTACAAAAAAATTTTTAACAGTTTTCCAAGGAATAAATATCTAAATCATAAATTGAAAATATATGTAAATCGTCAAGGCTTTGTATATTTTAGACAAAATAAACGAATAAATAAAAATTATTCTTAAAATATTTTACTCTAATAACAATGTATTTTATTTGTATTCTTAATAGTCAATAGGTTTTATTAAAATTCACAATAATCTTGAGAATTTGTTTGCACGAAAAATATAGTATTTTGTTATGCGAAATATATTCAGTATTTGTTATTTTTTTAAACTTTATATTCAAATTTATGAAAACATATAGTTATAATATACGAAATATAATATAATAAAGTTTTTGAAATAACAATTTGAAGTAACTGTATTGATATTCTGGTAATGATAATGAATCGATCATGAATGTAATAAAAAATAATGATAAAAAACTTCTAAATATTCCACTTTCAAAAATTATGATTCTTAGTAACTTAAAGTATTTGTATATGTAATTAATTATAAAATAAATTGGAATTGATAATTGAAGAAATTTAATTATAAAATAAATTGAATGTAAATTTATCATTTACAATACACTAGTATTTAAAAAAATAAAAATATAGATTTAATTTTTAATTATTTTTAAGGATATTTTTTAAATAAAATATTATTGATTTAAATTATCTATAAATAAATTACTATTTAATATATTAAATACTTAATAATAAAAGTATCTCATAATAAATAATTGTGCAAAGTCTTAACTAAATTGATTTTAAATATATCTAATTTTCCAACTTTTTTCAAACTAATCCAACTATTAATCCATTATAAAAATTAAGTTTATTAAAATAAAGAAAATTTCGTTCCAATGAGATTTTTATGTACTAAAATTGTTACTACATTTTAAATAATGGATATTATTGATTTATGTCAGTAATATTCCTTAAATTTTTATTTATGTTTAACCATTAATCGTATTTTTTCACTTCGAATACACTCAACACTTCACTAAAATTACATGAAATTCAAGTTCTTACTTTATTTTTAATCATTAATTCTTTATTATTAATTATTAATTATTCTTTATTATTATTATTATTATTAATCGTTAATTATTAAATCATTAAATTTAATTTCACTTACAAATTAACACAAAATTAAAGTTTTAATTACTGTAAATGAATTAATTATAAAATCAATATATATATTACATATTAAATATCATAATTAGTCTCATTTAACAGTGCAATAACTGAATATCAGAAAATCACGAACCTAGTAATATACTCTGCTGATGAGGGAACTTTTTAGATTCACAATTCTTTCGAAAAAAAATGAATTAACAATTAATACATTTGTTTTACACTGTATTAATTAGAAATAAATTTCTAAATTTAAAGGTAACAAATAATTTATTTAAACTTTTTTGTACGTCAAAAAAAATTTTTTTTAAATTAAATTGTATCGGAATATTCGCTAGCAGTAATGAACAATTAGAAAATATTTACATATACGTAGTTGTGTGAGCACTGCAACGAGACGTATGTCTATAGACTCATGATAGAATCTTTTTTATTATATAGTAATAGAGTGACTTTGTATGTACATGCATATGTGCGATAGTGAGGGGGGAGGAAGAGAGAGAGAGAGAGAGAGAGAGAGAGAGAGAGAGAGAACAAGAGTGAGCGACAGAAGGGAGAGTTGAGAATTAGAGATGAGATAGAGGAGCTTCAACATAAGTAAAATAGAACCGTAGTAATAAAAAATGATATTATATCATATGTAAATTGTTCGAAATTTTTATCATAAACTGAGCAATTTAATTTTTGTGAGATAATATAATATCTACTATTATTTTATTCTTATCATTAATTTATTAAATGTTATAAAATTTACTATATATAAACATTTAGAACAAAAACAAATTCAATCTTAATAAATTTATTTTTGAATATAGTTATAAATCTGTAGTAAAAGCTTAAGTCATTGGTTTAATGACATAAGTAAACTTTATGTCATTTAAACAGAAATTTATGAAGTTTTAATAAGAAATAAAGCTTAAAATCGTTTTTTATATTATAGAAGTTAATTAAATATAAAAAATAATAAATAGATTGTTTTATCGATTATTTATATAACTTCTAAATATTTTGTTATACATTGTAAATAGAATTAGAAAAGAAAAATTTAATTTAACTTAATTTCTTTCGAAAATTCAATTACAAGTATATCCGAATAAAATTATATCTGAAAGTAAATTATCTCTATAAAAATAATATGAATATTCAGAAAATATATTCATTTTCATTAATTATAAGATAAGTGAAGAGAGAAAAAATTAAATTAATAATTTAGATATATAAAAGAAACAAAGATAGATGGAAATAATGAAAACAAGAATATATGTGTGTGCCTAAAAGAGGGGCAAATGGAAGCGTGAATTTGCTCCCCCATGCAATATTTCAATGATGCGTTGTATACACACGCGCGAATACATTTTTCTATTGGTTCATTCAACGAATTAGTGCCACGGTGTCAATTTATATGAAGGTTGATGTGTATGAATACTTATATATACAAATATATAGATGCATGTATAAATGATACGGTTGCCAAATGATATTTTATGTCTATAATCCTTATAGTACAACGAAGAAATAATGATATCGATCATATAGGATATTGCATTGTAAGAATAATAATATTAAATTCGGTGATATAATAATTCAATAATGGTATTATTAATAGAATTAATTATTTTACTTTTTTACTAATAGCTTCCTCTTCACTATAAGAATAAATTTCATGCACTGCCTATATTTCTTATTTTTTATTACAAACAATGTAATTTCATTACATATGCAAATTTGAACATATTCATGACTAATGAAATAAATAATACATTTTATACATTATTAATAATATTATAACAATATTAAGTTTTTTCTTCATGATTATTTTGTCTTGCTAGAATTATTTTAGTTCTAATTTGTATGGAGCAAATATTTTATTTTACTATCTATAAATCATACTATATGTTAATTCAATATAGTTTAATAATATGCACTTATAAGTGCATATACACTATACATTATATATTAACTGTATTAACTTTTAAATGTTGCATATATTTATTTTGTTATTTTTTATTAAAAATTTGTTAAGAATCTGAGCCTTATAGTTCACTTATAGTTATATATTTATATAACTTATAGTTCAATCAGAGCCATATGTTCCAATTTACCTATATATTTACTATAATATTTAATATAAAATTTAATTAAAAATTTTTTTTATCATTTGCTTACAAATATAATAATATATTGTATATTACACTATATCAACTATACCAACACTATTACTAAAATTGTACTTAAAATTAATACACTATCAGTAAATAATTTTTCTGGCAAATTAATAGACAAAACTATTAATCAACATATATAAATTATTTGTAATCTTAAGTACTATAAATAATATTGCAGTTGTTAAAACTAATTATTAAAAAACACCATCTACATTATTAACCACGCATTATAAGCAGCTCTGATTAATAGATTATACTAATTTAAATACCACATTTAAGCACTTAAATTAAAGAGTTCTATTATGCAGTAACTTTTGTTTAGATATATTATGTTTTCTTTCAAAAATATTTTTATAATTGTAAAAAAATATTTAATTTAGCCAATTATTGTTCAAAATAATAAATTCAAAATAAGTTTATTAGTTTACTTTTAAATGTGTAAATTTGTATATTTAACTAGATGTTGAATAGAATTCCAAACATTAATATTAATATCTATATTAAATATTTCTACAGCAATTAAGAAACTGTAAAATGCTATAAGATTTGTTTTAATCTTTTTAAAAAAGTATGCAACCTATTAGTAAAAATTACAAATTTCACGTGTGAACTATATTATAAACTCTATTAATATATAAACTATTATTTTATCTATGAATAGTACAAATAATAAAAATATTGTTGTTGTAACACTGAACTTAATATGGAACTTGAATATGTTTAAATGAATCAATGAAAGGTTTGAAATTTAAAAATTTTAAAATTAAACTTTAGAAATGGACAATAATTAATATAAGCCTAATTATGAGCTTTGATTTTTTTAAATAAATAAAGAGTTATATAAAATACTTATGAATTCAAAATTTATTACGAAAATACAATATTATAGCATATCTAACTTTAAATGTAAGCTAATTAAACTGAGAACAACGTTGTATTATGTATTGCTTTCTACAAGGCTATTGTCTTGCATAATTTGTACATATCATGATATTAATATACATATATTTAATTCTGAATATTTTTGTTGTATAGGCTAGTATTTTTATTATACAATTAAATATTCTAATTTATCATTCTTTTATTAATACAATATTTTTTTAAACAAATTTAAAAAATTGTCATGAATAATCAAGAATATTTAAGAATCGTAATCATAATGATTTTTAAATTTATACTATAAAATAAAATATTCTTTTGATAGAATTATTATTTTACTTAAAAATATTATAAATTACCTAAAAACTAAGAATAATTCAATAAGATTATTGGCTAAATATATTTAACGTATAAATTTTATTTGTAATAAATAAATATATATTTATAATTGTTTCCATATACTATTTATTTTTCTGATATTATATCTTTTCCTTTTGAATTTTTGGAAAACACCCTTAAATTTTTTGCTGTAAATTATGGATATTTTATTGATTTTGTTGTTTTTAGCCATTTAGTAGATATTACCGACAACAAAAACATTATTTATATATTAGATTTTATAACTAAATTTAAAAAATTTTTTTTATCAATAATGTCGTTACTTATTTTAGGTGAGTAAACCTATATCCGCATGACGTTAAACAATCGGGTCGATATATGATAGAAAGACCTTAAAAAAAGAATATAGTAAGAATTTTAAATATTTAAATTGGAAAATAGTGCAGTTAATTGAATTAAATTCATTTCCAAGTTTCAGCTTTAACGTTTAAAACAGTATCTGTTAAAACGATTGACTAAAATGATATATTTTTTTATTTTTTCGTTTTTGTTTATTTTTTCACTGCAAGGAATTATTTTATATATTAACTTCATATCAAATCGATGTAAATAACTTCAATTTGTTATAATCTTTTCGGATAACGAATTTGTAATTGAAAAATAAAAATAATAGAAAGTAACTTAAATATTGTATTCTGTGATCTACTTTATTTAAAGCGTTTTCATTTCAATTTTATGATGTAACCATTCGTGTAAAAACAAAAATAATTATAAAAAAAATTATTCAAAGTAATTATTAATTTTTCAAAATATTATCTTAAACTAAATAAATATCTAGCATCTACATGATACGAGATTGAAATGACATTTTAGAATGATACGTTCAAATAATTAATCTGAAATTAATTCTCTTTGTTAAATTAAGTGCTTTTCGATTACTATTTATTTACTATTTCTACTATTTATATACTAATACTATTTATTTATGTGTATATATATATTTGCATTTGATATATAATATATTGAACTACATAAATGGGCATAAGATAGATTATAAATTTTTTTTACATAGAATATTAAAACAAAAAACATGTATCTTGGTAAAAGAAAAAATAATATATTCTTCCTTGCGGATAAAAGAGAACCCGCTGTATAATATAAACATAAATAGTCAGAATCAGTTATTATAAAATTAGTATTTTTTTTAAATATTTTACCAACCATGGGTATGCCATCGATAACATCGGGCTCTGCATTTTTCTATTTCTATATTATTCTATTCAACTTTTAAGCTTAATGAAACATTTTCAAAAATAATTATGAAATAGCACATAAACTTAAAAAATTGACCGAAAAATGATTCCTTTATTAGAAATTTTGTTTAAATGTATAATAATAACTTATCATATAATTTTAATTTATTATCAGTAAGTAGGTAAAACAGTAAAAAATTAATTTATCGGTTTTCTTTCTTAAAAAATTAAACTCTTACAAAATTTTAAAAGATTTTTGTTTGTTAATTTTCATACTGAATAATAAAATAATTTAAAAATTTTATGAAATTATAAAAATTATATTATACAATTATATTTAATTAGTGTCCTATTTCTTCTTATTTTATTATATTAATTATTACAGAAGAAAACCTTTTAGATAACGTAATTAAATATATAGATAAATATTTAGATATGAAATAAAAATTTGTATCTATAAATTATAATATATAATTTATGAAAAATATTAAATGTTTTAATCAACAAATGTATATTTATGTGTAATTGTAATTTAACCTCCAATAGATACCGCAATTTTTAATGTATAGTTGAATATGAAAGTGAACAGGT